GAGCTCATCAGTGGTATTAGTGCAACCTGCAGAAAAACTCCATAACAAGAGTACTAACTGGGAGATGTATAAGGATAAAATCACGATGGAAATTAAACTCACAAATCCATTAAAAACGGTGGAAGACATAGAAGAGGCTATTGAGAGCTTCAACAAAATAATATTTGAAGCAGTCACAATTGCAACAAAAGTGCGAAAAAACTTACCCCTAACGCTTAACAAATATCCCAAGACGATCAAAGACAAAATATCAAAACGTCGCATTCTAAGAAAGATATGGCATGAATCTCGATATCCTGCGGACGAAACAGCGTTCAACAGATCTTCGAATGAATTAAAAGACCTCATTAAAAGTTTTACAAATAATAACCTTTAAACGTTCCTTTCTAATTTGACCCCAAGTTTGGACACAAATTACTCACTATGGAAGGCGACACAGAAATTAAAACGTCCCAATTATCACATCCCTCCTATCAGACAAAGTAACGGGAATTGGGCCAGGTCAGACACGGAGAAGGCTACACTACTTGCTGAACACCTTAGTAAAGTGTTTCAACCATTTCCTGAGTTGAGACCAGAGCATGATGCCGAAATAAAAAGTTATGTGGAAAGTCCACAGCAAATGTGTCTCCCATTAAAGTATACGAGCCCTACCGAAGTAGCTGGTGAAATAATGATGGCAAAGCACCGGGATACGACCAAATCGATAGCGTACTTCTAAAAAAATCTCCCAAAAAAGGGTATATCAGCTATTGTTAACATATTTAATGCCTGCTTAAGACTCTGCCACTTTCCAGGACAATGGAAGATAGCCCAGGTAAAAATGTTACCTAATGAAGCCTAATGTTACCCAGTAAACCACCAAATGAAGTAGCGTCATACCGACCTATAAGTCTTTTGCTTATAATAGAGAAAATGTTACTGAAAAGAATGAAAGCACACCTAAGCGACATCACCCCAAATCACCAATTTGGATTCCGGGAGAACCACGGAACTATCGAGCAAGTTCACCGCATCGTTGACGCAGATCGCTGGAAGACAAGAAATATTGCTCAGCCGTCTTTTTGGACATTAGCCAGGCATTTGACAAGGTTTGGCATGAGGGCCTTATTATATAAAGGCAAAAAGATGCTACCACACTCGTTTTACCATATAATAAAGTCTTATCTCAGCAAGCGATGTTTTGAAGTAAAGTTCAATGACGAACTTTCCGACTTGCATGTAGTAATCAACGCATGTGACCTTTACTCTCACACGGGACACGTGTCCACCGGTTACACTTAATAATGAGGAAATTCCTCAAGATGACCATGCAAAATACTTGGGCATTCACTTGGCTCGAAGACTAACGTGGAAAAAACACATATGGACAAAGCGGAAGCATCTGGACTTAAAACTTCGCAGTACGCACTGGTTAAGGTTAGGACGACACTCACAAATGAGCACACACAGCAAGTTGACTGTATAAAGCCGTCTTGAAACCAATATGGACCTATGGCATACAGCTTTGGGGTACTGCTAGCAACAGTAACATTGAGATACTGGAAAGATTCCTCAATTACATATCAATACATCAGTAATAAGAACATATACCTTGATTTAAATTTATTAACTGTCAAACAGGAGGTAGAAAGATATAGTTCAAATACCAAAAAAGACTCTCAAACCACAAAAATGAGCTTGCCCTCAAACTCAGTGGAGATCAAGGCCTTCAACACAACAGATTGAAGAGACATAGTGTCCCAACCCTAAAAAATAGATTCCTCAGGATGGAATGAGACACCTACTGGAGAAGTGTCTCACCACGCTAAAAAGCCTAAGCGGATACACTAGTATCGGACAAAGTAGTGGCTTATTGTTGTGTTAAACAGATTGCCGCGGAGCAGAAAGAACAAAAAAAAACTGATAGTCCATAAAAAAATAAGAGGCGGTAGTGTCATGCCATACTTCTGTCTTCTCCGGTGTGACTTAAAGCCCGCCATACCGACGCGAATGCGTTAATAAAAAAATATCAACATTTGTATCATGCTAATTTTTGCACAGTGGTGCAAATGACCCACTATTCTGTGTCACTATCTCCCGGCCTACCAGTGTTAGAGAGGGCGAGTCTACTTTTCCGGAGCGAACGAATCCCGAGCACACCTCGCAGTAGATAAGTTCTAGACGCGTCCGCGCGGTGAGGTGAAACGAGTGAAACATTCAGCGAACACTAAATGTGCAGCCACAGATGCAAATCGAGTCAAGCCAGTTCGGCTCAGAACGGGACGTAAGAGTGAGAGCATACCGCACGTGCACGGGGTGTTGCGCGGCGTACACCAGAGACGCGTTGGGCGAGTCGTCGAACACCGGATTGTCCATGCTGTAGCCCACGGGCGGCGGAGACTTGCACTTCTTCATGGCCGCCAATCGCTTCATCAGGCTCACGCCGCTCGAGATCGACGACTTCTCGGACTTCGCTCTGTCCTTCGCCTGGAATTTGACATTCGTCGGTTTCATTGACCGAGATGAGGTCGTCCGACCGACGAAATCGACTCTAGATCTCACTTTATCGGCTCGGGGAGCGCCCTGCTGCGACTGGGTAGGCGCACTCCAGGGATACGTCGACGGCTGAGCTGAAATTGAAATCGTTTCTATCACTTCGCGTCTCCCGGTCGCTCCTCTTTAAACAGAACCGAGGATGACTGCACTCACGAACGGCGGCCGGGGGACTGTCGGCTCTGGGCGGGGCGTCGGGCGGGGCCGGAGCGGCGGGGGCGGCGGCCGGAGCGCTCGGGTTGCCGCCGTCGCTCGCCGGAGGCGCCGTCTTACCGCTCGAAATAACCGCCGACTGCAATCGCAGATTTCGAGTGATGACACATATCGTCACTCGCAAAGCGGACGGTACGAAATTCAAACGGAGTCTTTGCGAATACCTTGTCGTGTTTGATCCGGTTGCCCACGGGCGTGAGGGGCGCCACGTAATTCCCGGGAAAGACTCCCGCGCGCTGGAGCCGCTCGCACCAGCCCTTGTACCACCCGTCGCGACAGCGCTCGCGGACCGTGTACACGCCTGCGGAGAACGGGTCTATTCAATTTATACGTCGTTCCAGGTCTTCGCGGGAGCCGCGCGACCTCTCGGCCGTCCGTCCTCACCTCCCTTCTTCAACTCGATCTCGTCGGGTTTTTGCGGTCTGTACGGATACAGCGCGACGTACGCGGCCGGCAGAGGGCGCTCGTCGCTTCGAGACCGCCGCCGTCTCCTCTCTCTCTCTCTCTCCCTCTCGCCCCGGACGTCCCGCTCCGGCGTGTGATCGAGCAGGGAAGTCGCCAGAATTTCGGCCGAATGTCTGGAGGAGGACGGTTCACGTCATATCGTCGGTCGAGGAACGTTTCGGTGGAGCGAGTGGACTTCGGGAACCGTTCCCCGAACGAGACAAAACTCACCTGTTCTGGTTGTGGCCTCCCTGCAAATGCGTGGTCGGCGTCAAACTGTGCCGTTTCTCTCTGAGATGACGGTCCCTCGGGGCCCTCGTCGCCGCGTAGTCGTCTCTGCCGTGAGAGGGCGACAGCGCCGCCTGCAGCCCCAGGCCGAAGTTGAGAAGCGAGTCCGGACCGCTGCACCTCGCCTCCGGTCCGGCGGATCGAGTGATCCTCGACGAGCAGGGCAGACTCGTCGGCTCGGCCTCGCGAGCCTCGACGCGGGAGGACTCGGTCGGTAAACTTACGTTCAGCGAGGTGTTCGTGGCCGTCGAACACTCGCTCGAGTTCGGAGCCGCCGAAGTCTTCGGGTCTCGCGTTCGGCTTCGGTCTCGAGAGGCGTCCCGAATCCGCTCCCGATCGTCTTCCGGCGCCGCGACCGTCGCGTTCCTCTCGGCGTCGTCGTCGGGCGAGTCGGGCAGACTGGGCTCGGCGCTCTCGCTGGTGCTGGTGTCGGAGCTGGTGTTGGGCGTGGTCGTCGACGACGGCGTGTTCGCGCTGGAGCTTGAGTCCGAGCTCAAGTTGGAATTGAAGCCCGCGACCGGAAAGCGTTCGGCGCGGACGTTCTGATAGGCGACGTCGGCCCCGTTCGAGTGATTGTCGAGCTTGGCCCCGAACCTGTCGTAGTTGTCGTCGACGCGGGACACGCTCTGCACCCCGAACGCCTTGTGCGCGTTCGTGAAGTGGACGATGTCGAGGAGGCACTTGGCCCGAGTGGGCTCCGCGACCCTCGGGCTGGCGGCGCGTCGGGCGGACGTCGGGCCCGACGTCTGGGACGGCCGGGTCGCCGTTTGGGAGGTGGCGTGGGTCGCGTCGGCCACGTTCTGGTAGTTGCCCTGCGCCGAGGCGGGGGTCGACGCGGACATCTGTTGATACCGATGAGGGTGCTGAAAGGGCAAGAGACGGCTTTGAACGTCGAAATATGCTCAAACGACCCCGAGCGGAGCGATCTTAAGGTAGGGGCGAACGACCTGAGCCTGATGCCGGTGCTCCGAGTGTCCCGCTCTGACGTGCTCCGGAGCGGGTGGGACGGGGCGATTTATCGGACTGCTGGAAGAACGTATGGTTAGTTTTTTTTTATGTAAATTAGAGCAAAATCGTGTTCATACGAAGAATCCCGGAAAGTACCTGTTCATGAGGTGAGAGGCGGCCTGGTTGAGTTCGACGAATGCGATGGGGAAGATGCCCACTCGCTGCTCGAGGCGACCCTCGGCCCAGTTCTCGTCCACTCGCCGGTGGACCGTGATGATAGCCCCTGCGAAGCACATTATCACACGTCAAAGGCGGAACCGCAATACGCTCTATCTAACGACGTGTAGTTCTTTCTCAATTTACCCTTGTCAAAAGCGAGACAGCCCTCCTCGTCCGGGGCGGACATCCGGAAGTCGTACAGCGCTTTGCACAACGCGGGGGCCGCGGCCAACGGCACTATCACCTGGAACCACAATCTCTACTTGGTGTCATCTTCGCGGGTATCGGGCATTTTAATGAAACTGTGCTTTTACCGACCTCTAAAGCTAAATGTCGCCTTTTATAAAGGAGCAATAAACAAATAAAAAACGAGTGTCTACTTAATACGTGGGTAACACTGAAAATGTTTAGAGCGGGCCAGTTAGAAACATTTTTTTTAATTTCAATTTTAGAACTCTTTGGTAACCTTATGTAGTATATTGCATTCATTTGTCATTTGTTTATGTGTATTGGCGGCAAATCTAAAACTCTTGTTACACGTGAAAATGAACCTAACGCGAGAAAATTTTCGGTCAATGATTTATTATGACTTTCGTTGTGGGCTTACTCAACAACAAAGCTATGATGGGCTGCGACTAGCATTTCTTAATGAAGCCCCATCTCGTGCCACTATGTATAACGGTTTAACGAGTTTAAGCGTGGACGTAGCTATTTCAATGATGATCCGCGTGAGGGACGTCCTTTAACAGCGCCTACTGAAGATAACATCAATGCTGTGCGACGCATGATAGAGGAAGATAAGAGAGTGATCTATCAGCATACGGGCAATCCTAGGCATTGGTATGAGTCAAGTTCAAAAAATATTACACGAACATTTAGGCGTCAGGAAGCTTTGTACCAGATGCAGATACTTTATCCGACGACCAGAAACACCTTCGCATGGGCTGGTGTCGCCAAATGTTAGATAACTTCAACGGTGCTGACTCAAATACTGTATTTGACATCGTCACAGGTGATGAAAGCTGGATATATTGCAACGAACCCAAAACGAAAGATAAAATTCGTGGTATTCGCTTTACGAGCCCTGAAGATGCGGTGAAAGTGTACGAAAATGCCAAGAAGAGGCCCATAAGGAAGAATGGGCCCACTGCTTTTCTCAGTGGTTCCATCGAATGCGACGATGTGTAGAGAGGAACGGTGATTACTTGGAAAACAATAAAATTATCGGCAACTTTCTACATTAAGCCGTTTTTCATTTTCTTAACATTTTCAGTATTACCTAGCTATGTACACGCGTTAGAAGTTATACTTCTTTAGCATAATAATTTTCTTCGAGCACTTTAGAGGGACGTTTCCCGTTTCGAATTGCATTTTCCTTGTCCATTTTAATGGTCACTTCCAATTGAAACGTATAATACATATGTACTAATAATGATATTTTACAATAAACACTATGTTTTTTATCACATTGGAACGGGTTTACTCGTATAGAAATCATTATTTTGGTTTAAATAAACATGACTCTGAAAAACTGTACGCCATGACAGACAGTACAACTAGTCGATAAAACAGAGCAAGCGCTAACTAGCGGCCCAGACTGTTTTACCGACGTTTGAACAGATATTCAGGGTGTCGGTTGTTTGTGACGGTGTGCGCGCGCATCGTTACATTTACTCTCATCACGCGCCAAGAGAAGTATAATTTCAAAAATGGTTTTAACATACATATATTTATGTAATAAATATAGCACCGTAATATGCTCAGATCTGATGGGGCCAAAACTTTTTCAAATGTATATGGAAATTATAAAAAAATTGCAGAATGACGCAACGATATTCGCTTCGGAAAGAAGAGCTAACAACATCATTATCAATAAACACCTTTAAAATGTGTGTGTTGAATTATACAATTTAAACAAACACATGAATCACAAATGGAACGCAACATTGGATAACCAAACTACCTGCAAATAGGTGATAGGGAACACTCCGCTGCGACCAGAACACTCTCCGTGATACCAGAAAGGGTCCAACTTCTTTTGCAGCAAAATCGTCTCTCCCTTCTTGAACGAAAGGTCACTGAAATGGGAATATGGCGCATAAACAAAAGTGAAAAAATCATCATTCATTTTTATCTGAAGTTTACATTTTTCTTATAAAAATAAAAGAGATTTTTCGAAGATGTGTTTAATACCAATTATATCAAATCACCAGCGGTACACATACAGATACACTCACCCCGGTTCCTTTGAGATATAATCGTACATAGCTCTCCCGTGAGGTGGCACCTGCTTGTCTGATCGAGACGATGGCTGTGTTTGTACCTGGCCCTGAAAGTTTGAAAAATAACACAAAATAAAACTATTTCCATCGTGTTTTACAAGAATTCTTATTAAGTAATAATGGTTTCAATATATCAATTACAGGTCATTGATCTCTCTCTAGCCCTCTTTGGTCTACGATCATCACTTAAGAAAAATCGCAGCGGATATACCTAAATCTAGCAGTATTTGGCTTTACAATATGTTACCTGCGCGTGCGCAGTCCTAACTCTCTGCACAGAGACTTTCCTGGGTGCGGAGTTCTTCATGCCCTCCAGGATCCTCATGAGGAGGACGTTGGGAGGCAGTTCCTCCACCTTTGCCTCTACCAGGACCCGACACTCGGGGCATCGTAGCTCTTTGTGAGATTCGACTATTACCTTAAAGATACAAAATAAAATATTAAATACTTATAATCGTGGAATTATTAATGGTAGAGCTTAAAACAGTGGCACTACAACCCTTGCGATCAGATTCCTTATCTGTTCCGCCCAAGTAAGGTGATCAGCCTTCTGTGCCTCACACGCCATGGATCTGATGTCAGGCGTACCGGTGTTCTCACGATGTTTTCCTTCACCGTACAAGCGAGTGTTGAATGCGCTCATAGACGGAAAGAGTCTGTTGGTGCACAGCCGTACTTCGAAGTCGCGACCTCAAGTTTGAAAATCGCACGCTCAGGCCTTTAGGCCAACTTTGCTCTCTACTCTCTTAAGTGTTTCACTAATCTAATCACAAATACGTGTTGAAAAAGTATATCTATAAAATATTGTTTATTTCGTGAACAAATTTGAGATTAGATTGTACTGTAAGGTTTTTAAATTATTCATTAAGATTCAGTTAATAAAAATATAATCAAACGTTAATTTTAAAATCTTGAAAACTATTTTAAAATATAAATAAATCAGTGGTGCTAAAACGTTTTTAGGTCTGGGCGTTTCTGTTTCGTCATGTGTCAGTCTAATACTCAAATAGATGATTTCCTTCACCGTTCAAGCAAATGTTAAATTCGCACATAGAAAGAAAGTCCATTGTTTCACAGCCGGGGATCGAACCTACGACCTCTGGGATGAGATGGCACGCTAAAGCCACTACGCCGACATAGCTCAACAAAAACTAATTTATTTACATTGAAATTTAGTTTTTTTTTTTTTGATCGCGTCCAAAGAACGAATTGTAAATAATGTTTCGGATATATTGTATGAGATAAAAGGCTTTTTTTATTTAGCTTTAGAATTTCTTTTATCAGAGACGCATAGGTAAACATCAATAATGACAGGGCAAATTCATTTCCTCTTTCCTGTCGCCTGTACTAGTCGGATGTGAGCAATTCAAAATAACGTTACAACCGCATCTACAGGCTGCAACGTAAAGCTAATGACGTTTGCGTTTATAGCTAGGAATATAATATGTCATCTGCTGCTGAGATTTATATATATTATTATAAATCTACAATGGTAATAAAATTTTGAAAATTTAAGTGAATGGGCTTGTGTCGAAGTATTTATAGGATTCGAGTCAACACACCGAGACCCTTTTATCACGCCGAAATCAAATCGAATCACGAAGCTTTTCTTTTCAATTAAATATCCTACCTCTTCTATTTAACACCAAATTATTATTTAAATAATCATTGACATCACAATGTACCGATCCATTTATATTATATAGACGACATTTGACATTGACGAAGTAAATCGCAAATTAATAACTGTTATCTAATCAGTGAAAACATTGGAGAAATTGAGTCAAGGTGCTGAAGTGTTCTTGAATTTGTACAATATTGTTTCCGTATGCCAGTCAATCTTGGTCAATCAGAGCTTTCGAGCAACAAAGCATTACCAAAGTACATCACTTAAAATAACATTTCAAACACATTTCTATTTTCTTATCTTATACTTTTATCTAAAACAGGAGGAGGAGGCGAGCTATTCTAAGTAGAATAAAACGAGCAACGTTTGGATCGTATCCCCAATATGCCGACGTTAGAAAGAAACGTCCCGTTGCCAAGAGTTACCGCGCTCTATTTATGAAACACACCGAAATACATTCGAGTACATAAGTAGGACAATTTAATGATCGATACTAGTGAACTTGAATGATTTGATCCAGATGAGCTCTAGTGTTTACACACATACATGCGGGTATGTGGTTCATATATTAAATAGCTTCCGCTTTATAATTCGAGCTTCCTAACGAAATTAGTACCACATTAAACCACTTGTATTCTCAGATATATGAGACTATTAATTAAATTTAAGCCCTCTGGGTGATAAAGTTAACATATTATAATTACAAACTTAAGTTTCTGCTTTCCCAGTTGGAAACAAGTTCCTTCGTATTATTTCATACAGTATGATGAATATTAAACGTCATTTAATAGAACCGATATTATCACACAAAACTAAACATTAAACGCATGTGATGACACTCGACTTCAGTTTCGTTTCGCAGTTTTTTATCACATATTCAAATAGGTATGTACCTATTTTTAATTAAAAACGCTAACATACGCCGGTTGAGAAATGTAGGCGGGCCGATCAGCTGCTTTTCTAAAAAAGGAAAGAGGTTAATGAAACAGATAAATAACTAAATACAAGTTAAAAACAAAACTAAAACTATTATAAGAATTTTAATCATTCAGAGTTCAGACGCTAATATTTCGTGAATGTCATGTATTTAGTGAAACAACGATTTATGAATTACGGCACGGATAATACTTTCTAATGTTCCAATATTCCGTAATTAATTGGCGGCTTATTAAAATCTAAACCGCAATATCGCGAGTCAACGTATACCTTGTGAGTCAACATTTTGCTTCAGACCGCTATTTGCACCAAACTATAAGAATTTATTTAACCAATGCTTAAAGTAATTTAGTAATGTTTTAGGGAAAATGTTCTTTATTTTATGAGACCGAAGATGGCCATTGATATACAACCAAATCCGTCTTATATAAAAGTAACCCAAATTCCCAACTATTTTGTCTCAGTATTGTTACAGCTATATTATTCAAAATCAACCTTACGCAATTGCTTAAAGTTGTTATTACAACCATGTTACGTACTTAAAGCAATAAAATTTTACGACACCTGGTCTAGACTTTGAGTGAGTGAAATTATTTTTATTTACAACTATTTAAATAATTTTAAATTTATCCGACTTTTCGGTCTTTACAGCTAGTGGTCACGTGACTGAAGACAAAAGGTGTTGATGTTAAATAGTTGTAAATTTATAATAATACTAACTTTAATCCGTTAAAAAGTTTTTTCTTTAAATTAAAAAAATGTTAAATTGGCTACCTCCTGACCCACACTTTATATAGCTAAATATATTTTCAAAAACTACACACAAAAAGTTCAAGAGTACAGAAATTTATTTATAAAAAAACAAATAAATAACTCGATCACTTGTAGACGCGAGACTATTGAAATAGCACTACAATTTAGAATGTTGGCTCATTTTTTGAGGACGTTTTTTTGACGTTGAGTGTGCATCTTGGGTTTTTTGTATATCAATGAAGATGGCACACAATTTTGACATTTTTAACATCATTGTCATAATTACTTTTTAAAGTTCCATGTTATTTTAATTTTATATTTTAACTAGCTGACCCGGCAAACGTTGTTTTGCCATGTATATTATTTCTAGGAAAAAATATGTAGTTCAATAAAACTATCTACAATAATAAAAAATAGAGGTTGATCGTAGAGGGGTGAAAATTAGTTGTTAAAAGTAGGAGTTGTATGTTTTTTGTATGCTGTATCATAAAAAAATAAAATCAATTTTTTTTTGAGGTGGACACCCTTATCACTTAGGGGTTTGAAAGATAGATAGTAGCCGATTCTCAGACTTACTGAATATGCTTAAAAAATTTCATAAGAATTGGTCCTGCTGTTTCGGAGGAGTATCGGAACGTTGTGACACGAGAATTTTATATACAAGCAGTCCTCGTACTTACGGCATGTTAGGTTCTCGAAATACGCGTTTCGATTAGGAAGGAAATACAAAATTGAAAAAATAGGAGTTATCCATGAAAGGAAGAGGTAAATTTCACCAACATAAGAAACGTAATTTTTTTGTAGGTTTTATTTTGACAGCAACACAAGTTTTATTAAAATAATTGTATATGATTATACTTTTACACATGACTTGATATATTCTCACTTGCTAACTTTGGTAACTACCATACTACTAACGTTACACTACCAATGTCCTTGTAAACCCCATGAGATGTTTCATAGCAAAAATACTCCTTGATTAGAGGAGAGATTACAGATGGGAAATGACGCTTAAAACCTTATTTTTATGTCGATACTGCGAATCACGCAATGATAAAAAAAAGTGCGTGCTACTGTACATGTAAGAAGTGAAACTTCTTTGGCAAACTAAACTTATTTTCAAGTCTTGTTCATATTTATACAAATCTTAAACTTTAGATTTTCGAGACTTTAAGGAGGGAAAAGGAAGATATGTTAGGAATTTAATGAATTTCATAATTTTAATTTATTTCTTCGATAATAAAAACACGTAGCAATTTTTTTTAATTTACAATACGTCGTTTGAGATTTCAATAAATTAATTTGCATAAAATATAAAATACCTACTAATATTTCAGTCTCTTTACGAAATTTTAATTTTAAAAATAGAATTTCCTTAACGTCATTCGCCCTTCGCACTCTCTCTCAATCGGTGTCAATCGCTCTCTCCATTTTCTTCGATAAAAACGCTGCACATCTTTGTGACGTTCCGTAAAATTTTTACCCTCATGCGCCTAATGAAGTTTCACTTCAAAAAATCATGGCCATATAGTTATTTCCACCACAAAACTAAAACCACACATTGTTTCATTTAACCTCAAATGATTAGTACTGTTAAAAGTACCACTTTACTTGTCTGGTTAGTAAAGTTTTTCTAAAACCAATGACGAATAACTTAATAACGCATTAACGTAGCCACAAAGCAAATAAATTGACCTTACTCTTACTCCGCCGACACTTTTCTTTTCGGTTAGGTTATGGGAAAAGAAAAAATTAAGGTATGAAACAAACTATATAATGTTACTTTTAATTTGAATATTTCAATGTCTCTCGATGACGCAACACGCTCAATACCAGCCTGACGAGCAGGTTTGCAAAATCAATGAGAGTAGAGCAAGAGAAAGTTAACGTCAGGACAGAATCGTTGCAAGTGCAAAGCTGCTTACTACTACTACTACTACAATGAAAAACAAAGTTCTGCGAAAAGTATCCAGATTATTGTATTTAATACTCTAAGACAAAACTCGTTTTCGAGCTTAACTCCTCGAACCAGTTCATGATTTTTGGTTTAGAGAATAGTAACAATTATTGTAGTTTTACATAAAACGTATGTCCAAAATCAATATCAATAACTATATTAAGGCGAATTGTATTAAAGTTCAATGACATGGACTCCCAAGATTATGAAGTTGGGTTATCATCTGACCGGCTATTCGAAGCGTGGGTGTCCTAATTGTTAAAAACAGCCAATACCTAGCCTGCCTGCCTGCTAACTACTTACTCAAATTAAATAGGATCCCCTACTTTTAAATAAAAGCCCCTCTTAGGTCCGGGTAAAGACGTTTGTCTTTGCTGTAATAATTTCGTTGCTATTTTCGGGTTAAAGGGTGGTTTTAAAGTATATTCCACAAAAAAAGCCTCATCTCCATATTTACAAAAATAGAGACAAAAATATTTATTTAAAAAAAGGAGTCCGCCTTCCGCACATATTGTCAGCAATGGAGCTGATAAAATATGTTATACTTTTATTAAATATAATATCAAATTGATTGTTTGCACTAGGTTAATTTATGAAGACCTGAAATATTTCTGTTGGTATAAGTGCTATTATATAGAAACTATTATCTCCAAAAACAGCGGAAAGCGTATCTCAGACGCCACCCAAAGCGCAAGACTATTCAAGACATGTCAATTGTAAGATAGTCAGATGAGTCAGTACGTGAGTCAAACAGTTTAGATTAAAACGGGTAATAAACCATGTTTATTTATGATACAGGAGGAAGGGACTTCTAACTCAGGAGATGCATATGGTTGCCAACGATCATAGAAATTAGACAATATATATGTTAGCGCCGCTAACTTCAATGACTAAACAACAAAATATAAATAATGAATAATTTAGCAGGATATACAAGTTTATGTCTAAAATAAAAAAGCCTACAATGTAGGGTGATATACAGAAACAACTATCACCAATTATGACTCCTGTAGTTCATGAGAATCCAATCATTTTTTGATGTATTGTAGACAAACTAATGCTAAGTCTTAGTTTCTCAATCTTACCCTTAGCATAAGAATAAATTAAAGTAAAAAATTATCTTAGCTTCCATTATAAAATCAAAAGACAAGTTAAGCTTATGTAATTATTCCTTGTCACTCCAAATCTCTAATGGAGATGCAGTCAATCCCTTAGTTAATGACGGATTTATAAAGAAGTGTATCATAAACGTTTGAGTAACATTGGAAAAGCACAGCAAAAAGGCAAACCTTGAGACATTTGAGACAGAATGTGTGTTGGCATGGCAAGACTCGCGATGATGTGTCCAGGCGCTCCAAACAGACTGAACACTCCAACAGGTCATTGAGTAGACCCTCATCCATCCCGTCCTTACACTGAAAACAAATCTAAAACTCACTTTCAATTGTACTATAATTGCTTTACATGCAATATAATTTTATTACATGATAAAATTGCAGAAATAATTTATTAAAAACTAAAATATTTCCCCCTATCCCCAACAATCTCGTTTGTAGGATATGTGGCCTATTTAAATCGCATTTTTATCTATTAAGTAACAAAATTAACTCCTAATTTCAAGTCATATAAGTCCAGATGAGAGAAAGAGATGAATATATTCCTTAAAAGTGCACCAGAACTGGCATTGTATGTGTCTTTAGTGTATTCAAAGAATTGAACAATGACTATCATTCTAGGAAAATCATGTTTTCCAAGCCAAGTTCACAACACAGCTAACTTACTTGTTTATTTTATGAACAAATATGTCAAAATAATAATAAATTTTATTTTCGTGTATGTCTATTTTTTCTAAAATAAAACATGTAACAACAACAATATTTAACAAGAAATAAATATGTGGTACTTATATATATTTTGAACAAGCTTTTTTAGTTTAGAAACAAGAAGAGATCATAACTGAACCTCTATTATAATGAATATCGAAATTTAATAGATTCATTTATTTTCTTATAAACAAGAATAAAAATAATAAAAAGTAAGCCTTTAGAATCAAAGAATCTTAATGTTAACATTATTTGGTCATCATTTAAAAAATATACCTAATGAACGTAGATGTTCATTTCCAAAACCGATGACTTAAATCAGTTTTGAATTATATTGAAGGTAACGGTAACGAGTTACTAAAGTTTACATGCATATTAGATCCTAAAAGGCGGTGACTCACCGAATATTTTGAATTCCAACAACGCTAGCGGCTACTCAATCCATTATTACAAGAAACAAAACCTGGAGCACTGAGCAACCACCCTAAACACTACTCACTTAACAATTCTACAAAATGACTTAACACTACTCATAATTAATCACAATAACTGCTGCCATTATACAAATAAGCGAATAAATATTGCGGGGGTAAATTAATTACTATTGCAAGAAAAATGCACTTGTTCACAAAAACTAATTAAATTTCACGCAGAAATGCCAAATGCCATTCTCGTTAGTCGTTTCTCACGGCTTGCACCACAAAATACAGATTGCATATTGAGTGCATAACACTCACAGACTATTCGCAAACATGAACCCAAAGACAGATATTCTATCGTCTACAGACACACTACGAATATTAATACGAAATTGGGCAGCTGAGAGAAAACAAGTAAAAATGATAATTAGCTCATTATCATATCTGTGTATTATTCCTAAATATTTATAACTTTTCGTGTATTCGACAACTGGGCCTTGACACAGATGTTGGTAATAATTGCAATTTGCAATAACCAGTTGCAGACAGCTTGCAGTTGATGAGTTGATGACTATTAGCACTTAACAACAATGTGCGCAAATACTAAATCACTACTCATTATGTGTTTAGGAAAACTTAAACTAATAACATTTTTATGTGTTAAGATATAAAGGAACAACATAATATTCCTTCGTTTGCTGTTTTTGCGCGGTTTCTATTATATTCTAGCCTCTAGGTAAGTACAGTCTTCCTATGTCTTCCACTAAGCGCTCAAGTCAATGCTCCTTTGCCATTCCACATACCGACCGCGGTCGTTTGGTCACGGCGAAAACGTCCTCATGACTCATGACAATGCTCACGCAACGCTCACAACGACCCATCTAAAGAGGTGGGTCGTGTGAACGTTGAGAATAATTTGGCGCAATTTTTGAAATATGACAAATAATAATATTTTATTCAAAGCTTAAATGGCGACAAAAATCACATTATTTGATTCAGAAAGAGAAATTGTAAAGCCATCGATTATATTTAAACTTAAGTTGTTTGATAACTTCACCAAAATTATTTATAAAATATTCAATTATTCTTCACTTTTAACATAAATAAATTTAAGTCACAAATATCAAAACTTATTGTTTATGATTACCTAACCTCCTTAAAATTCTACTATTTTCAAACTTGACATTTGTAATATTTACAGCCCGAAACACTGAACGCCCGAAACGCTCCATAATCCATTCCACTTGAGTTAACGACAGTAACATTCACAATCAAGTGGAATGGGGAAATCAGCGGTCGTGAGCGTAATCGTCGTGAGCGCTTAGTGGAACGCACCACTAGTTTGAGCTCGCAGACATCTGTCAATGTCACCGACTGTAATTACAGACCAAGTAGCGATGTACAAATACTAATGTGTAAAATGATTAATAAAAATGTTGTTCTTGTTTTGTTAAACTAAGTTACATTGAGTGGGTTTAATTTAGATTTTAGGGATTAGGGTATGTTCACTAAATTGTAATATCCTATATTGCAATCATGTCTCGAGATAAAAGCGTTTGGTTTGCCGAAGAAATTTTATTGGATGCTAAACTTATCAATTTTCAATTGGAAACCGGAGAATGGGATGCTGTCGAGGAAATGTTACGCGCTGAAGCTCAACTCTCAAGAGATGCTGAAACTGGACGATTAAGACCGTAAGAACTTTGACGATTTTAATGATTTCAGCGATTTAATTTATAATTAAATTTTTATTTAAAACTTATTGTGTGCAATTACACATTAAAAAAACATTTTATTCTTTCTACAGGAAAAAAGCATCAGAATATACATTACGTCTTATTGCTGAAGTCCTACATATTATGAGACTAGATGTTGAACAAGCGTCATACAATCGTAGCACATTAGCTGTTGCAGAACAATGCCTAAGACTGGTGCGTTCATGTGCAGCAGCTGGAACTAAAATGCAAACATACATTTCAAAAGAACTTTCCATTCTTGATTCAATGTTGATTTTGGCAACAGAGTATCAACATCCAAATATTGAATACCTTAATGAAGAATTACAAAAGAAATATGAGTCATGTATGGCAGTCCTCATACAAACCCTGGGAAATTTAGTTGTGAATAATCCTTTTAATCAGATAATAATATGGAATAAGTTTGAACCAACTATACTCAATTGCTTAGTTGGACAAAATGACAAGATTGCTTCAGCTGCTGCTATGATTGTGTACAACATCTTACTAGGCCAGCCAAATGTCTTGCCAGATGACGTCACATTATTGAATTCTTTGGCATATATGTATAATAATGATAATGCTGAATATCCTCATTTAATTATAGAGTATTTAATTGGCGTAGAAAATACATATATAGAAAAACTTTATTCAAAGTTAGAGCCAGAAAGCCGAATGTTAGTTTTGAATCTAGCCTATAATATTCTAATGTCTACAGAATCACAAGACATTAATGTGTCTGTTAATTTTGTTAAATTTATGGCACATGAATTTAAGAGTAAATCAGATTGTATCTTGAAAACAATAGACAAATATGTAAATACAATAGAACCACAAGAAGTAGTATTTCTCCTTGAGATTATTGCTACAGCATCTAGTATGGATACCTATATGGACTGCTTACAAAGTGACACATCTTTATTTATCAACTGTGCATGTAAGTGTAATTTTTTTTAATCTTATAAAATTCAGTGTATTATACATACTACTATTTACTTTAATGTTTATTTTATAAGATCAAATGAGCTACTCATGTAAATGTTTCAGTTTTGTTCAGAGCTATACACAAATTGGGTAAAGAGAGCAACAACTTCTTTTCATCCATTAACAAATTGTATGCTGCAACAGGAAAGCAATTGGTATGTGATGATAACATGCCTGCATGTACCACACCAGGTGAAAGTAAGTTATTAGAGTGATTGCATTAATACTGCCCTTAAATTCTTAATCTTAAATTCATGTGCCATAAATTTTACAGACACATTAATCTTTTGTGATTCTGTTGACATAAGAATATTATAGGCTAGATTCAAAACTTACATTCGGCTTTCTGGCTCTAATTTTGAGTAAAGTTTTTCTATATATGTATTTTCTACCCCAATTAAATACTCTATAATTAAATGAAAGTATTCAAAAATAAGGAAAAATCTTAATTTTGTAAGTGTGCAATGTGCAAGATTCACTTTTAAAACATTTTTCAGATCCTCTTTGCAAAAACGACTCGGCTGATAATATGCTCTCTTGTAATGAAACTACATCTGAGTGCACAGAATCAGAAAGTAGTGAACAGTTCTTTGAATGTACTGATAATTTAGTTTATAATGATAAATTAGATATTTTAGCTCCACCTGATTTTACTCCAAAGTTTGAATTGGAAAAATCATCTCGACCCTTAGATGTTAAAATAGATCATGATTTAACAAAAGTTGCATTCAAGCGAAGCAGTTCGGTTCCAAAGGGCGCGACTGATGAAAGAATTCAACTTCCAACCCGCCGAATCAGTTTGGAACATAAAATTGATATTTGTGATGATAATGAGCCACCTTTGATCATTGATGCACAGTCTCCAACAGCAAGTATGAACACAATTGCGGAAGTCATTCCGGTTGCATTACAACCAAAGCTGGAATTTGATAACAGTAGAACTGATTCTCAAGATAGCTCACCAAATGATCCTCCTACAGAAATACATCTTAACAAGGAAGAACTTAAAGATACAAGCATCAAAGCGTCACCAAGTGAAATATCTCCACCCTTATCTGAAAATATACATGATACAGAGTCTCAAAAGCAATCACCTGATACTCCAAAAGAAGTGAAGAAAAGTCAGAACTTATCAACAGATTTTGATTTAAGTGAACAGTTACAGAAGATTCTAGGAATATCGTCTGAAAAGACCCGGGGAGATGCAACAATGGAGAAAAAAAGTGATCCAATAAAAGAAGTCAAGATATCTGATGAGATTACTTCAAATAAGGTGCCATTTGTGAAAATTGATTCACCAGAATCACTAAAGACAAGGTAATATAGTAATAAGTTTTCAATCTTATATTACTCTAATGACATATTACCTTCTGTTAGTGATTTGTAGTATTGCTTAGAACTTTGAACTTATTATATATAATTAGTAAAATATGCATAAAAAGGATATTAAAGCTTATTCTTGACTAGTTTTTGGTTCATTTGATTTATGATTTAGTGAAGTTAAACTTGAAGTTATTTCATAATAACTTATTAAAATACTTAAATTTACTGTTTATTCCAGATTGGGGGCAATAGATATGTCAACACCAAAGAAAGCAATAACAAGTGTAGATACAGTAGAGAGACATGTTGCTTTTGGATTCAAAGCAACTTTAGTTAGAACGCTTGCAAATCTCTGCTGGAAAAACCAGGAGAACAAGAGACAGGTATATTTTTAGGTTTTGTGGCTTTCATGTGATTTGGAGAAAAATTTGTGATTTTAGTGTTGTAAATAACTTACCAATTAATTCCTACCTAACTATTAAAAAAGTGGATATTGAAAAGTCTCAATGGCCCAGCGTCAAGGCAACCTAGACCAAAAGTGTTAAAGTAACTTTCTAAGCGTCTAGCCAATTTATTTCTAATAAATCTTCATCAAACAAACAGTCTTTGTTCTTGCAAAAAAAAATTTTTGTGATGATGTGTTAAGTGTTTAATGTACAACTTATTGACACGTGAAATATATCGTTTAAGAGAGGATCTAAAATTATGATAAACTTATTATATACTAATAAAACTCCGCCCTAACGCACATTCTCGATCTAAGATATAGTAATTGACGTGGAACAAATTGTTTTAAGGTATGTTACTTCTTATTTCAGATGCGAGAATTAGAAGTAATACCAGTACTTTTGGATTGCTGCAACATTGATGCTCGAAATCCCCGTATCCTTTTCATAGAAGTCTTTCTCTATTCATATACTAGAACCTACTCCTAGTAGACCAGGTTAGAAGCCTTTAAAAATAACATAAAGTGAAAAAAAATAACAGTAGAAGAAACCCATTGGAAAGGAGGAGAATATTATAAAAATTAAAGGGAAAATAATTTACGGGCGATCTGAGGTCGCGAAAAGGAAGGGCAAATTAAAAGTCCTATAGAAAAAAGTCAAATTGCAAAGTTGTAGATAATAAAAAGATCTAAAACTTTTGTATTTACACATTTTTCACATAACCTCAAAATTTATGTGAAAAATTCAAAAAACCAAGTTCTTGGTTTTATATTTTTCTCTTTTACAAAATTTATTTTTTTCCCACGGAATTTTGTGAAAACTCACCTTTTTATGTCCTAAATACGCTGTAATTTATTTTTTCACCTTTGAATTAATATCGAAAAAGCACCCCAATTTTCAATCGAAAATTCACCCGTCAAAATATCAGCTTTATTCAAAAAGCTGTTCGTTGAAATTTCAAAGAAAAAGATATATTACATTATCATATTGAAAATACAAAAAATCGAATCGAAAAATGCAGTAAATTTGTCACAATTCTCTTAAAGCAACTCAGCCTGCACATGTATTTTTATAAATGATGTTGTTCACTGCTCTGCTATCTCAAATACTGGCTAGGTAAATAAGTGGTTCATTTTGAAATTTTCCTTTACAAAATATCTTATCTTCGAAATAATTTTCCTGATTATGAATTTCCAGTGATAATGCAATGGGTTATATTTGCAGTAAGAAACTTATGTGAGAATTGTCCTGAAAACCAGGTATGTAATTTAAAAACATCTTAATAAGTAGTGAAATAAAAACGTCAATAAACGTTATTTTTAATTGCAGGAGGTAATATCAAAAATTACCCTGCAAGGTCCTGTCGACAACGAAGTATTGCAAGAGATGGGCCTAACACTACACGTCGACTCTCAAGGAAATACTATAAAAGTCGGGCCATTGCAGAGAAACTAATTTATTAAACGTCTACTTGTAACGATATCATATATTTGCTATATGTGTAGAATAAAAGTCCATCTAAATATACTATATTAATTCACTTTACCCGGTCGGTAAAGAAATTAATAAGTACTTTTTTATTTACTGGGGTGTAGAACGGACGACAAGAACTGGAAATAAACTCTTCTTCATTCTTATAAAACACTAAGTTTTTCTTTTTTTTAAAAGTTAATATAAAAATTTTACCTTAAAATAAAATTTGTATTGTTTCCTAAGACGTCCGAGGTCCATTATGAGAGTACATCGTTTCCGTTTCCGCCCAAATCGCTAGTATCCGACCTTTTCCCACCACGTGACACCGCCGCCAGCGCCCAGCGTTTGAAACTGGAACTAACTTTTTACCGCGCTAAAGCAAGCCGCCAGAATTCTTTTTCATTGTTTGTCTCATAATAAGAGAACCAGGAAGAGCTTGTTTGGACCTCGGACGTCTTAGGAAACATAATACAAATTTTATTTTAAGGTAAAATTTTTATATTATGTGTTCCGTTTGACGTCCGAGGTCCATTATGAGAGACGTGTTTGTTATCTCCTGGTGGCTTGTAAAGTTATATATAATAACTAAAAACGCAACAATGTGATTTGAATTATATTTTATTTCCGATAGAATCATGATGAAATAAACAATACAAGCTAATTAAAGCCTAAGCTTTAGCATCATTTAATAAACATAATAACAAAATTTTCATTGTTTATAATGAAGTAGAAAACCTGGCTTATCATTAAGCGTACTGAGAAAAAGACTGAGTCTCAGCATTCTGACTGTTATTATCTAGATTCCGACAATAATATATCTTTAATGTACTTTCATGACGCCAATTTGCGTTAGCAAGAATATCATTTATGTTTCCAAAAAAAATTTAGCGAAGCAACAGCTGATCAACTACCCCGCGATGCTTCGATACCTGATTCCAAAAGGGGTTTCTTTACCCAGCCCCTAAAAATTGTGGGCGTAGCTGGTCTTATACAGGAAATCTAGTTGTAATAAACAAATTTGTCAAGGAGCCTCACCTATTATTAGAGACAGTTATGAGTGTCCTAAGCCAAAATAAGGGATTTAGATGCTTATCCGAGCAAGATAAAAACGTCCAACTTGATTGTCTATACGTTCCTGTATCTGTTTTAGAACCGAAAACCGGATGCAAAGTGATGGAATCACCGTTATCAATAAAATGCTGAGGCTCGCAATGCAAGAGAGTTAAAACATGAACTCTATGCCCAGAAGCCAATAAATTATTGTGGCTGTGCGTTTCGAGATATGAAATAAATTTTGCTCATCTAGTTTTAGGCTTTTAAAATAATTTATAACTATCCCCGCATCGCATACTGGCAATTACTGCGCGATTGGTCTAGCTATAGATAGGATTGAGCTTTAAGGATGTGTTTTACTAATTTATTAGATGAAATTTTTACATCGCTTAGAGCCTCACAAATTGATGCTATGTCAGATTTGTGAACTAAAATAGATATAGATCTATTTAGATATATAGATAATAGATTTAGATATATAGATATCTATGCCAGATGATCCTTTATAAATAGGTTTGCTAAGTATCCAGCTACACCAGGAGGAGCCGGGAATCGACAATTTATATTACTATGTTGACACCAATTTACTCATTTATACCAAATAGGGGCATATGTTTTCCTTATTAAAGCTCTCAAACACGACGAAATAAGTTGTTTTTCGTCATGTGTTTACCAGCCAAAATCAGCCACGCTTCCAACTGTAATTTCTGCCCTTGAGGAGAAGGTTGACCCGTTACGGTATTTGTCAGGGTTTTGTTTAGATTCCGTATTGGTAGCGAGGGTGCAAGTGCTCGGCCTTTCAAATCCGGGCGCCAAAAAGGCTTCCTCCACCTGGGTGCTATGATTATGACCTTCCCTTGGGATAAGTTGAGATGGTGCAGCACTCGAGGTAGAGGCACTGGCGGTGGAAATATCCACGCTAGGTCATATCGCCAGCATTTGCTGAAGGCGTGGTGAAGCAAGTGTTGGAGTCTAATAAGTCTAGCGACACATAACTTGCCACGACAAGAGCCTCTCGTGACGCGAAAAGATCTATTTCGGGGGTTCCCCATCGTCTGAATATGTCCGTGGTTGCCTCTTTCAAGAGATGCCATTCGGTGACCTTGCGATTGCGCGAGAGGTAATCGGCTTCCACGTTGTACATTCCCGGCAAGGAAGTGAGGGATAAGTACAATATTCAAACTGTCCGTCAGTGCCAGATGATCTTTTGTCAATTTTAACAGCATTTGGGACCTTGTTCCTCCTTCGTTTTTTTTATGTACGATACAACAGTTTTGCTGTCGCTTTGCAGGATTACCATCGACTTCTTTAGGACTTCGGATGTCAAAGACATTGTTGCTACCACAGCGTGCATCTCCTTTAAATTGCAATACCACTCAATCTGACTTTGAGTCTAAGAACCATTCAGGGGCTTGTTGTTGATTAGCGCTCCCCATTGTAGATCCGAGGCATCGGTGACAATGTAATTCACATGCCTTGTTTTGAAGTGATCGGTGTTTTGTGACTGAGGTTGTGCAAACACCATACCATGTCCTGATTCACCCCTGCAAGAGAAATCGGGCAAAGAGGAGCTCTCCTAAAAGCATTGCAGTGTCGCTGCAGCGTTCGGCAAAGCAACCTTCCCCGGTGGGTGATGAAGGTCGCAAAATTGAGATACCCTAAGAGGCGTTGGGCCTGCTTGAGGGTCCAATTTGCCGGCTGACAAGCGTGTTTTCAGGCACTGACGAACTTTTTCTGCGGGTAAGGACTTTACATTTGATAGTGTGTCCCACGTGATACCCAGAAAATCGATCGACTTCGTTGGAGTGCATATCGACTTCTCTAGATTTATGGTCCAGCCCAGGTTCTTCAAAAAGGTCATGGCTATGAAAACCTGGGAGTTAAGAATTTTCTGTCCTGGTGGACCAGTAAGTAATCGTCCAAGAAAACGATCACTCTTAAGCCCTGACGGCGTTATATATAGCTCGGCTGTCCAATTTGTCACCGAAGCAAACATTTTCGGAGCTATGGCCAACCCCAATAGGTAGACAAGTCATTTGATGGAGCCTTCCCTCGTAACTGATACGCAGAAAGCAACGATGTTCGAGGGAAATCGGTACATGATAGTAGGATTGCCTGAGATCCAGCTTTACCATCCAATCGCCTTTTTGTAGGAAATTTGGCATTTGGTGGTGATGAAACAGATGAAAAGGTTCTGGTTTCATGAACCGATTGAAAGGTATTCGAGCGGAGGTTATTATTTTTAGAAAGAAAAGAGGTTTTAATTTCGCCAAATTTTTGTGATTGTTCCTTAAACATCCGCCCGAAAAGCCCATCGAGTCACTTATGTTGGTATTTATTTGGATTGTTATATTTGCCCCCCTTTTGATGTGAAACATCTATAGCCGCACGTAAAACCGATTTCTGGTGTGGCGACGCATGCAGTGACGACGCCACGCTATATCATGGTATATATACAGTCTATATGCAGTAGTGTGTACGGTGTGTGTATTTCGAAGTCACTGATTAAACGAATTAAGTAGTCACGATTTGAAATAAATTCGTAAATTATTGTATTTAAATGAAAATAAATGATTATTCAATAAATAGTCATCGTTATTTTAACAAAATAATGTCGATGTTTCACATCTGCCAGGTGTCCCGTGACGGCTCACATTTTTTTATTTTCGTGATCATCGAAATTGTGACTCTTTTGTCCTTGTTTTGAGTTGTATCGGTTACCAAGAAAGGGCTTTTGACTAACCTGAGACGTTGAAGCTACAGGCGATTAAAAACGTATGCGTGATTTAACGCGTAGGTATTGTTTTAGATTGGTACCCGCGAACTCTGTCAATTTTGACAATACTACCAACATTTTGTAAATATGTAGATAATTTTTCAGGATTAAACATGTACTCCGAAGAGGGGTGGGAATTTTATCTAAATCTTCTCTAACATGTTTTTCAAGTTTGACCAAAACATTCTTGCAATTTATTATGTATAGAATTTAAATTAAGAACCGCGTTCGACTGAAGACCGCTAAAACGCTACGTAACGCTTTATTGATAAACTCATTTTTAAATCGGTAAAAGCAGGAAAAACAACGTATTTCTTTTGTATATCAATATAACGTACACAGTTCAAATCAGAAATGTAAAAACCTCTGCATTGAAATTAATATTATAATTTATAACTCGGAGGTTCTTGAACCGACACGTCTAAATGAGCAATATCATTAAATACAGCCGCATGGTTCAAAAAAGGGTCGTGTAGGTTTGCATTATTAGATTCGGTCACTTTATGTAACATGCTAGACGACGCAGCATAATTGTAAAAAAAAGTATTATTAAGGTGACTCACCAATTACTGCGACAATTGCTCAAACCTGAGAATAATCACGTGAATTACTGCGCACGTGGTTATTTCGTCTTTGTTATGGCGGCGGTTCTTCATCCTCTTCACTCGTACTCGAACTTTGCGAAGAACTCGGCTTGTCAGAACTTGCAGAGACAATATCTCCCGTGATATGAGACGGCTTTGTAAAGCGCGGGTGAGGCACGTTTGACCGCGTGGCCGACACATTTACACCGGTTTTAGCACTTTCATTAGCCATTTTATATTTTTAACGTGAAAACCGAGTTTACCATTTTACGAAATAATTATTTCCACTTTGAAAATAAATTTTAGGTCGATATAACTTTGAATATACTGATTCGTTTTTAAGTGTGCACTAGCGACTGTGCAACACGAAAAACGACGCAACAATGAACAAGAATTCTGGCGGCTTGCTTTAGCGCGGTAAAAAGTTAGTTCCAGTTTCAAACGCTGGGCGCTGGCGGCGGTGTCACGTGGTGGGAAAAGGTCGGATACTAGCGATTTGGGCGGAAACGGAAACGATGTACTCTCATAATGGACCTCGGACGTCAAACGGAACACATAATACGGAGCTGCAAACATTACATCATACACCTCGTCACACCTAAAGCAATTAATTAAAAATAAGTAAGGAAAACATCAAAATAGAGCCTACTCTGTCCGTAATAGGAAAAGTGAAATAGAAAAAATAATAAGGCCTATCCTTTATGTGATGAATAATATAAAATAACCAAATTACCATTGCAAATTGCATACAGACCATCTATCCTGATTGAATATGGTGGCGCGGGACATTCCGTTCAACCAATCAGCTCGCGAGGTGCGATCCGTTTCACAAATTGACGGTTTCACTTCGATAGATTACAATCTACCGAATAATAATACGTTAAATTGTAAGCAGTTCGTTGAGGTTCACAATCTTTCGACAGTTTACAATCTCGCGAGACAGATTACAATCTAACGGTGTTTACAATTTTACGGTGACATATACATAGATGATAGAGCAAACAATAACAGCTGACAACTGATGTAAATTGTAATGTTATTTTTCAATTCATAGCCTAGCGGTCTTATTAAGTGGCAGCTAGGTGAGGGTACCGGGTTCGATTCCCGGTTCGAGGGTAAGATTTAATTTAAATTTGTTCTCGGCCTTTGGGAGGGTTGTGCGCAGCGTTGCCATGCCGTTGAAAATGAAATGCCCCGCGCGGGACAGACTTTTTCCCGCTTTTTGGGGTTAACTCAAGACACCACTGCCATGCTCGGAAATGGCACCAGCTCTTTTAACAGCTACCAAAAAAAGATACCAGGTATATCATATTATACTCATTCCTCAGAGTTCTGACAATGATTTGAAACGCCATAATTGTCTAATGAATACTTTTTTTGGTTTAGTTTTGTTTATTTTATTTTTTTTATTAAGATGACAAGTATTTCACGATAGGGTCACCTTTAGTTAGTAGAGTAAAATATCACCTTTAGTTACTATGTCCCGCTATCGATGAGAGATTCCCGCTTTTTTAACTCAAAAAGTTCCAAAATCCCGCCTTGACAATAAAAAAATCTGGCAACGCTGGTTGTGCGGTACCGGGCGAGGGCTTAAACCGTACATGGAGGACACGGTCGAATTTCTAAGGCAAGCACGAATTATAAAAATCTTATACTTGACGCTGACTAATGCACAAACCGTGCCAGAGCCATAGCCAAAAAAAAATTCAATATGATAATTGTCAGAACATGAAAATGCCAGCAGATAAATATATATTGTAATTTACACAGATGTCGCCATTATAAATAAAGTGAAGTGAATATTATTGTAAAATGTTTTAGAACTTGAGATTTTCCTAGGCCCGTGAAATAATTCTCAATATCTTAAAAATAATAATGGTTAAAATAGCGCTTCAAATCAAAGCATCACTTGAATGTATCGAGAAATTGTATACCAATCATCCATACTACCAGTGGTTTTTAAAACTAAAATGTTGTAGTTGCGGTGAGGAATCAGACAAGTTTCACGATCTTACTGAAGCCGAGAAAGTTCCACAAAAACATAATAGATCAGAGACTAACTTGCTTATCAAGTGCAAATTGTGTTCCAGAGAAAATAGTATTGATGTCATTGAAGGGAGCAATGGTGTGTTTGTATTGTTCACAGTATTTTAACAATTTACTTATTAATGATTTTTGATAGCATGATAGCTCTTATATATCTTATATTGATTGGGATCTTCACACATTGTTTAAACATAGCTTTGACTATTATATAAGGCTTTGCATTTCCTGTGAAAAATTTCAGTCTTAATTAAAAAATTAAAGAGTTATTTGCAAATATCATACAGTTGACTACTTTTAAATTTACACCTTGTGTCACAAGATGCAGTTGAGTTACAGTGTACATCTCACAGGTCAGCTTCTTCCAGCTCCCTCCATTAAGTCCTGCCTTGCTAAATTTAAGCCACACCTCCCTCTGTGCTATCTAGGTTGTACCTATTTTACTATTTCAATGTAATGTCAATAATGTTTGCTGATAATTTAAATGAATAACCTGGGTATATAATATAGTAATACAAGACTATTTAATAAAAAAAATATCATTTAATATATATCAAATATTTATTTATTCATAATATAATAAATCCAAAAAAATAATATCTACAACAATCTTCTCATATTTAGTTATTTTTATTTATGAAGTTTTAACTTATATGTATTTTAGGTATATTAACCAGTGAAGATGAAAATAAATTCAAGACAATAGTTATATTTGACTGTAGAGGAGTAGAACTTGTAGATTTTCAACCAAAATCTGGCTGGATTGCTGAAGCAGAGGATAATGGTTATTTACATTTTTTGTTATTAATATAAGTGCTATAATCCGATCAAAAAGTATAAATATCAGTCAAATCATAAGAGACTGTTAATCAAATTTATGATCAGTTTCTATGAAAATACAACAGTTGAGCTTTGGTTAAACAATCCTGGTTCAGTCTGATCAGTCCTGGGCGGCTCTCTGAATTTCACTCCACATACTAGCTTCCTTCGCCTCTGCAATGATGCCTTGTTGCCAGGTCTGTTTTGGGTGGCCATGTTTCCTTTTGGCTTGAGGATTCCAGTTGAAGGCTTGCTTGGCAATAACACTCGGAGCCCTCCAGAGTGTATGGCCCACCCATTTCCATTTTCGTCGTTTTATAGACCTGTCAATTGGCACCTCATTGCAAAGCTCCTATAGCTCATGGTTAGAGATTTTCTTAAAACGACTAAGGGAAATTGTTAACCATGATGCGGTATTGGCTGCCTATCATGCAGAGGGTCTTCCCTGTACGTATATTTTAGAACTCTCCTTAGTCGTTCACAAAAACATAAATATTTTTATTATTAGGTCATGGTAGTTGGCCCCAGTTATGGGCTGTCAATAGGCTTGGGATAAAAGCTCATGGTTGGCCCCAAGTAATGATTTTGATTTTGATCATCGGTCAAATGTATGAAAATTGGTATTGCGAAAAAGTTGTCTCTGGGCGTTAAGATTTTACATGTAGCTTTATACACCCTACCTGTACTCTCTCACGTTATACTAAAACATACTAACACTAATTTTCTAATTAGAAAAATTGGGTTCCAGGTAAGAAGTTTGAAGAAGTAGATTTATCAGAAAAGGAGTGGGCAGAATATGATGAAAAGAATCAAAACTCAGTGGGTGTGTATGAGCTTGAATGGAATTTTGTAAAAGTTAAGTAATTACAAGTTTTATTTACTTTTGTTGACTATAATTAAAATGATTTACGACTTTTTTTGAGGTTTTTATTTCGTTCAATATATCAATATTGTCTGCGGCATAGTAATGTGGTATATATCGAAGATGAAAATACTATGTACATACCGTCACAATATGATGTGCTTATATTATAGATTATGCCAGCAATCATACTCTTTCTTATACGCATGAAACATAATGATTTATGTAAAAAAATTTTACGGAAAAGGAAGACTCATTAACGAAAGTGAAATATTCACGGCTCAGTGAATTGTGCGACGTAAGTTTGTTCATACTTTGCAAATCGCCAAGTGCGCAAATTTCGCTTCCTTATTAACCGAATGAATGATTTTTATAACGTTAATTTGACTTCAGAAAGCAATCCGAAACAAATATTATGTATAAGGTAAAACCTACTTCGTTGTACATATTGTTGCTTCTATAAGGCGCGAAGAACTATAAATAAAACTATACAAGAGCAAGTGAAATTTGTGTAAAGATAAAATATTAGTGTTCATATTTTTTTGTATTCTATCTTTATTATTGTAATAGATCGCTTATTATAGCCAATGCGTGATAACTTGAAATGGATTTGAGTTGCGCGTAGTAATTTCTTAGAAATAAAACAGCGTGAGGTGTAATACTTATTTTTTATCTTCATTCATACACGCATTATTTACAAGTTTTATTTTAAAGATTAAGTTCAGTCTTCAGAATCAGGTGGGACTTTAAGCTTGAAATTAAAACGTTAAAACGTAATATCACAGCATCCCATTTCATAATTTAACACAAGCACTTTCACAATAAACTTAGCTAAATATTACTCTAAATTGTCTTTCTAAGCAGTGCGGGGTGTCGACGATGACGCAGTGGTGACTTCGTTGGTCTGACCTCGACTCCATGTCGTCATAGCCAGAGTGTCCACGGACAGTGACTCCGTAGGGAGTTCCCGTGACGTCATCGGGCCCGCTGCCGCCCATCATATCCGCTGTGACTCCTGCGATCAAATGATGTACTGAACTGCCGCCTGCAACGTTATCATCGTTGATAATTTGGAAGGGATGGTGTATGTAAACGGGGACTTCTATCGGCACCTGCACTGGTACTTTTACTGGGACTTTTACGGGATACGGTACTTTCACAGGATAGGGGACCTTTTTTTCGACTGGGTAAGGTTTGGGAACATAAATCGGGACCTTCTTCTCAATCTCGACTCTCTGCGGAACTGGCACTTCTACTCGGACGGGCACTCGTTTCTCGACTTCTACCGGATAGGGAACTCTCTTTTCCACATGAACGGGGACCGGATGAGGCACTTTAACTGGGTATGGTTTAGGATAAGGAACTCTTACTGGCACATGCTTTATAACTTCAAATGGTTCTCGGACTCTTACTTCAATCGGGAACGGTACTTTCTTTTCTACGGGATAAGGTCGCGGGATGAAGATTTTGAATGGAACAGGATATGGAACTCGCTTTTCGACATGGACCGGGACAGGGTAAGGTTTTTCGACGGGCACTACCACCTGAACGGGAAACGGCACTCGCTTCTCGACTTGCACTGGCACCGGATGGGGAACTTTAACTTCTACTTGTTTAATAATGGGCACTTGGTGGACAACCGGGAATGGCCTTGGAATATATTCCTTTTCGACGACCTTTACGGGAAACGGTTGAGGAACTTTTATGTGCACAGGATATGGAACTTTTTTTTCTACAGTGACGGGATATGGTCTGTTCACTACTTTAATTTTTTCTACCGGAACCGGCACAGCCACTTTTTTCTCGACAGGGTAGGGTTTGGGCACTTCGACTTTATATGGGACTTGCACGGGTTTCTCGACAGTCTTAATGTATCGATGATGGTGGTGGTGATGATGATGCTTTATCTTCGTATGTACCTTAGACTGGCCGCTTGCTTCGCCATGAAGTTCACTCAGATCGACTTGTGGAGCGGGAGGCAAACTAGGTAGACGTTTCTTCTTTTTACCAAAAATCATCACATTTGGTGAAGCGGGCTTGGAACTCTGCAATGACTCGCTCATTGGAATCAGTCCGTAGGTATGTAAATATAGTGGGTTGTTTGCATTGGCAGCACTCGATTGATGATTATTAAGGTAACTATTGTAACTATTATCTTTGAAGTTATTATAAAAGTCATTTAGTTGGTTGTCTTTAAAGTAATCATCCGTTTGGTAATCCTTCAAAAAACTCAGTGGATAGTTTTTAGTCACATAAGGTGAACTGTCAAAATATGATTCGACGGAACGTTTCTTACGATGTGGCCGTGACCTTAACTTTGCGAAATGTGACGGTTGTATTGGGACCCATTCGTTAGGTTTTATAGAACCATTCTCGTGTGTTGAATTTCCATTTTTAGGAGCTCTTGTCACCCTTCTGTATGAACGTTTTGTTGCTGCTTGCTCAGGATTTGCCGTCGTAGTGTCAGACTTGTCGCCGTAAACAACGAAACGTCCATAACTCTCTTCGCCAACATTTATATCGCTGTTGTTATAATTGGCGATTCCGATAGAACTGCTTGCATTAACCGTTTTGTTATTCATCTTGTCCAATATCCTCTTCGGCCATATTCGCTTCGTCCTCAAAAGGCGTGTGGTAGTCGTCGGTTCAATCGTTGTCGGAGGAGAAAGCTCAAAGACGTGGATATACTGGTGATGACGCGAAGGTGGCTTAACGTAATCGGTCCGTATACCGTTAACCGTTTGAACAGGAATATTTGTTTTGACTGGAGCTTTAGTGACAGAGATGGGTTTTCCAGTTGAAGCAGCATATGTCAAGGACTGCGGCATGGGTTTTAACGATGATTGATGGAGGGTTTGCGGTGTTGGTGTTGGAGGTTTAGGGGTGGTCGGTACATAAATCAATTGCTGAGGCTTGTTGTAATAGTGGGAGACCTGTTGACCCGGTTTAACATAATTGATTCCTTGAAACTTATAAATGCCGTTAGTCACTTTGAGCGGCTCTTTTGAATACACGTGCCTCGGGGGTGGTGATTTATAATAGTGTTGGGGAACCGAGATATAGAACTTTTTATCCGGTGTGAGATATATCGGTGGTTTGCTCGGGGGCCTATGCTCGAGTTTCAACGTTTGATTGTAGTTTGAAGTGCCGTTTGGCTGTGGCTTGTGCTTGGTGTTGACGGTAGTCAGGTTTGCAACGACCGGTACAGCCCTCGTCTCCATAGCCATTTGATCGACGCTGGCATCTTCAGTCGCGTTCGCGGAGCATTCATAGACAACAGTCGATAGGGCGATTATCAGGATAGCTGTCTGAAAAGAAATAAATTATATCTTTATGCTATGCAGTCACCACTCATAAAATAGTAAATATTATTAATAAAAATGCAGTTTTGATGTGTATTCAATGTTATTATAAAATAAATATAATAATGTGAACAAGTAGCAGATATCTATTACATTCATTTATTCTGAACGTTATATTGTCATTACTATTCATAGAGAAAACAGCGATAGCACTGCATAATAATAAAATATGTATTTCATTGAGACAGTTACTCGCGTGTTAACACAGGATTCGCATTTTAACATTATAATTATGAATTGCTATATAAAATTATTTATGAACGGACGTCTATTAAATTAATTTATAGACAAATCCTTGTTGGATATTCTCACTCTCTTTATCCACCTTCACAATCTCTCACATACGCCATGAGAAGTCACAAAATTCACTTCACTATATTAATCGTTTTTCACTTTTACACCACATCACATGTCAAAGGTGAATCGGAAATTCCCGTTACTTCGGCTATACCTACCAATATTTGTTGCATAGTGCGGTGGCACTTCTCAATCGCAGCCATTCGCGCAATGATAGATGCGCGGAAGCATTACACACTTAAATAGCATTGGGTCGTGTTTTACTTTCTCTGTCAATGCCAATGTTGATATCTCTAAGAGCTGGCTGAAATCTCAATGCAATTTTGTTGTTTATTTATGTTCTCGCTAAATATCGAGGGCCTCAAAGGAGGGAGTAGAATAAACTGAATACTATTGATTGAATTCCCGGAGAAAAGTCTAATTTATCAGATTGAGGGTGAAGACATGTTTTAATTGATCGGTTATTGTCTTTTATTTATTTCGTAATCCTACAGCTAACAAAAATATATATAAAAACAAACAATTACACTAATAATATAGCCAAAGATGGTATACAATAATATTTACAAAAGGAAAAAAACAATAAAAATTATTAAAATATATATTAAACTAAGTAATACCTAATTTGGCTGTGATGTGTGATGGTGTAAAAGTGAGGGTATGCACATGAAGGTGTGTATATGGGGTCTGCTCATGATGCAGGGGATTTTGCACTATGCATATGCTTAATACTCATTTTAACCATATTTCGCGATAGCTTAAGTCAAGGCTTAAATATTGGTCGTTGGATATCCGGGCTGCGCGATACAAAACTGAGTTTTTTTATCAACACTTACTATGCAATAGTTAAATGTTATGATGTGAGGAACATGAAACAAAGCACGACTACGAGTCTTGTAGGCAGGAACGTGAAAAAATTTTTTTCCAGAAGTGACCTGCAATTAATTTTATTTGAGATGATGACATGTAGTAGCATTAAATTGTATTGTTTTCGTCGAGTCTCGTGTCAATTTTAAAATGTTCACACGCTTCTTTATAGGTATTAAACTTATTATCTTTAAAAAAAAAAAACTTTTATTTTATATTTGTAAATTTATTTTACAATATTCACAGTTTTACACAGTTAATTTGCACCAACATCTCATATATATAATAATAGTATAATTAACAAATAGTACTGATTTGTGTAGATCAGTTCTTTTTTTGTTGATGTAGAGAGGGAGAAACTATGTATTTGAAGTATTTTCTATTATTACTTAATATGCAGTCGGCATATCTTCTTGTTTTAGGCAAATGTTGTTAGATATGGACCATTAACAATCCATTGCTCTAATAAGCAAATAGAATGGCATATTGTAAAATGCGCAAAACAATTTCCCGATTTCCTGTTTCCGCTCTTCCGTGCGTTATTTTAATAACGAGTGCTTTTGACTTACGCAACGATGTGAATATTTGCACGCACGAACTAAACATTCTTAATGCTCAATATTTTAACCATAACAGAATTTAAATATACCGTTATATATTTTATTTCGTGATATTAAGACAAGCCTATAGAGAAAAAATTCAAAACCATAGGTTTGAATAACATTTATTGACTGTAAAATTACTGAATTTCCTTTAAAATTTTAAGTCTGTATTTATCATCGGGAAAACGTATTTTTATAATATGACGTATCTCCTCACAACTATACGTTTCAGATAGCTGCTTATCAGTGGTCCAGAGTTCTGCTATTTCCAAAAGTTGACCCCGGAGTAATTGCGGCATTTTGCAGAACTTCTTCCACGCTTCTACTTTCCCCTCAAATTTTGGTTCCTGAAATAATTTATCATACATTTTAACTGACAATTAACTAACATGAAACAGAACTAAAGAACATTGTCCAAGTGGATTTACCTCAAATAGAGTCCTCACATCTTTTATTGTATCATCAAACCTGATCACAAGCATATAAACCAGTTCTTCATCAATTGGTTGCATATCAACAAAAATTCTATTTAACATAGTCTGACAAAGAGCTTGCACTAATGTGCAAAGTGACAGCTCATACATGTTCGACGGTAAGACACTATTCCAGTATGATTGCAGCTGCCTCATTAAAGTAATTGAATAATTGATGGCATAGTTAAAAGTATCATAAGAATCTAACGTCCATGGAAGGTCTGAAAGTGAGAAAAGTAAGTCATTAATTTGAGGGACTAGGAAAATGTAACATTTAATTCACATGATCAATGAAAATAGCAAAAAGTTTAGAATTAAGATACAAAAAACAAAACTCTTATTAAGCAAAACGTACCATTTGTTTCAACCTTTTCTACAATAATATTTCTATGGTTTTGCAAAAAAAGTGAGATCTTCTCTAAACCAATAAGTCTCAGATCTTGAATGCATTCCAACAGTGTTATATTTAGTGCATCAGCCAATGGTTCAGGTAAAGTATTTTTCCAAGGTGGGCCCAATAAGCTATGAGCTAAGTAGAAGCAGTTGTTGAAGAATAGTGCTAGAAAATTCAAGTAAATAATTCAAAATTTATTATAGCTTTACATTAACAGGCTCGGGGACCTACCATAAACTTTATTATAAAATACCCATCAAACCCGAAAAATATCATGATTTCATTAGTACCATGAAGTGATTCACATCTTATCACTACCCTACATGACCAATGTACTTGACCAACTGTTGTGCTTTTATGTCCTGATTCTATGGTTTATTACTGTTTGATATGATGTTTATTTAGGAAACAGACAAAATTTAAAAAAAATGTTAGATTGCTGACTTATGTTTACTTTGTAATACAAACCTATGTCCAATGGGCAGTATTCTAAATTCACACTAAATTTTTTAGGCACTAGGCTTTGATACATAACAGCTATATCCTTGATGTATACAACAAGTTGATTGCTATATTGCTCTGGTAGTTTTACACTTTCTTCTAAATGTTCAATTATCATACACATAATCTTCTTAACATTTTGCGATATCACACTCTTCGGTAGGAATAAGGGACTCTTCAAATCGTAAACAAAATCTTTCTGTGTTATATCAAGTTTTGAATCACTATCTACTTCTGCTGCTGTTCCGACAGAGATTGTTCCATAAGATATACTTTCATTTAAAAGTTTACGAACATCATGAAGTAATTTATCACACTTTTTATTATAAAGAACACACTTTGTGTCATTGATAAATTGGTTTAATGGTGATGTGCTAGCTTCAATAAATTTTATATCTACCAAAAACTTATTAAACAATTCCAACTCAACAACAATGTTTTTATAGTGTTCATAACTACTATCGCAGGATGGCAAGTTATTCCTTATACAATCATCAATTATTTTGGTGAAAAAACTGTGCCTTATCGTTTTGGCAAAGACTTCAATAAATGTTAAATCAGCTTGCATTTGCGACCCAAGGGTTGATTGCAGGAATTCAAACACTGCAGTCAAATTATTGAAAATAGTTTGTACATTTGGTTGCTTCTGGTCATTTAAATCAATTTTTATATTAAAAACTAGAGCATTAACATGATTTTCTGTTAGTATAATTTCACAATTGTGCCTTATAATATTATGAAGCAATTTATTTAAAAAGAAATCCGAAAAGAGAGCTAGCTCTGCATTTAACCTTTTTGTTGCATAGAGTGAATTTAAAATCTTTTGCATCAAATTGGAGTCACTTTGCTGTACTGACAAGGCATATGTTAAATGGTGCACACCTTTTCTCTCTGTCCATGAAAATATTCCTTCCCATTCAACACTCAAATGAGCTGTGTATATGGATATATGATTCTGACTCTGTTCAATTAAATTTTTTAGGGCTTTATCCATGTTTCCCTCAAACTTAAGAACTAGAAGCTTACTAAGTAGGCTCTTTATACTTAATATAGCTTCACAGTAATTGTATCTTTCCATATCATGATTTGCCTTATCAAGTAATGGCTTACCTTCAACAAGGATACAAAGATTCTTTAAACAATCAATAGAATGGCCTAAGTTTTTACAAGCGTTTTGATATTCTTCTGTTTTAGCTTTATTATCAAGGTTTTCATCAAGAAAATCTATGTCTTGTTTTAGTTTTTCATACTCTATATAAATCATAGATTTACGATTCATATAGTTTAACTGTTCCAGTTTCTTAATCGGATTGAAATTCAAATATAAATCAATAAAATTCTGTTGTAAACTAAATGACAACATCTGTATTCTTTCACTGAGATCGCTAAGTTTAGAAAGTAATACATCACGTTGTTTTTTTAAATCTTCACAAGTAGTATTCATTACTTTACTTTTGAACTTGATTATTAGTAAAAAGTTGTATACAAATAGTGATACTTTTTACTTGCGATGAATCCAAGTTTTTCCAGTACAATTTGAATTTTGAAATCGTACACGAAGATAATCTTCATTAATGTTGACAGTTAATATATTAGTCTTTGGCAGTTGGCAAGTACCAGGGGCCTTAGTCATAAGTCAAGTACAAGTTGCCGTACTACATATAAAGTTGAAAAATAAATTTGTATGAAAATGACAGTTCGTGTCGACGAAATTTACCACAGACTGGTGTTTAAACAAATAAATATTTGGTATCCATAGGCAACTGGTTTTATTTCATGCATTCACAATTACTAAACTGAATTTGTAAATGAAGGTATTTTATTTCTTTTAAGTTAACTTAAAAGAAAAAATTCTCTTGTCTCCTCCAAAGTAAAACGGTATTACCGCAAAGCGGAGGTATTCTTCTATCTACAAATTGATATAAAGACACGTCGCAACGTAGCCGAGATATTTGGAAATTTGGTTTGATCAATATTAAATAAAGAAATAAAAGTAAAGAAGTTATTTTTAGACAATGAACGACAGTGAGCTAGACTGCTTAAAAACAGAATTGGAACATGAAAAAAACTGCAGGTATGAATAAATTTATTAAGTGGCAGTATTCTAAACTCAATATTAATAATTCATTTAAAAGGAACGTTGGTTTTTTACGAAAATTATATAAAAAACACACTATAACAGTCTATTACATATTTTTATTTTATCACTACTTAGCTCTTATATATTTTTTTCATATTATGTAGAGAAACAGCATCATGGCAGAATGGTGAGCTAGAAAACCAAATCGTTTGTATTCAAGAGGATTTGCGCAAAGTTGATTACCCTTGGGACTTCGATAACGATTTGCAGAAAGAAAGCGCAAGGCACCGACAGTTACTGGAAGCCATCGAAACTTTGCGTGAACAACTCCCATTCCTGAGAGAAAAAATAAGAAATGCCAAAGGTTGTGGACCAGGTACTGGATAGGGATAATTAATTTTGAAGTAGCTCTAGCGTCCACTTCCATGTCACTACATGGATCACAACATCTTGTAGTGTTGTTTTTAACTTTCTCTATTTATACCCTTTTCATAATGTCTCGTATGGCGATAAAGATCCTCTCTAATAGATACATTTATTTTCATTGATTTGATTCTTCAAATATCGCAGTCCGATTAACGGTTATTATTTGAAGGATTTTTTGTTAATTGTTTCCCGAGGCTTCGTTGGCGTGGAAATACATAATTAGAAACTGATGAAAAAAATTAGCCAAAATAGGTACCAGAAATTCATTATAAACAAACTCACACAACTTTACCTTTTTTATAATACTATTAGTAATTCTAGTATAAATATTATATTTTCTTTTCAGATTGCAAGCTTAAACATGATGACCTAAATATAAATTTAGATATTCTAACTCCGGTAAATATCTTTAATCTTATGTACTACGTTTTATAATGCTAAATTAGCCTCCAAAAGCCTGGTGTGCTCAGCGACGCAAGACGGTACTTCATTCCGAGCCATCGCTTGCATGGAGTACTGTTCTCACCTCTGGGCTGGCTCCCAAGCACTTTCTACTCGACTGAATTTAACGAAGAGCGGTTCGAATTCTCGACGATCGCTTGGTGGTGTATAGAAATTTGGGGTCTCTCTCTATCTTCTACGGCGTTTTCCATGGACAGCGTTCAAGCAGTCGTTCGGATTAATACGTTTTAGTTTGCTTGTTTATGTTACTTAATTGCTATCTATGTATTTACATTGTATATTTGGACCCATGCGACTTCTTCGAAACGAAAAGTTCCATCCGGAGTTGTGTGCTGCGATATTACGGGCAGCTCGATTCTGAGGAAGTTGCATGGATCTGGTTAGCGCTGTGCTTTATAAGTTCTCACGTCATTGTGACACATGTACCTTTGTATAACATATTTTCATAATTTGATTGTCCTCATTTTAACTTGTGTGATGTTTGGCAGAATATTTTTTTTTTAGTTAAGTTTAGTTAAGATGTATGTTGATTTCAGGCGGAGTTACTGCGAACGGTTAAACGTTTTGAAAGATTAAAGACCGATCTCGTGAGCACTTTGCGCAGTAAGGAGTGGAGGCTGGATTCGGAATCTAAGGTATGTAAACAAATTTCATAATCATATAGGTGCGCGAAAGGCGAGCACCATATATGTAATAAGTTTCTAGGCTAGGTAGTGGGAAGACAAAGAAAACTTCTTCACGTCTAAAGTATATATAATTACTTATTACAACGTACACAGAAGGAACAAAGTTAATAAAAGATATGAGTTGTAGCACAATAAGAGAAATGAAAGCGTTAAGACAAGAATAGATAAATTATAAATCACTAAAGAATAATTCGTAAATCGCGCACGGGTTTCGCCTTTGACAGTTCTGAACGCACTGTCCGCCAGTGTTCACAACCTGAAGCCAGGCAGTTATCGTACCAGGGCCGTAAAATTATCGTATATGTGATCCATATACGATAAATTATCGTACAGTCAGGAAAATGGCTAAAAATACTTTAAAAATCATATGAAACGTGAAAATAAAATGTTGCAAACGATTTATAGTTATCTTGTAAACTTGTGTTTTTCAAATTGAAAAAAATAATAATAATTCAATCTCTTCCGTCAAAGAGGAACAAAAATACGCAATATTTTCTCGTTGAACAATATGGTGTTCGCTCTAAGTGATATACCTTTTGTCCGTAAACATCGCATATTATTTTTATCACTTTTTTCTTTTTAACTTTATTCGTTAGGTATTAAAATGTTATCGAAGACTTTCAAATCTGCGTCACCATACAAATCGTGAATTTTTTGGCTGTGCATTCTGATGCGTTTTTGTGTTTGTACATTAACGCTTTGTTCATCTGCTGTAGTTGCCTTGTGACAGCATAAGTTCCTAATAGAAAATAAGCCAATAGATGGCACTGACACTAAAAACTGTAATTGTTATTGGGCTATCTGTGTAATCATCAAATTTTTTATCAGACTGGAAATTATCGTAAAATCTGCGTACGATAGTCATGTACCATCGTACATCGTACGTAGTTATGAAATTATCGCAAATGTACGATAATTATCGTACGGTTGTGAACCCTGCTGTCCGCTGGTCGCGCTGCCACTGGCCGCAGGCTCCACCCACCGCGCCCGTGTCGTCACACATAGCGGTAAAATCACCGACGCGGTGGAAAAGAGGATGAATATTATTGTTCACCTCAATCACAGTCGCGGATAAAATTCCTTAATTTTCCATTATTCTCCCCAAAATATAACCATCCAAAAAGAAGCCAAATTCAAATTGAGCTATATGATATGAAACAATGGGATATTGTTATTTCAGTTATTCGTGAGAGTCAACGATCAACGCACGTATTTGCAGAACGAGTTGATGATTTGTCAAAACAACATTTCGCGCCTTCAGAGAAACGGAGCGTATTGGCAGTGAGTTTTGTGTTATTTAGGGAATATTTAAGAGAGGTCTTATTTATAGCAAAACGTCTCGTTTCAGAAATATTCCGCGCAAATACGACGAAAGAGTACTCGATCCAAAACGCGGACCGATCAAGAAAATATTCTGCAACGATCGTCTACCACCTATCGTCACTTAACTTGTCGTCTACACATTCTTAAATATTAATTATCACTTCTGTTCACGCATGTTTGAATTATGGTCGCAAAAGACATAGAGAAAAATATAAGTACGCCTTCTAAAGAAAATTAGGATGAATCGGTCTTGCTACAAGGTCTCAGTTGATTGATTACAAAGAGAAGGTATAAGAGATAAGAGAACATGATTTTCACTTTTAGATTAGGCACGTATAGTCTGTGTGAAATGCAAATTAGAAGCATGTAATAAGAAGGTATAAGAATGTTAAATATTTGTTGGTTTAAGAAATTTACACAAATCATATGGATAAAGTGAGCAAGAACAATATAAATAATAAAGTTTTCTCCTATGAAGAATTTCCTTTAAATTTAATCTTTATCATGTTTAAGATATATAATGAAAATGCTTTAAAATAAAAATTAAATTTGTCTCAAAAAAAATTCTCCAATCTTTTTCAACCACACATTATGACTAAAAGGTCATTTTATTAAGTTATAAATTAAAACTATAAAATGTACTATGAAAGGCGCAACATAAAGGAGGGAAGTCCAAACTTACAAAACCTTTTTCACCATTGGTCGAAACGCAATGAGACGTCACGTGACACGACATTGTATTTTTCGGAGTCGAAATCATACTGAATTAGAAGTATTTGTGAGAAAAATAGCTTAAAAATGTAATCCTGTCGCAATTTTTGGTGCAACAATCTTCGTCGTCCCATCATCAAAATTTCGTAAAAGCACAATAGGAACACACTTAAGTTAGGAATACCAATTAAGTACTTATTTTTTTATGTTATAAAGATCTAAACATCCTGTATATTGTGTATAATAAAGTTTTTTCTTTCTTTCTTTCAAATAACAAACTGAAAGTATAAACAACAGTCACGAACGGGACGTTACATTTTCTCGTATCAACCTCTCGCTCGGCTGGGGAAGTCTAGTGACGCACTCAAATACTCCTCCCCGAAGTCGTCGTACGAGGGCACACCTGTGGAAAGGAAGAAAGAAGGAAATGAGAGCGAACGTTGCGAGGAGTGGAAGCGAAGAGCGAAGCGAAGTACGTACGCGGAACACAGCGACGTCTGTCCTCGTGCAGGCGCAGATGCGCGGGACATGCGCACGCGAATCCTCCCGCCGTGTTCACGCACGCGAACTCACAGCCGGACGTCTTATGCTCACATTCGTTCACGTCTGAAACATCGAGCGCCTCTTTTCATGACATGAATCGGTACCTATTTTAATGTTGTCGTATAATAAAATTGGCCGCTAAACTTCAGTAAAAAATGACGAACCTAAACAGCGCTGTCCAGCCCCGAGCGACATGTAGCCCCTGGGACACGAACACCGATACCCACCGACTATGTTCGTGCACACTTGGGTTGTATGGCACCGGTTCGCGTCTAGGGTGCACTCGTCTATATCTATTGATAAGAAAAGGAAAATTAATTTAAATAGCTAAGTATGCTCGTATCCGTCACAGACTTTGCAGTCTGTGCTCACCGAGACACACGTCGTCGGCTCGGTCGCGCCAGAGGCCAGGGGCGCAGGGACCGCGATCGCTCTCGTCCGAGTTCTCCGTCACCTTCACTTCGTAATATGGAGACGGTTTATTCGCTGAAACGTGAAAAGAACTTTATACCGCTTAAACAGGTTCAAAGTTAATAGTCATATAAAGTTTATTCCTTCTCTTTCCTCCTTTTATTATAGTTACTTAACTATGGCGGTTTGACTATTTACTCACTAACCGTGATTTCGAGAAAAGTAAAACTAAGTAAACACACACTAAAATACCTGACGAATACGTCGAGTAATAGTCGTCGTAATCTCCCGCTACAGAGCTCCGAGCTTCTGGTTGCAATTCAAATGTTAACTCCGGCAAATAATCCAATTTCTGTAAAATATAACTTCAATTCTCCACAATGCACTCTCTAGCGACTTATTAATATAGAACAGTTACCAAATTTCTGTTGTCGATTCCACCGCCGTATACGTCGTTCGTCGAAGAGCTCGTCCGACACGGAGGAAGGCTCGGACATTTCCTTATCTGGAAAGAAAAATAGACTTTAACGTAAACGAAACTCGGTCTCCTCTACAGCGAGTTTAAAAGCTTTTACCTGGACGTTATCTCCGCTACAAGAGGCGCGTCCTTTGCACGTGCGCGTGCGCGTCTGCGTGCCGGACCCGCAACGCGACGAACACGCAGACCAGCGAGACCAAGCAGACCAGTGCGATAAAGATACTTCATCCTGACGATTTTATGTTAGTTTCGACAGTTTAGTTTGAATATATTAGTAAATAATATTCCATCCTATTTCTATATAATCTTTAATACCTCACATGGTGGCATGTGACATTTCCTTCTATCCACAGTACTGCCTTTGCAAGCGGACTCTTCTAAAATTATTTTTTCTGTTTGGGTAGTTTTATCTGAGGAGTAATATAATATTTGGAACTTTTTGTAACAAATCATAAAAAAAATATTTAGATAAATCGATAGATCCGTTAAAATATAAAACCTCCAGTTAAGGGAGTGTTCAAGTATTACGTAACGAATTTTGGAGGGGGGGTCCTTTTGTAAAACGTTACGATGCGGGGCGGGGATTGAATTACGTGTTATTGTTAATATTTTTCAACTTTTTTTTTTTTTTTTTTTATGTAATAGGAGGCAAACGGGCAGGAGGCTCACCTGATGTTAAGTGACACCGCCGCCCATGGACACTCACAATGCCAGAAGGCTCGCAAGTGCGTTGCCGGCCTTTCAAAAATTGGTACGCTCTTTTCTTGAAGGACCCTAAGTCGAATTGGTTCGGAAATACTTCTGTGGGCAGCTGGTTCCACATAGTGGTGGTGCGCGGCAAAAACTGCCTTAGAAAACGCTCTGTTGTGGAACGACGGACGTCGAGGTGATACGGATGGTATTTTGTATTTTGCCTTGACGTCCGTTGATGAAACTCAGCTGCAGGTATTAGACCGAACAACTCCTCTGAACACTCTCCATGGTAAATGCGGTAGAAGATGCAGAGAGATCCCACATCTCTACGCAACGCCAAGGGATCAAGCCGCACGGAAAGTGACTGGTCGTCGACGATTCGAACCGCTCTTCGTTGAATACGGTCAAGTGGAAGGAGCTGGTACTGGGGAGCTCCCGCCCAGAGGTGAGAGCAGTACTCCATATGGGGCCGAATTTGCGCTTTATATAGTTGCAAGCGGTGGCCCGGAGTGAAGTACCGTCTCGCCTTGCTGAGCACACCAAGCTTTTTGGAGGCTAATTTAGCCTTTCCTTCCAGATGACCGCGAAACTGAACGTTATTCGATATGTCAACGCCCAGTATTCCGATGCTAGCTGAGGCTTTAAGGAGAGTGTCTTCAAAGAGGGGAGTAGCGACAAAGGGAGTTTTTTAAGTTTTTCAAGTTTGCGCGTTTTAGCGGAAAACGCGCAAACTTGTGTCTTCTTGGGGTTAAATTGGACTAGATTTAGTCTACCCCAGTCCGAGACTCCACGTAGAAGAGTTTCGATTTCAGACACAAGTTTGTTCCGGTACTCATCGACAACAGCCCGAGAAATACCTGCCCGGCCAGTGTAAAAAGTATCCCCAGTGCTGTCGTCCGCATAGCAATGAATGTTGGTAGTCGATGACGACTTTGATGCTCCGATCAGCGAGAAAGCTGGAAATCCAGTTGCATAATTTCTCAGGGAGCCCATAGGCTGGAAGCTTCGAGAGCAGTGCTCTGTGCCACACCCGATCGAAGGCTTTCGCTATGTCCAAACTTACCGCCAGCGCCTCCCCTTGGACTCAATTGCCTCTGCCCACCTATGTGTAAGGTATACAAGGAGGTCACCAGCTGAGCGACCACGACGAAAGCCGTACTGAGAATCGCTAATCAGCTGGTGGCCCTCTAGATACCTCAGGAGCTGGCTGTTAATAATGGTTTCCATTATTTTGGAGAACAAGGAGGTTATAGCTATTGGGCGATAGTTGGACGGATCAGAGCGATCGCCTTTTTTAGGGATCGGATGTATCGAAGCGATCTTCCAGCACTTCGGAACAGTGCCGAGCGTGTAAAGGTACCGGAAAAGGCGCGTTAGAACCGGAGCCAACTCAGGAGCACAAGTACGCAGCACAATTGGAGGGATGCCATCGGGCCCGCTCGACTTATGGATGTCCAAGGAAGACAAAGCTTTACGGATAGCACGTTGCCGGAATATAACTTCGGGCATCGTAGTATCACACCGCAATAATGTCGGTGGTTCATTCCCTTGATCATCCAAAGTGGAGTTCGACGCAAAGAGACAGCCTAGAAGATCGGCCTTCTCTTTCGCGGTATGGGCCAGTGAGCCATCCTCCCTATGCAGTGGTGGAATTGAGGGCTGACAGAAATTCCCTTGGACAGCTTTGGCAAGAGACCAGAAGGCTCGAGTTCCCGAAGGGAGGTGGGCCAATTTTTCACCAAATCTGGCAATGTGCTCTGACTTTGCTTTAGTGATTTCTCGCTTGAAGGACCTGGAGGCTGAATTGTATGCTTTTTTACGTTCGCCGATAGTCACATCACAGGATGTCACCGCTTCTGCCCAGGCTTTAAAGCATTCACGCTTACGGCGCACAGCCGCTTTGCAAGAACGCCTAAACCAAGGCTGGGACTTGCCACCGACCGGCACCGCAGAGAATGGAATAAAAAGTTCCATACCCTGCAGGACCACCTCGGCGACAGAGTCAGCGACGGCATCTGGAGTACTCGACGAAAAGCAAATGGGCCCCCAAGGGTAGGACGCAAAAAAGACCGCATCCCATCCCAATCTGCTGACTTATAGTGCCACACGCGGCGACAGCCCGTGAACCTAGGCCGAAGAGGGCGCGTGAACGGCACAATGCTCCGGACCACACAATGATCTGATGAACCCAATGGCGGTTCAACAGAGACTTGGTAGTTCTCCGGATGTGAAGTCAGCAGAAGGTCCAACAAAGAGGGTTTATGACCATCCACATCTGGTATTCGCGTAATCGCAGGGACCATTTGCGTCAAGTCGTAAGCCAAAGCAAAGTCGTGAAAGGATCTTCCCGCATGATCGGTGGTTTCTGAGCCGAGCCAATCGGCATGGTGGGCGTTAAAATCGCCAAGTATCACGATTTCAGCGGTAGGAACCCTTTCGAGCAGGGAATCTGTAGCCATTTGGATGTGCTCAATGAGTCGGTCAGTTTCGGTATTTCCGCTATGGGACCTATACAGGCATGCGTAGAATCGCGGATGGTCATCGCAGTCTACGCGCAGCCAGACGTTAGATAGGTCCCTTCCTTCAAGCGTCCCGAGGCGACGAGAACAGATATCCTCTCTGACGTACACGCAAACTCCCGCCCGCGGCACAAATGAATGTTCCAATTTGTACCCCGGGTAGGAGAGGTAGGAAGTATCAGCCGGGGGGATATCTGAGTCTCGGTAAGAAAGAGCAAGGCCGGCTTCGCAGTCTCTAAGTGGTAGTGGACAGCGTTGATGTTGGAATGGAGCCCCCTAACATTTGTGAAGTCCACGGCGAGTGTGGACGGGGGTGCCTTAGTTGAATTGCTCCGTTTGCCCCGAGAACGATTAATGTTTTTTTTACCGAGTGCAGAATTGCCCCCCCCAGAATACGAAGGGCAGCCTGTGCGTCCACCACCGGGTGCTGAGTGTCCCGGTGTTGGACGCTCAGAGGGGGATTCTCCACCGCGTTCGCGTGTGGTACCCCCTGGGGTAGATTCTGTTTGTTCTGCACCTTCATATTTCATATGGGGGGATGGGCTCCGGGAGTCTCCCTCACCGTACGAAACGCGAGTACAATAAGGCGAACCTATTGCCTCACTTCACGCCGGTTTTCTGAGAGAGTACTTTACAAAACGTAATGGTAACTTATAGGTATAAAGAGTCACTAGGTGGTCACGAAATGTTTTACTATACTTGGTTACAGAAAAACGTTACGGCGCGTTACACGGGGGAGAGGCCAATAATCTCCAAAAATTGCGTGACGTAATACTTGGACACTCCCTAAGCTAACACTGCCTTTACTCACCATACATGTTGTCATTGTCGTCTATATATTGACAGAGGCGCGTGCGCTTCTGATAGCCGTGTCCGCACGTCACATTGCAGTAACTCCAGCCTGACCAACGGCTCCACTTACCTGGCACTGAAATATTGTGTTTTTCGTTTTCTCTTTTCTCATTAGCATCAAATGAGTACGTCGTGTTATGTTATAGGAATACCTCGCACGACGAGATCGAATCTCTTGTGGGCGGTGCCGGCCTCGTTCTCGGCTATGCAGATGTACTGCCCTGCGTCTCGAACGCTCACGCTCCAAATGGATAGGAGACTTGTGCTTAAGAGATTTTCTATGTTTGGCAAATTCTCATGCAGCCTTTGGATATCCTGATAATGATTTTTACTTTTAACGTAATTTATTGGTATTATACGTCGTTCTCACTAACAAAATTATACCCCATATAACGATCATGTTATTTGTCAATTACCTTCAACCAAGTAATCCTCGGTGGAGGATTCCCGTCAGTCTCACATTTCAATACAATGCTGCGTCGCAACGCGATCACATGTTTCTCGGAAGCGTTTCCACTAGGCGCAATAGAAGGCGCTTTCTGAACCACCACGTCGAATATTATCTCGGTGGCCCCAACTTTGTTGGTCATTACACAGGAATATTTGCCGCTATCAAGCACGTCTGTATTGTTTATGGCCTAGAATTAAATATTTTAAATACCCATCGTACATTTAAGACGTCGCGCGTCGTTTCAACTGCACCCTGAGGATTCTACATTCAGTATTTTAATACTTACTAAAGTGTAGTTATCCCTTGACAGATTTATTTTGGCGGATGGTTCCAGCTCGCTGTAGGGATGTTTGACCCAGGTCACGTGGGGCAGAGGGCGACCCGTCGCAGGACACGTCAGATTCAATAATTGTCCCATATGAATAATTATATGTTTCGTGTCTTTTGGCTGAGGTGGGGCGACTAAAAAGAGAAATACGCGCGTCGAATGCAAGCTCTAATGATTTGAACGAATTTTCAAAGGAATTCAAATGTAAAACCTAAAACATCGACCAGGTACACGACGCTTGCTTCCCCAACACTGTTTCTGGCCACACACGTGTAATTTCCAGTGTGATCTTCTTTAGCCCGCCGCACAACTATAACTTCCCCGAAATCCTCGGACACCATGCTCTCATCATATAATTTTAATGGCAAACCATCCTTGAACCAGTATATTTCTGGCACAGGGTTTCCGTATGCATGGCAGTGCATGTAAAAAGATTGTTCCAATAGCACATCCAAATTAAATATATTTGAGTCATTTATATTCTGGGACAGACTTCCAAAAATACTTGGTGGTTCTGAAAAATGTTCAATACTCAAAATACTGTTAAGCATCGCACCATTTAAAACGGAAGCAACATCGCCTTTTTAAAGTAGCTAAATAAACACTACACAAATGTTGCTTACATTGATCTTTAATTGAAAAAAAACTCACCAAGAACGTTGACCCTTATATCCCTCTCGTCGATGCCACCCTCATTCGCAACAACACAAGTATATTTGCCTGCCTGAGTCAATGTCACGTCGGCAAGGAAGAGATCGGCGTAAGGAATATTTGCGATATTTTGGCTTACTTTATTACCATTTCGGAACCATTGGATGGTCGGAAAAGGATTGCCAGTAGCAGAGCAGGATATTCGCACATCATTCTTGAGCTGAAAGGTATTTAAGTTGAACTTGAACAACTTTAAACTGCACCGCAATATTAGCAAGAAGAGAAGACATTAATTACTACGCCAACTTCAACTATAGTAGCCTGCGCTTTAAAAATTTGATTGTAATTAATCATTAACTTACAGCTACGTCCACACTTTTCTCTGCATTATTTCCTTCTCCTCCGACAAAAAAGGCAATATTTTTTACTCTGGCAGCACTAACTATAGTGACTTTGTAGACTAGGTGCGTGACTCCGGCTTTGTTCTTCGCATCACACCGAAAAATGTCTTCAGACTGTATAGATACGTTTGTCGATGTAAGAGTCAAGTTAACAATATGCCAATTCGCGTTTCTGCGAAATTACAACATTTTGTAAAGCTTTTGTAATTGTAAAACTATAATTGAAACACTAATCTAGAAATGAGTTTACTCGAAAGTCCATGATATCTCGGGTAGGGGATATCCCTCCGCCTTACATTCGAGAGTGGCGTTCGTCCCTTCTTTCAAATACACCTCGAGTAGATCAAATTCAGAAATGTATGGCGGAACTGAAAAAGTTTTAAAATCATATTAAATTATTCTCTTCTCTAATTAAAATATTGTGATCATAATTTATATACCTAGTACATCTAACTTAAATTCTCTAATTACGCTTCCGTAGTCGTTGCTAACTACACATTTATATATTCCACTATGGCTTGTCTGAGCGTTCATCACCTTCAACTTGTGCCCGTCCTCTCCTACTTGCAATTTGGAATCGAAGAACCATTGTATCTACAAATAAGTAAGTAAGCAGATGATTTACGAGAGCGACCCTAAAGTAATAATAATCAATAAGTAATGTAATAGAGTAACCAACGTTCCCCCGTGGATTAGCATCAAAGGCACAGTCAAAGACTGCGTCATCACCCTTCAAGAGCTGCACTTCCTTTTCCGGTCGATTCCCAAAGCTCGGAGGCCACACAACGTTCACAGTGACCAAAGCATGGGTGGAGCCAACCCTGTTAGTCACGACGCACGCATATTGTCCGGAAACGGATCGACTCACGTTTGGAAATGCTAGAGAGCCGTTCGCTATTAAAACTGCATTCTGTTGGAATATCTATGTTTAAATTTAAGAATTTCACCAACACAATATTGCTTAAGATGGAAATAAAACGTCGAACCTTATACCATATGACACGTTCGCTGTGCCGGACGGGACACTCCAATACTGCACTGGTACCCTCGACGAGGTCTCTCACTGACGATTCAGCTTCGTCCGATTGGAGGGTTGGCATAGCTGCATTACGTTAATGCATGTATGTTAATGTAAGATATCTTTAATTTAGATAATTGTGTATGTTTTTTTTATGGATATAAATAACTTACAATAAACATGTACTTGAACAATTCTACTGATATATCCAAGAGAGTTCTTAGCGATACATGTGTAGTTGCCACTCATCTCCAATTGGGGCTGTTTTATCGTTAAAGTACCTTCGTCATTTATTTCATATCGGGAATCTAAACAACATAGTGAATTTATTAGTTTATTTACAATATAATGGCTAAAATATTAACAAAAAGCGTTATTAGAAATAAAAATAAGTTTATAAAGTTAGCAGAAAACTTCTTGGTATAACTAATCTTCTTTCTAAATCTAACTTTAAGGACGTTAAAATCACAGTATATTACCCCTATTCGCTTCACAAATAGGTCGCTCTCCGGCAAAGATTGGAGAAAATTAGGGAGAGGGGAATGGGAGCTGACGCCGGACGAGTAGAATGCATAGGAAAAAGATTATGATTCCGGCAGGTGTTGAATCTCCTTTTGCAAGTATGCGCTTTCCATCTCGTTATTTCTTATTACGTCATTATCTTCAAATCGAATTCAAGTCATACCCTAAAATCCCCATCTAGGACTTCCTAGGTAGAAGGAAATGAAATAAGTGGTACTTTCTATTACATAAAGTTCTAAAGAAACTTATTTTTTACATTTTCGATCATTATCCCATAGTATTTCATGAGGAGACCATATGACGCAGGTTGTTGATTGATCTTACCAAGGAGGAATATATCACCCAAATGGCAGTGTCCGAGATACCAACTAAATTCCGCAGGACAAACCTTACCTACTACCTAAATGCAGTATCTGTGATATGCTGTGCAAATGAGAAATCCGCAATAAACAAAACACTGATTAGTTCCTAATCTATAGTCATATCGTATGTTATTCGGAGTGGCACTAGAAGTCATCACTTCGCATTTGTATAGTTAAAGTGGAGTTTATTTAATTCACTGCAATGAGGTTCAATGTTTAACCAAGTTCAGCTACATACGGAACGTCATTGTTTGTCTTAATTATCTTAACTTCGTCGGGCTTAATAATAGGGTTTTGGAAGATTGGATTAGAAGAATATACATATTAGAATGAGCCTATAAACTAAAATTGGGATAGCTGATGGCGACGCGTATCTCGCTCGTATATTTATATTATAATAAGTTTCTCATGTAAATAAAAATACATTTTTTCTTATGAGAAACAAAGTTCTTTAAACATAAGATTGAATAACGCTTGGAAGGTCGTTAGTTAAATCAAAAATAGCAGCGGTCTTAGATTTGAATTACGCCTAATGCAATTACTTGTTGGATATGGTTACGAGATATATTGTCTGTATTTAAAAGGTTAGTTATGATTCGATGTAGCTAGCTATAGATAGATCTTATATAACTAGAAAAAAACTTAAGAAGAACAGGTCCACATCGAATATTGGCCAAATTCTGGAGAAGAAATATAATACTCTCTACCCGAGACCGCTTATAAATTTTTTGAGACATATTATCAGCCAACAACGAGATGTTTGTATTAACTGATCTTAACATGTACTGGGGTATGGGGAAACATCTTCGCCAAACACTTGTCGCCCGGGCCCGGCGGGAGACGACAACCCTTTAAGATAATAATGCCCCTTTTTAAGAAAGGGCAGATTTCGACACTCTCCTGCTGCTTATCCACTCGGTCACATATCTGCCTGATTGCAAAAAAAAAACACCTTCGCCAAAGAACGCAAAGTCACAATAGGCCTGTAGTTTTCGACTTCGCTCCTATAATTTATTTTACGAAGTGGAGTTACGCCAGATGTCTTCCATAACGTCAGATACCCCGAGGTACCCCTATATATAAAAGAAGATTGAAAATATGCGATATCGGTTTTATTAAATAGGTATAACACGAAATTCCTTGACATTTAATAAAAAACCTACCGCTGTCTAAATAAACCCCGTCTTTTACCCAAAGCATATAAGGGCGAGGTTTCCCTGTCGCTTTACAACTAAGTACCATAGATAGATCTTTTCCAGCTATTCCAATATACTCATCTAAGCTTTCAGTGTCGAAAACGGGGCGTTCTGAAAATGTACATTAAAATAATAAATCATTAACATAATAAGAATGAGAATTGATTTTTATGAAGTAGGAAAAACTATAAAGAATATGGCGAATTACCTTCAACAATTACATAAAAAGTTTTAATGGCTACACCGGCAACGTTTTCAGCGACACACGCAAACTCTCCTTCCATACCCATGGTCACGTTGTGTAAAAATAAATTGCCTACATCGTTGAAACTGAAACGAATTTATTAAAATGTTACCTGACTTTTGATGTTTGATTTTTTTATAAAATATATAATACGATTGCGTAACAATCGCATAACCGATGTGCTCCACTTACGTAATACTTGTAGTATTAGCTTGAAGTGATTTTTCATTGAACTCCCAAACTATAGTTGGAACCGGAAACCCGACGACATCACAGTTTAATGTCGCATTGTCCGCAACTCGTATATTTAAATTTACTTCGAGAGGCGGATCGATTGAGGGCGCCACTGAAGAAACGACGAGACGTAATAAATGTCATTTATACGATAAAAATATATAAAAACAAGTAAAAGTGACCATACCTACCCCAAACATACAGAGTGAAGTTGAAAGTGACGGAGCCATACCCGTTGCTCGCTTCACAAACGTATTCGCCGAAGTCGGTTAAATTCGCTACAAATCTGCATTTTAAGTAAATTCAAAATATTTCACGTATATTTTTATTTTAGGCTGATACAAATACAATATACAAACATTACCTAATTCCATATTCATCAATAAACTTTCGCCTCTCAGATATAGGTTTCCCATTATGTGTCCACTTTATAGTGGGGAACGGTAGACCCCGAGCGAGGCAGGGAAACTGAACTAGTTGCCCTTCTGATATTTCCTTCTCGGGATCTGTGTTTGACTCAATTTCGGGAACCTCTGAAAGTTAAGAGTTTCGTTATATACTTTAAAAATATTTAATTAAATTCTTCGTATTACTCAAACAAAATCGCTTAAAAGTACCAATAAGTAATAACAATTCCAAGTTAAAATAGTGAAGCACTCACGATAAACATTAATTGTAAAGTTGTTGCTCACGGAGCCCAATGGACTCAGGGCTTCACAAGAGTAAATACCGTTATCATACTCAGTCACATTGCGTATCATTAGATCGTTACCTTCACTCAGATATCTGAAAAGAGGATTTTCACACAAGACACAATGTCATTAAATGTTTTAAAGTTAAACAATTCAATAAAACATATTTTAAACTAACATATTCTTAGAGAAGGGAATCGTCTGGTAACCCTTTGTCCATACAACGACGGGCGTCGGATTCCCAATCACATCGCAACTGAGTTTCAATTTATCACCGAGTTTTATATTCATTGGACTGGACTTGAGATCCTCTGGCCTTTTTAATTCTGGTGGGTCTGTAAAGAAAACAAAGTTATAAACAAGTCAGTTTTCCAGTTTACATTCAATAGGAAAGTACTCACATTGAACAATCAGCTCGATGTCATATTGATCTTTTCCTAGAATATTTTGTGCGACACATCGATACGTGCCTTCAACCTCTGTATTTGCACTCGATATATTTAAATCATTTCCATCAATGAGAACGTCGTTTGGCAAACTTGTATAATTTGTCGAGTTGTGTCGTCTGTGCTGCCATGATAGAGTTGGTTTGGGGTTGCCCTTGAGAACCCTAAATATAAAGCTTCTTCTATCATACAAAACATTTGGTAAAGCGATACATTCGCCTACGCGGACTAAATAATCAATTTAAGTATCCCAATATAATATTGAGTGACGAAATACAATTAATATAATAAAGTAAGTGGAATGGTTTGGGTACATGACATGGAGCAACACTAGACACTTTTTTCTTTGAGCTTTGGTCTTTCGGTCAAGAGTCAACAGTAATTTATGTCCCTTAACGGGTATTAATCTTTCTCTATAACAGTGATAATAATATTTAAATGTTTAATACAAAATCTTACCTACATGTCAAAACAACAGATTTTCCTTTTCGAGTGACGATGTTGGCTGGGACTTTTGATAACCTGGGAACATCTATAAACATATGAATAATTAAAACAAGAGCAGGTTGATGCGCTAATTGACACAATGCAGAGGTAGAGAGAAACATTACGAATACGTGAATAATACTGCAAAGTTAAATACAATAAAACGTAAAACTACATTTATGGATGCATGGTAAGAGAAGAAAGGTAATATAGACCTAGAGATAGAAAGAGAAGCAAGGGAAGACAGGGGAGCGTTGGGAGGACGACATATCAAATCAATCAAATCAAATCAAAATACGTTTATTCAATTTAGATGCGTCTTAGCGCATGCTTATGAATGTCAAAAACGTTTACAAAATTCGCGAAAGAGCAAGACTACGCCATCCGTTCGCAAAACTACCAGGAGGCCTTGTTCTGAGAAGAACGGGCAAGAAACTCAGCAAGTTTTACCCTCCCTCTACATTACAAATATTCGAAGGAAAATGTCATAAACCACAACGTCATTAAAGTTACATAAGTAAAAACAAAAAAAAAATCTGTTCTGTGATTTACCACATTCACCATTACACGGAAATCAAATTATAAAAATATAATTACAACTATGTATTGCCAAACGTTTTTATCTTCCAGGTAGTCATTGACTGTGTAGTATTCTTTACACATTAAGGTTTTTTTGATATGTGTTTTGAATCTGTTTTAAGGCAGTTCCAATATTTCACTAGGAATCATGTTATAGCAGCGAATACTTAGGCCCATAAATGAAGTATTTATTTTCTGCAACCTGTAAGACGGCTGGAAATGTTTTCCCTTATTTCTCGTATCCAGATCAACACTTGGAGGTGGCCTTTGTCGACAAACAAGCTTATTAAGCTTATAGTAAATAATGTATGAAAGAATGAAAAATAAAATACTTTACTTATTGCAGCAAAAAAACTTATTTATTAGAAATATAAATATCACTTCAACTTACCCAAACCTTTAACCGTGAGGGTTGCGTTCACCTGTAGGACTTCATACTCATTTTCAGCAACACACGAGTACGAGCCGAGATCGTCGAAATCTACCACCTCTATTGTTATAGAAAAATTTAGCATCTTGGTGGAATCGGCTGGAAGCTGTGTATTATTGTGAAACCACGATATTTTTGGTGGAGGATACGAGTCTACTCGGCATGCCAGTTTAACTTTTGAGTAGATTTCAACCGATTGATCTATAAAAATAATATTTGTTATTTATACTTGCATGATGTTCTGCAATTCTATTAATTTTATTTTATTCAATTAATAGTATTATCACCCACCCCTGAAGCCCTCGACCAAAATCATTTTTCGTCTCACTCGCACGGTGATGCTGTCCTGCTCGATCCCTTCAGAGTTTTCCCCAAAGCAGAAATAAGTTCCATTTACAGGCTGTTTGGTGCTGTCCAATGTTAGCACGCTTTTATATTGGTTCGACGATATTATAGTTACCTGAAAAATAATAACATATTACATAGAGACAAAGTCGTGGTTTAGGTAAACGCCAAAGTTGACAGTGTAGTAATTACTTCGTGTGGAAGAAATCGTTCAGTTTCCATGTGCCACAGAATCCGGGGTTTCGGCTTGGCAAGTACTATACACTCGACTTTCGCTACCGATCCGTTTAAGACAGTTATATTATGAGAGCCCTCTATTTTAACCTCCGGTTTGATTAGCACACGAAGTTCTATTGAGTCGGATGCTGGAAGAGACATTTACAAACACTTAGACAAGTAACGTTAACGGGCCTATAAAATATAAATATTTTCATTCTTTCATACCTGTATAATTGTATCTGACGGCGACACACGTCCAAACGCCATCTTCCATAACATCATGTATATCTAAAAGTGCATTATAAGAGCCGTTGACGTTGACTTGGTTCAGGATATTTTTCTGTGGGTCCATCCAGTACATTTGCTGGGCGTTCTCTATACAGCACACGAACTGCGCACGTGTGTGCGCTGGGCGTGTCAGTGTGTGCGGCCCGAGAATGTGGGCCAGGGGATGAGATTGGATGCTTATGTGAGTAGATGAGTTTGAAGACCCACCTATAGGTTATAGCAAAACGTTTATTCATATTACTGTAGGTAATCGTTACTTATTTTTTAACAAACATAAATATTGGAAAGGTCTCTTATTAATTTTTCTCTCACCTTTATTAATCGCAACACACATATACATTCCTTGGTCTTGTTCTGTCGCATTTCGTATCGTTTTAGTGAAAGAGTATACTCCATCAGAATTATAATCCAACGCGAAGTGAATATCTAAAAAAGTTTACATAAATGAACAAATACATTTTTTCTTTTCAATTCATTCTTAGCGCTCAATTATTACCATAGTTGTGGTTTGTTCCGTTAAAAATTATAAATGCTTTTTGAAGTGAAGTGTCGCTAATTACTGAACAAGAAATGGTCAGATTTCCTTCTATCACGACTGTAGTATTAAGTGGCGACACTATAATTTGAGGAGGTTCCACTGAAAAAAGCAATAGCAATTTTATTTTTTAAATGAGATTTAGAACAGAAAGCTAGCCAACATAATATTAACGTTATTAGACGTTGTTGAGTTTTAGTTGAATCTCGTTTAGCATTTACAATTGAAATACCTATTAGATCTACGACAGTCACCGCAGAAGACAATCCAGCAACGTTGTCGGCAACGCATTCATATGTGCCGACGTCCAGTTCCGACATATCTTGTATCACGTATTGCACTGAGGTACTTTGCCTAAGCCAGGGAATTAATATTATTTAAATTATAATATTTAACCATTACACGAGCTAATTCAGAAAAAAACGATTGATAACTCACAGACTGGAAATGTTCGACTGCATTGTCTGTCCGTCTCTGTGCCACCCCGCCGTGACAGGGACGAGGCTCTCCACTTTACACATCAACACTATTCGATCGTGCGCTTGCGCCTCTATCTTACAATTAATTCAATCACTTATTAATTCTCCATCACTTTAAATAAACAAATAATCTAAATTACAAAAGCATTTAAATTGTAACTTCTTACCTTCTGAGTTACGGCCAAATACGGAGTATCTGTAAGATATCACAACTCATGAGTCAAAACTCAAAACACATACATATTTGGTGAAATAGCCAACATTTACGAACAATAAACCACTTTTAAAGTCTGTGTTCTACTTCATACAAAATTCTTATACATTATAAATTCGATCAACAGTTTAATAAAAAAAAGGTTTCGGAACTCACCAGGAGACTTCGCTTGCACTGCAGTAGCGCCCACTCTTCTTAAACTATTGCCATTTTTGTCAACTCCATTTATCTAAATAAGTGTTTTGAGTTCATAATAACCTCAGTTGAGGCAGTGCCGATCTAACTTTGATAACTAGCTTATGTATTCTATTATTATTTGTATATTTGTATCAAATACATTCCTTGATATGTCCTTAGTTTAACTCAATCCAAAATAAAGTCACACAATTGTCACTCGTAATCGTAAAGGGCAAAGGAAAACATATTCTTTGCCTTTCAATACGAATGTAAACTATTTTAATACTATTATTTAATATAATATTATTATATAATAGTATACGCCGTGTAGCGTCAATAGAATATATATTATAATAAAAAGCAACTGAATTATATCCCAGCATAATGCAAAAAAGTACCTACTTCGAACATAAGTTATTATTTCAACCCTCAACGTTTAAAATGCGTACCTATTTGAAAATATTGTAATAAGTTATTTAAGATAATAATTACTTACAGAAATATAGAACAATTCTTCTGGTGGCAAAAACGCTCTCGTTACGTATAGATTTGTCTTGTTATCCAACAAATCGAGCGGAACTTCGAACAACGTCTTTCCGTTTAAACTTAATACCTCCACATAATTTATATTTTCAGTTACATTTGAATTATCGCTTAGAGATATTACCAGGTAGTTATAGGTACCTGAAATCAACGAAAATTGTAAATGAGAGATAATTGAGAACTAATCTAATGTGAATTGACTGAGCCAAGAATATTATGACTTATTAAAGAATATAAAAGAAATAAATAATTAACGAAAAAAGTACCCCGTAAAGGTCGATAGCTGGTGTCCGCCATGGATGAGGGAGGGAGCACTGAGAAGCCGTGACTGAAAGTCAAGTTGGACAATCCCACAACTTTGACAGAATGTTCAGCAGAACTGCCTACCGTTATGCTCCAGTTGCCCGGCTCGGGCTCTACGACTTTTACGATCTAAAAAACGATATTGTGTATAACAAAACATGTAGAATTTATGAAGTGAAATAATTGAATTAACCGTTATCATATTTAAATTCCAAAAAGAGCTGCCAAGAAATTATGATGCCATTATGTGGTCCAATATGTTCAGCCATACCATAATTTCTGAAAGATCAAGCGTGGCGACTAACTGCGGTGGCCCAGTCAACTCTTTGCCGCTGGGATTCACCACTCGTATCTGGGGTTTGGCTCCCGACACGGAGACGGTCACTTCGTTCACTGAGTTATCTATCGGGATCTGCAAACAATATTCATCTATAATTACAGTATTATCACGTAAAGTAATACAATCTAAATACAGAAAGAAAAATAAAAAAAAACCTTTTGCGTCTGATTGTATCCAGGAGGATTCACAGTTGAAACTAGATTTACTGATCGGCCTTTTATAGAGCTTCGGACGAAATCCAACACCTGAAAAAGCTTTTGTATTATATATCTACAAAATTTAAAAAGCCCACCATCTATAATAGTCCGGTCAATCTATAACAAGCTACCAGAATTACCATCAAGCTGAAACTGAGTAAATTTGTTCAAAACACAATTTAAGCAACTTTTCAAAATTCCCTATCGTTACGAGCCATAGAAAAGATTTTTGATGGTAATTCTAGTAGCTTTGCTCTTGTTTTTTGACCTTATTTGACCGGACTATAATAAACAAACTGTGTATATAAACAGAAGTAAAAAACTTTTTTTATATATTGATTATATGTAGGTAAATATCAATCTACGCTGAAGTGAATTGAGGCATTAGAGACAATAACATTAAAGTGGAAATTTTACTTTAAGATATCTTCTAAGCAGTGGCGTAACTATACCATCGGGGGCCCGTGGCAAATTCTTTTGATGGGGCCCTATCATTAAAAATCGTCACGTTGTACTCAGTTTAAACTTCGAGATTTACAGCGTACTCAATTACACGTTGTATATGTCCCACTAATGGCCAAAGCTCTCCTCTCTTAGGCGAGAGGGAGTAGTGCCCACGCTAGCCCAATGCGTATTGGAGAATTCACATTCATCCATAGAACAAAACATCTCTTGGGCAGGGGCCTACTTGGGACGGGACCCGTGGCATTTTGCCAGCCCTGCCACCCTATTGTTACACCTCTGCTTCTAAGAATGCTTCGGGAGTAAAGTAGGGTCACTAACCCAATGGTTGACCAGTAAAGCGGATTCGTTGCTAATACGTTCCATAAATAAAGTTTTATTAATTTGAGCTATAACAATTTTGGGATAATTATTATTTATTACGTAATTAAATGAACTAGGCAAAGATATATCTATATATATAAATATATAGTTTTTTACACCGGCTTAAAGTTAAAATTTCAAAATACACCATGAGCTGACCACATCACCCCAACAACTGACCATCAAATGTACCAAAACCTGACCACTTAAAAAAGGCTAAATTCAAAAGGGCGAATTGCTAAATCACCCATAATATTGTTACAAAAGGTATTTTTAAAGAAAAAACTATGATTTGTCACACAAATATTATATTTTTTCTTTATTATTATTAGCACTCAACCAGGAAGAAAGCTGTTGTTTCTGATATATTCTCTATATTTTTCAAATTCGGGAACATGACACAGACCCCGTTTCTGGTGTAATATTATTGGATTTTTAATTTTTTCTTTAATATCATCAATTTGGTATAAAATTAAATCCTCTTTCTCGGGCCACTTCCAGTTTTTGAGTGACTGATGCATGGAATTTATCAATGCTCCCTCTTGACAAATTGAATCGATTCTGCCAACAAAAAATGCACCTTCGTATACAAATATTACAAAATTCCCCACCTCAAAACTTTTTGTTGCCTCTTCCTAGTCTTCTTTTTCAGTTTCTGTTTCTTTGTCCCTTAATAATTCTATCCTGTGTTCTAGTTCCTCATCTGATATTGTTTCACTGGTATCACTGGTGTCGCTTCTAATGACTCTGACTCGTTTCTTTAGTTTTATTGGTTACTTGACAGGTTTTTATTGCTTTTTTTGTTCTTTTAGTTTGTTTGCTTTTCTTGACTTTGCTCTTTTCGCGTACACGTTTTTGGATTTCTATTTTTCTATTATGCTCCTCTTTTTTCATTTTCTTTCGCCAACCAATAATCTTGCCATTTTCTTGAAGTGGTGGCGAATGGAATGGGTTCCTTTTTTGGGTTTTTTTTATTGGAGAATCTGAGGGCTATATTATTTGGTTTGCAAAAGCAGGACTGACTTGTTTTTGCTTTCCAGCAAAAGGAGATTTCTTGTAGAATTAGAGGATTGCTGTTGAGCTGCCGGAGATGTTTTTGTTTTTGGAGGATAGCATTTAAAAAGCTTTTCAGGTGACCGAGGCAAGTCCCGATTATAAGATCGGGTTGGAGTTTCAGACTTCTTTAATAGATGTGGTGCCTTTGAGAGTGGAGTTTATAATCTTATGATCTGGTGGGAGTTTCTTCCATTTCTGGAAAATATTGTAGTATAGAGATCGAACTACTATATCTGGTACACAAAGAATGTACAAGAACGAAGACAAAAAGCCATCACCAGCAGCAACCACCACCTATCTCACCAGTTAAAAAAGGCAAGGAGTCCAGCTAAAGATTACTACAGTATTCAAGGACAAAGCCTAACCATAAGTTAAATCCATAGCACCAGCCTGGTCAGCCTTTAGAAGTTTCTAGTTAGTCGTATATAGGATTAAGCTTTTTTAAATCTATTGCCCAATTTAACTTCGATCAAATAGTATTTAGGATAATATGCAAGCTTTAGGTTAGTACTTAAAAGCGTCGCCAAGGCTTGACCACTCAAGTTTTATTGAAAACATTGCCCTGGTCAGCCTTTGGAATCAAATAACATATAAGGCTGGGATAAAATATATAAGTTACCTAGCTTGATATTTATATAATTCCAATAAAAAAGGTTGAACTTAGTCGGTTCCATAACCTGACCAGACCGGTCAGCATTAGGCAATATTGCATTTTCGTTGTTCCAATAGATGACCGTCATAAAAAAACCGTGTTACACAAGAAGCGTCATAAAAATTGTAAGGGGTAGATAGAAATATAACCCATAACCTACTCTGACGTATAGTTGGTCAATTAACATCAAAAACATTGAAGATGGATTAGGATTACTAAAGCAAGAACAAATTTAAAGTCTTAGCAAAATGGGAGCACTTACGCGGATCAATCTTCGCAGCAGAAAAACGTCACTTTTTTCCACCAATAGGAAACATCTTCGTGCATGAAATGACAGATAAAGTGTTGCTCTAGTAAAAAAAAACTACGACTACAATCGGAAGTTGCCATAATTGATTAAAATTTTAATATTGGTTCATTTTGGTCAGGTATTGGTGCTTGGTCATCTATTGGGTCAGTGCCTAGTTGACAACTATTACTCTAGGAAGTAGCTTTTTTTAGAAAAAAATCCACCTTCTCCATCCTGTCAAATACGTTACACCTATATGTAAGGACCATCATACCTTATGAACATTGGTCTTGTTCAAATTAAATACTTGTCCCGCGCTAGCTGCTGCTATTTGTTGGTACACTTTGTATGTCGGCTTTTGGAGATCATTGCAATGCCCTGTTAGTACGAACACAACCTGAAACATTACCTTGTCCTACAAATCTTTATCGGGATTCAGGGTACAATATCAATACACACAGATTCGCAAAAACACAAGTGACAAATTGTTAGGATCTATTTTGTTAAAATATTGTTTACGAAGTTTATTTCCATTTTGATAAAATTTTAATAATTATATTAGTTTCTAAATTTACCTAACCTCCCAAACCGTACTACGTGGTTCCGGAGATGAAAGCCCGTTTTTCCACTATAAATACAACTTTCTGGTCTGAATCAGGCAGTTAGTAGTAGTTTTGTGCAAGTATATGTTTTCCACCAATTTCAGTACAACAAAACATGTTTATGGCGCCGACAAAATAGATATAGTTAACATGACGTAACGATAGTATTGGAGCCAACTTAATGTTTTACATTTTACACACCTGGCTCTGCTTCCTCTGAACTGCATCCAACACCTGTCCGATCAAATGATGATCAAACGCTGTTGCATCAGTAAACACATATATATAAGACTGCGGCCGGCTGACGTTTAGAGCCAACTGAATACCGCCCAAAGACATCTCCGGACAATCGCCGCCCCCATACACCTGGACCTTCTGCAAAGCCGCCTTTAGGACCTCTTTGTCTTTTGTTACCGTTGCTGGACCCACAGCTTAAAAATAGTTTTACTTATACTTCTAATGCAATTCCGAGTTAACTGGATCATTTTTTTTAAATAGTACCGAAATTGCTTTCGCTTTTTACAAAAAGGAAGTTTTTAATCATCTAAAAATTTAGATTATTAAAAATTTCAACATATATTCCTTTATAATGAAGGTGTAAATAAGACACGAAGCTAGATTCCAAATGGTATTTAATTTTTTAATTCATTAAATTACACGTCTACAATTCTTTGTTGGACAGCTGAAGCTACGTAAAGCACTTTTCGAATTCGTATCTTATTTGCACCTTTATTATAATGAGGAAAGATATGTTCATATTCAAAGTCAAAGTAAAAAATCATTTATTCATATGGGTAACACAATGTAGACTTATGAACGTCAAAAAAGAAGTACATATTTAATGCTTTTAATTTCACATTTACTGCCAGTTCTCAAATCAAGGGCGTAGGACGGAAGAGAAGAACTGGCAATAAACTCTCCGTCACTCTTTTTAATCGCCAAGTTTTTTGTTTATACTTTACACAACGTTTGTAAGGAGCTGCAACCATTACACCATGTTTCACATGACTCTTAAGTAATTAATAATAATAAAATTAATTAAAAACAAAGATTTGTCCTCTATCAGCAGGAGGCATGGTGAAATAGGAACACGCACTTACATTCTCGTGGGAACAACACGCAAATACTTGTGATCACACGCGGTAACATCCAATCGATTTGGATCGGCGTGTTGTCGTGTTGTTGACGCCAAGCGTCAAACGTTCGAGTTTTTGGCACAAATGTCAATTGTCAGCTAAATGACTTCTGAATTTGCAAGTGTGTCGTGGTGTCGCGTGTTGGTAATGTGCACGATGGACATCGGGTGTCGACACGTTGCGTTTTAATAGTATGTTTCCACCTTTAGTCGAAATAGCTAACATCACACGAGCATGTCTCGGTGACAAGGCAAGACTGATAACCGTGTGAAACACGATTAAAGAAGTATAGACTTGTAGTCTACTTAATCAGAACTATATTCGTAATGTTCGAATGGGACTCGTACCCCTGACCTGTCGCGTCCGCAACCTTTGTAAGTACATTTCAAAAGGCGATTGCAGTATTGTGATCTTGACTCGATGCGATAAAGATAGACATTATACGTCACAGTTGTCGTTTTTGATTCCTGTATTAATGATTTTGACGCGCAAATAAAAATGTTATCGTATTTACTGAAGTAAAGCGAATACTCTTTGATATCGTTCAGTACATACCTGGGTCGTGGAACGGCACAAAAACAAAATCGGCTATAATGTCACTTTCCTCCAAAGCAGTCTTCAGTATCATTTCGGCGCCATTTTTCAACTGCCTCAAATCGTTTGACATCGACCACGTCGTATCAAAAACAAACACCAAACTACCTTTTCCACCATCAGCGCTACATATCAGATGCCGTTTTGACAGTAAAGTAACAATTATAAATATCACAAACACCATGTTTGTGCGAAACGTGAAATAGTACTGAGGTCTGAGCGGTCCGTTTGGCCATTTGACCCGTGACCGTACAATCAATGTGGGTTAGGAGTACTCGATTAGGAACATCGTACTTTAGCGAAAGAGTACGATTGCTAATATAATTAGTAGGGGAGCTCAAGTGGGTATTTCGAGATTTTATTTTTTATTATTTCGGGATACCTTGTACCTGGTTAAGTATCTCTACCAAATATGAGCCCTATTATATGACCGCCCGTTATTATCTAAGCTTCGCAACCCAATAGGTCTCTATGACGCTCGAGTAAATCTCCATTTAGCATCATGAACGGGTACTATAAAGTGACGTTGTTAATACGTTAAGCTACGTCTTTTTAACGGATTTCAGTAAAAACAGAAGACTTTCTATAAATTAAGGAATAAATCAGTTGAAAGGGGAAAGAAAAAAGGTTAAAAATAAAATCTTTATTAAAATTCACACATTTCTAAAATACGTTTACTTACAGAAAACAACACTGGGATTTCCCAAAAAATGCTCAAAATTTTTTCTATTAAATTCTATTAAAATTATTATTATACTCAATAATATTTTTGTTAAATCACACAATATATTTCATTAATCAATTACCGGCTTCAGTAAAAATAAAAAATTGAATTGAATTGTTTTGTACAATATAAATAACCTCATCTCACATTAACCATTACTGCCATTTGAAATATTCTTTATTAATATTCCACAATTTCAAAACGGTGTCGGCTCCCGAACTCTCGATGCGCTATCGATGAACCTATTAAGTGAACGATAAAAGCGCACGAGAACTTCGCGAGCCGTCGGTGGTATCTCGTCAGTCTATTTTCGGAGTATTCCGTACTAAACGACGCTTTGGCAAATGCATAACTGAATGGTTACAACCCTATTTACTAGTGTAGTGTGTAGTCATGGATTTCGAGCTCAACTTAACGTCGATCAATGTGTACGTACTCGTGTAATCGTAGCGTATTTGGCTTCGCCGACCGTTTGTGAGCGAAGTCAAACTTATTCTCATAAAAATATATATCGCCATGGAGAATTATTTCGCAAAAAAATCTATGCGATACGTCAAATGCGACGACCCGGTTGAAGAAAATTACACTTAAAACTGCACCAAAAAAGTGCCCACAAAATGTCACAAAATAAAAGCATAATGTCAAAAGGTCGGAAGACATTTCCCGCGTAGAGTCGCGACCGAACGACGAGGTGAATCTACGCTTTTAAATATATTATAATAATAAGTTTTGTCTAACTACGAGTCGACGTCGGCCCGAGGTTACGCTCGCCCGCGCCCCGCCCCCTCCGCCCGCTCGAACACCAGCACGCTCGCGCCGACCTCGCCCGACGGGAACTGAAATATAATATTATTATTATTAATTTTCTCCGACCGTCAGAGACGGCGAGGGAAAACGGGCCGTCACCTGCGTGTGCGGCAGCTCGCCTATCGGCCGATACCGGTTCTCGAGCAGAGACTCGACGCGGCCTCGGAGCACGTCGAACATGACGAGCAGGGTGGGAGGCTGCCTGGCGGAGTACTCCTTGGCCCACCACGCGCCGGGGTTGTTGAAGAAAGCCTCGGCCTCGAAGGTGCGGCCGGGGGGTGGCGGCGAGCAGTCCAGGTGGCGGACGGACACGTTGGTGTGCAGGTGGCTGTAGAGCGGCGTGGAGTGGCACGGCATCAGGAACAGCACGGAGCTGCGGTTGTGAGGGATCGCCTCCCGCAGGAGAGCCATGACCCTCGTGGTGCCCGCCTGGTGCACCGATCCGAAGTAGGCCGCGGGGACGGCGTTGCCCAGCAGGATCACCGCCGCCAGAGAGTACAGTTGCCATCTGAAACGAACAATGTATCGAGATGCCGCCGCTATTCTTCAATTCGGTCGGTCGGGAGTCTAAAGCGCAAGACGCGTACCTCTTAGCCTTCCTGCTCCAGGGGACGACGACGTCTTGGGCCAAATACAGCAGGACGGGGAGCAGAGGCAGGACGAATCTGAACTCTTTGTGAGCGATACAACTGAAATTATCAAAATTCACCATTTTAGTCTGCCTAGATATTAGTTAAGCCTAATTTGTGGAAATATTTTTACCTATGAATCCCTAAATGAACGACGGCGGCAGTCAACAAAACGACCCCAGTTTTGTTCTCTTTGTGTCTTCGGAGCACCGAGACGATACCCCACAGTACTAGAGGGAGGGTCACTCCTAACACTGCCGGTATACCTTGGGTCAGATACCAATGCCTGAAAATGAACAATTGAAATTATATTGTACGAAAGATTGCTAGGAAGCTCTCACAGAGATTGGTCTGCGAAAGATCACGGTCCGTGACACTGTTTGTGAAGATTTCTACTTAATATTAAATTTATTATTAGGGTTGAGAAGTTACCATGGATGTGTTCCGTAGAAGGACCCGATATCTTGCAGGACATTAAACTTAAAGAACTCCCAGGGTGTGATGATCAATCTTCCGTACATGTATGTATCTAGAGCGACCAAGCTTCCACCGGCTATGAGACTGAAAGTTGGATAAATATATTTTACATTATAGCATAATATAGCAAAATTTAGGGCTAAAGTTGCCTCTATGTTAGTAGAGGAATATTAAACGTAACATTTAGTATGTAAAGATAGTCGGGAAAGATAGGTAAAAACAAAGACCTACCTAATAGGCAAATAGTTTTTAAAAAAAAGGAATTTTCCCTGGTTGGTAGTAAACAGGTTGTACATGCCGAGGACAAGCCATAATGGTGCAGATGTGGGTCGAACGAACACAGATAAAACGGCTAGCCAAATCCATCTATTGTCTTCTGAAAATTGAAATGACAAAATTTTATTTTTATTTACATTACACCAGGATTAGCATCTGCAGGCAAACTGTTAGGGCAATTTTACATGTCTGAAGCAGAAGTCACCATGATTTAAATATATCTATATTGTGGGAAATCATATTAATTTTGTTTTGCTGTATTAAAAACATTCTTACCTTGTTCGTAATATGCTAATTTTCCTGCTTTAAAAGGAAAGACAGACAGGGCAATAGCAACTAAATCTGTTTCAAATGTTTGCAATAATGTTCGGCTGGCTGTGTAGAACCAGAACCAACATGTGAGTATTAAAAACAGGGCCCATTTGCGACCTCCTGTCCATTTATAGAAACGGTAGTCTGCAAAAGCACTGAGAATAGCTTGAAGGATCCGTGGTGTTACAACCTTAAAATGAAAAAGGTACTTATAAAAGAACAAATCTTTACCTGAACTAAAGGTTAAGAGTTATAATTTATTTGATGCTTTAGATTCTACAGCATCATATATTTGATAAATGGCTTATAGTTAGACAAATAAATAATATACATATATAAATAAAACTCACCACAACTTCTGGATAGTCTAATGATGCAAACTTCAAAACACTGTAGAACACTGAGACAATACTAGGGTAAAGATAGCTTCGGATACCCTTCTGCCATTCCCAAGTCAATGCTCCATATCCAAAAGCTTGCTTATGTGCCACTTCCAGAGTCTGCCAGTACTCGTCAGGGACGTACCACGTTATCACCAGGAACACTGACAACACTCTTAGCAGCAAAATTATGGAGAATACCTGGTGCAAACCCAGGCCCATAACCAAAGCCATTCTCCCGCCTAAAAAGGTTATATCGTATTAGTGAAATTATGCAAAATTTAAATGAACCCAAAACACATTTATAAAAAAAAAAAATATAGAACAATCATAAGGAACATAGGCATTCGTTTATAAATAGACGCTATCAGTTAAAAATACGCTATCCTAGAAAATGACAACTATCGCGTCCTTTATATTATTGCAAAAGTTGAATGAAGAATAACGAATATTTTAAGAGTAGTGTTCTATATCATTGTGCATTAAAAAACCCTTGATCACATTTGGAAATTGCTCGTCTACACTCATTTATATATTAATTTTAAAGATATTAAACATTAAAGCACACCAACCTCACCAGTAAACCGATCCACTGATCATAGAGTCTAGAGATTAGAGATCATAGACCATAGTATCCAGAGTCCAGATAGTTACTTCAAAATTTTTTTTTTTGGATTTTATGACCTGGCTTTACTTCAACATAATATAGGGTACAGATAACAGACATCTCTCTTCTATAGGCTTCACAGAATAGTATAGGTTATATTATCTCTGGTACACTACATTGGCAAATGATTTTAATGATCTTAACTGTTACTTGTTAGTTATGTTATGTATGCACTGTGCGTTGTGCCCATAAAAAAAAATGTTTGCCCACCAAGCGCGGAACACCCCTGTGTTGATTTTTTTTATTGAATAAGCGTATTCTATGTTCAGCGTTGTGTGCATATAAAAATTTAATATGCAGTAAAATGGGTAGGTAACTTTGTTTGAATAGATACAATTTGATATAAATTTAATATATTAAAACCATTTAATTTTATAGATACTTCAAAGGATGAAACTTTGGATCTATCGAGGCGTGGACTCAAGAAAATAGAGAAAGCTCCTGCGGAAGAATCAAAACCGATTATTAGTTTAATTCTAGATCAAAACGAACTACATCGTTTAGACAACATCGATACTTATAATCGCGTAGAAAATGTACATATCGTTTTACTTCTAAGCTGAATTAAAATGCTTTAAATGTAGTTTAAAAAGAACAACATTAAGTTATTCTTTAATATCAAATATGTTATGCTTTTTCTATTAAATTAAAAATTAACCAAGGTAGATTTACACTATTTTGTAATTTTTAAAATGCTATATATTTTCCAGCTTTCAATATGCAACAATTTTTTACTGAGAATGCATGGGGTATCTCGTTTGACGAATCTCAGAATTCTCTCGTTGAACAACAATGGAATTTTACAAATAGAGGGGTTGAAAGATATGATTTATTTAAAAGTCCTTAAATTGGCTGGTAAGGAAGATTTGTATGTATTAGATTTAAGGTTGTATTGACATCAAAATTAGAGAGTTATACTATTATTATGTATTTTGAGATTTGGAGAAACTATCCAATCTATTTTGAAAGGAGTTCAGAGATGGTGCACTGATTACACTTTCCGGAAGCCTATTCCAGTCGGCCACTACTCGGTTTGGGAGAAAGTTCTTTAGGGAATTTGTGTTATGTTGAGTGGTCTAAAGTTTTAAAGAACTACCCCTCAAATGTGTATTTTCACTTAAAATAAAGAGCTTCGCGATTCCTGGAACATTATAGTGGCCAGTGAGGATTTTATAGGTTTCAATGAGATTTCCTCTTGATCTCCTACTTCCTAAATCAGGTCAAGTGCTTTCAGACGCTCATTATAAGATTTCTTCCTGACCTGATCATATTCGTGGCTTTTCTTTGAACCCTTTCAAGCATCCTTACTTCATAATATCCTTTATGAAGTAAGGATCCCAAATGCTGTAGGCATACTCTAATAGTGGTCTAATGTAACATTTATATATCTTTAAGAGTGTTCTTGGTGAAAGGCATTTGAAGGATTTTCTAACTAAATAGAGCATGGAGCTTTATGTGCGTTGTGTTTAGGACCCCACCCAGCAAATTATAAAGGCGGTGAGGTTTACAAGGAAATCCTATCAAGGAAAACCACGCAACACTTACCACGTAAACATAAGAATTTTGAGTATAAACCTCAAAAAGATAAGGAAGAAACTGATAATAAAACCTCTGCTAATCAGAATAAAGAGGAAAATGAACCGCTGCAGGTGCAGAGGAAAACACATGAGCACAAATTGTACATCAAAATAATACAATCCATCAACCTGACTCTATAAAAGTCATAGAACAAATGTTTATACAACAATCCCAAAAGATTGATACTGTATGACAGCAAATGAGTACATTACTTGAACTCATTGCAGTACTAGTCACTAAGTTAACAAAATGACTGCACTAAAAATAGCTACATGTAACATCAATTGGCTGGCTTGGCACCCAACATAGATGAAGTGGAAATATTTATCAGTCTTCATAGTCTAGACATTCTCCTAATTTCAGAGACACATGACAACCAGCAGCTCGATAAGAATTAAAGGATATAAGATCTATTCCACAAATCATCCAGACGGTACACGGCGGGACAGCAGTAATAATTAAAGCCACTGTTAGACATCATGTGTTACCAAACTACTGTACCGAACATATCCAGGCTACCTAACTTTAATAAATCATCAATTTATAGTCCCCCAAAACATAAAATAAGTGAAGCACAGTTTTCTTATCTTCTTCTTTCTATTCTTGTCGTACTTTGTAAGCTTGGGATACAGATTTATTGCTGGGGGTGACTGGAATGTGAAGCATTCGCACTGGGGCTCTAGATTAATAAATACACGTGGAAGGGAGCTGAAGAAAAGTGTAGATAAACAGTTCCTGACTACTGTCTCAACTCCGGAACCAACACACTGGCCCACAGACCAGAACAGACTGCCAGATGTTCTAGACTTCTTCATCACAACAGGGCTGTCTCGACTTTTCTTCAATGTTGAGTCATGCCTCGATAGCTCATCTAACCATGTTCCTGTAATATTGACAGTGAGCACCACTATTTTTAAGAAAGAAGCTCGGCAAACATTGTACAACAAATACACAGACTGGGATAGCTTCCGGGAAATAGTTGACACAGAGCTAAGCCTAAAAATAGCACTTAAAACAGAAGAGGATATCGAAGAAGCTACAAAGCATTTCACCACAACAAAGCTGCCTGCTGGAAAACCTCTCCGGAGCACTTGAATCACAGGCCACGGCAAAATAAGGTATCGTTTGAAATAAAAGAACTGATTCTGAACAAAAGAAGACTGCGAAGAGTACGGCACACTAGCAGGCTTGCAGTAGATAAAAGAGCTCTTAACAAAGCAGTCAAGGATCTTAAACTTGCCATAAAAAATGCAAGGGACAAAACTATGAAATGTTATCTAGATTCCTTAACTGCAACAAATGCTACAAACTACTCTCTATGGCGAGCTTGTAAGAACTATAATAGACCGATAGATCCCAAACCGCCGTTATGGTTGCAGAATAACAATTGGCCAAGGACAAAACAAGAAAAAGCTGACGCCTTCGCTGTTCACTTAGTAAAAGTATTCACGCCTAATAGTTAGGGAGGCGAATAGGGGAATTTTCGGTAATACTCGAGCGTGGCAGTTTAAGATATGAGAGATACCTTAGACCTAATAGAACAACCTTGTAAAGTATTCAGCTCTATATGTAGTGACGCGCGCCTAGGATAGACGATAAGATTAGTAAAAAAAAATCGCAAACCGGCAGATTAGTATACCGGTGTTATCAGAGGCACTTGGGGCATACATAGTATGAATATCTGACGCGCTCGAGAATGCCCAAGTAACTGTTTTTTTTTAACATTTTTGAAAAACCGTACACGCCAAACCCACCGCTAAAATGGTTTTTACCATACGAGCTCTTCTCTTCGAAATTATTTTATCTTTCGATTTTGATAGGTCTCGACTGCGCCGTTGAATTACGCTATTTAGCTACCTCGCCTCCCTAACTATAATGAAGCTGACCCAGACACTGATGATTCCTTCATAGATTCGGTCCTAAGTCAAGATTTCCAGCTCGATTTGCCGATTAGGCCTACAACGCCGAAAGAATTCGTGGCCACAATCTCAAAATTGGAGGACAAAAAGGCTCCCGGGTTTGATTTAATAGACAAAAAAGTCTTGACTTCTAGCCATCTTATTTAATGGCATAATAAGAACTGGACACTTTCTATCGCTGTGGAGAGTCTCACAAGTAATTATGATACCTAAAGTAGGGAAGCCAGTGAACGAACTTAGCTCATACAGGCCGATTAGTCTGCTAACCGTAACGTCAAAACTTTTTGAGTCAGTCCTACAGCACAGATTATTGGAGGAGATTCATCAAAGAGCCATAATCCCGGACCACCAGTTTGGTTTTCGCCAGCAGCATGGCACTGTGGAACAAGTCCATAAAATCTGCTCTGTAATAAGGAAGGCACTAGAGAGAAAGGAGTACTGCTCCTCTGCCTTCCTAGACGTGCAGCAGGCGTTTGATAGAGTATGGCACAAAGGTCTCTTGTATAAAGTAAAAACTCTTCTACCCTGTACATTCTTCCCCATCATTAAATCTTATCTAACAGAAAGAATATTTCAAGTAAGAGAAGAAGATTGTACATCGCCATTTCACTCAACCAAAGCTGGAGTACCGCAGGGGTCTGTCCTGTGCCCAGTCTTATATACCAATTACACATGTGATTTACCACAAAGCGAACACGTCACATTAGCAACATTATAACCAACAATATTTCACATTATACTTATAAATTAAAATGTGAAAGAGCATACAGTTGTACTACGAGGACTACACTCCACAGAAGATACTGCACTAATAAAACAAGAGTTAAAAGAACAAGGCCGTGAGGTGAGACAAATAGTAAATGTTTACATAGGACTACCAAAGAGGCATTGCCCATCTTCTTTGTGGACTTGGAGCCAAACAAGAACAACAAAGAAATATTTAACTTAAGATATCTAAGTCAAATGAGAGTAACATTTGAAGCTCCTTATAAGAAAAAAGAAATAATGCAATGCAAAAGATGTCAGAGGTTTGAACATATTAAAAACCAGTGCTTCAGACCATACAGATGTGTGAAATGTGGTAGCGATCATCCTACTTCTTCGTGCACCAAAACTCCTGAGACAGATGCCACATGTGCAAATTGTCAAGAAAGACATCCGGCAAGCTACAAGGGTTGTTGCAAGTTTCCGACTTGCATGAGATCAAATCAGGAGTACCACAGGGAAGTATACTGGGACCGGTTCTCTACACCATATATACTGCCGACATACCAACATCAGACAACACTACGGTTGCAACATATGCAGACGATACAGCTTTACCATCTACACACACGAATCCAAAAACAGCATCAGAACATCTACAACACCACATTGACAAAATTGAAGAATGGCTCAAAATCTGGCGAATACACGCAAATCAAAGTAAATCAACACATGTGACCTTTACTCTCACACGGGACACGTGTCCACCGGTTACACTTAATAATGAGGAAATCCCTCAAGATGACCATGCAAAATACTTGGGCATTCACTTGGATCGAAGACTAACCTGGAAAAAACACATATGGACAAAGCGGAAGCAACTGGACTTAAAACTTCGCAGTACGCACTGGTTAAGGTTAGGACGACACTCACAAATGAGCACACACAGCAAGTTGACTGTATATAAAGCCATCTTGAAACCAATATTGACCTATGGCATACAGCTTTGGGGTACTGCTAGCAATAGTAACATTGAGATACTGGAAAGATTCCTCAATTACATATCAATACATCAGTAATAAGAACATATACCTTGATTTAAATTTACCAACTGTCAAACAGGAGGTAGAAAGATATAGTTCAAATACCAAAAAAGACTCTCAAACCAAAAAAATGAGCTTGCCCTCAAACTCAGTGGAGATCAAAGCCTTCAACACAAAAGATTGAAGAGACATAGTGTCCCAACCCTAAAAAATAGATTCCTCAGGATGGAATGAGACACCTACTGGAGAAGTGTCTCACCACGCTGAAAAGCCTAAGCGGATACACTAGTATCGGACAAAGTAGTGGCTTATTGTTGTGTTCAACAGATTGCCGCGGAGCAGAAAGAGAGAAAAATAAAAAATAAATTAGCAACATTCGCAGACGTGAGACGATACTGCTGTACTGGCATGTAGTAATAGCCCAATCGAAACTTCAGACTTCCTACAGACTTGGATTGCAAGAAATTGAAACCTGGCTTTCAAAGTGGAGATTAAAACTAGTGTGACAAAATTCGTTCATGTAACCTTCACTCTCCGTAGAGGAGACTGTCCGCCAGTAACTCTGTGCAATCAATAACTTCCGCAAGAAAACCGTGTAAAATACTTGGGAATACACCTTGATAGGAGACTCGTATGGAAACAACACATACAGAACAAGAGAGAAGAAATCAACCTGAAATACAGAGGACTCTACTGGCTTCTTGGCAGAAATTCCAAACTGTCAGTAGATAATAAGCTACTCATCTACGAAATGCTCTTGAAACCAATTTGGACAAACGGGATTCAACTATGGGGTTCGGCGTGTGACTCTAACATAAGTATCATACAGAGGGTTCAAAATTACATCTTGAAACAAATATCCAACTGTCCGTGGTTTATAAAAACATCGGAGATTCATGAGCACCTCAAAATCAGGACTGTCAAAGAGGAGATCAAGACCTGGAGTATGAAATACAGAAAAAGGCTAGAAATGCATCCTAATAAGTTTGCCACGCAACTAACCGCACCGGACCTAATAAAAAGGCTTAAAGGCGACAAATCCAAAGTCTTGATAGACACGGTTGAAAGAGAGGAGCAGTCTCGATGGAGATTTTGCTCTGAATGTCTAACAGCTCTCAACACATCTGCTCATAGTCTAGCTGACTGATTGCAAGATAAAGACTTACATAAAAAAAATAGAGCATGGAATTAGCCTTTTTCACAAATTCATGATGTGACATTCCCACTTCAAATTATTACTGATAGTAACACCCAAGTTTTTTTGCGTGAATACTGGCATTAACTTTATTTGTATTATTGTGCGGATTTTTCTTTCCTATGTGCAATATTGTGCACTTTTTAACATTTAATGACAGCAGCCACTGCTTGGTCCAATCAAAAATATCATCTAAACCACCCTGTATTGCTTGAGATTGGAAAAGTGGATTTCCAAAAATAGATACTATGTATTTATTTTATTATTTACTTTTAAAGATACTAATGTTAAAATATATGTAGTTACTGATAACATACTGTTGAAATATTGTATTAACATTTTTCTCTCATCCCTATTTCTGCTTACAGGCAATAATATAAAATCAATAGAGCATTTAAACCACAATATGCATTTAGAACATCTGGATCTTTCAAACAATCAAATATCCTTTATAGCTGATATTTCTTACATGAAACATTTAAAGGTTGGTTTACAGTACAATTAATACAATGTAGTAATTTATGTTTTGGTAATAAATTTAGTAAATTACTTTATTCTTAGCAACCTGAATCTTGCTCATAGGAATAACTGCTTTAAATTTTTGTTTCAGCATTTGAACTTAGAACGGAACCGTATAATGGATTTACGCCAGTGTGATCGATATCTCCCAACACAGCTCACTCACTTGGGATTGGCCCATAACAACATTCCTGATCTGAATGAAGTCTCCTTCTTAGTACATTTGACTGAACTCGATAGCTTTACAATACAGGGAAACCCTTGTGTTGCGATGGCTGGGAAAGACAAACTGTATCCTTTTCCAAAAAAATTTGTTGTATGATTTAATAGAATGATTGATGTAAAAATATTGATATATAATGTGTAACTAAACAACTACTATGCTTTATATTCAGTGTATGTATTCACTCTATTTAAATGCAATTATTTTTCTCATAAATAGTCATTTGAATAAATAAACATCATTCGACAACTTTACAAGGATAATGTCCATAGGTTCTTTGATTGTTCATCTTTCTTTATATCATGATTCATATATCTTAGACTTTTTGTTGTCTATCTTGCATTTGAGTGTGTGCTTGCATTTTTTTTGGATTAGAAGAAATAGCTAATAAGATAATAGAAATAGAAGATAGTAAAACATTTACTAATTAAGTCATCAGATGTAAAATATAAAAAGTTATGAATTTAATTTTCTTAATAGAATTCAGAGGTTTCGATTACCGGCCGTTCGTGCTCAACTGGATTTTAAGCGTCAAGTCTATCGATGGTTTTATTGTCAGCGCAATCGAAAGGTAACCCACCGTTTTGTAATGTTTATAGCGAGAGGCCCATTAATGACAAATACTGTGTGTGTAGCTTGAAAGCCGAATGGCTGTACAGCCAAGGCAAGGGCCGGCACTTCCAGACGGGACAGCACCGCGAGTTGGGCGAATATCTGTCCTCGACTTGCCCCCTCACCGCCGACGCGCTGGAGACGGAGGATCAGAGGAAACTTAGGCTTATACTGAGCAAGGTATTCATTGAATTTCTAAAGAGTAACTCATTACGACCTTCCCGGTTGGGATTATTAGGAAAATGACTTTTTTAATACAGTTGCCCAAAAAGTGGCGTATTGCAGGGACGTATAGCGTTCGGGATGTGGGCTATTACACACTCGTGCTTTATTTTTACCTTTTCCGAACTAGTGCGTTTTCTTTCCCAACTGTCAAAATAATGTCTATTAAAAAGAAAAAAACCAACCACGAAGTTTTTACTAAAAAAAAATCATAGAAATTTTTATGATTCGTGCAAATATTTCTAAAAAGAAGCTACTGATTTGTTTTAATATCAGATTTAATGATTTGATTCAATGAGATAGGTTTCATTTCATTTCATCTCATTAAATTTCATATCAATAAAAAAAAAAGGGTGCGTGTACTTATGTACGCGCGTAAGAAGTTATACTTCTTTGGCATTATTAAAAATAGTTTTTGATTGCATGCAAATAATTAATTACAATTAAATAATCAAAGACTGGAAAAGGAGTCATTAAAGTCAATAAAGTTCAGTATACATTTGAAAAATTAATTAAATAAATATTTATTATTATTCTCTTACATTAAACAAATAAAACACTATTTATCTTTAAAACATTTTTATTTCATTATACTATTTATTTTTAAGTGACTCTAATGTCTTCATCAGAATTTCGGTTTGTAATTTTAAATTAATCATTACTTGGTTGTGCATCTACGAGGCTTCTCCAAAACTACTTGCTTTCTGCAACAAATAAGAGAATATTAATTTAAGCTCTGTCCATGCAAAACTTAAATTTTTTTATAATTCATATTATAATTTTTTTAACACATTTATATTAATATAATTATATAAATGTGTTAATAATATAATTTGTAGCACATGCTACAGACCTGGATAGCAACTTTCTTTTATTCTATTTAGAGATAGAGATAATTTAAATATAATACCGGTGTCTTCCTTGTAGGTTTCTTTGGAGTTGTTTGGGGATTCTTGTTGTTCAGTTCGACATGATTTTCTTTAACCTTTCTTTAATCCTACAAAATAATGAAATTGTTAAGTTATGTTGTCACTGTTGTGCACACCTTTGTTTGGCTTTTTTAGTATTCAAGTTATGTCAAAACTGATTTATTACCTTGTCATTGTTGGCTTTATTTGCTTTTGGGATATCAATTGTTTCCAAAATGATTTTATTTGTAATAACCTGAAATATATAAATAACATCTATTAATTTAAGTATCATGGTGAGTGGTTCGCACTCAGGTATTAAGGTGTATTATACCCACTGTCCATTATAAGTGGGAATGGGCTCACTTCTGGCAGGACAGAGTTTCGGTACTACAAGTGCAACATGGATGTTTTGAGGTATTACAATATCTCTAACTACCCTGTAGGGGAATAAAGTAATGTTGTAAGCATATGCCTATGCTTGAAAGGTTGAACCTTGAACATCACCATACATCATATTTATAATTAACATTCCTACCTCGACACCATCACAATCAAATTCATTGAAATCTACTTCAAACCATTGTGTCTCGAGAAGGTGATGGTGGCTTTGTTCCACCTCCAGTTTTTGATGTTTCACGGCGATAAGATGACAACTCTTTTTTTGTATTCAATTTAGTGCACTTCCACTGATTCATCAATTGTTTTTTGTCTCTTGTCCTTATATTTGCTAGATTAAATCTGATGTTTTGATTAAATAATGTGGTCATTTTTTTGAGATGCAGGTACTTATTAAAATGTTTACTTCTCTATTATATCGCTCCAAGCCTTCATTTTCTCCTTATTAGTATTCGTGCTTAAATCTTTGTTCTCAATTATTGATATATAGGGTCGTAGAATATTTCTAAAAAGTTGCTTTAACAAACGCAATAAACAAAAGCAATGAATAATGGTTCATGTTTCAGTTTTAATCAACAATAATACTCGATAATACATACGGATAGTTAACCTCAATTGTATTGAAGCACTCAGGAAGGTTAGCACAGTTTTTTCACAAATATTTTATATTATTTCACAAATATTTTGTATAATGAAAATAACTAGGTATATAATTATTAATTTTAAACAATAATTAAAACTCCTATATTTGTTTAAAAGGTAAATGTCATTGTCAGATGTCAATTGTCATGGTCATTCAAAATTCTTGTTAAGCTGCTAAGCTAGAATATGCGTGAAGTTAGCTTCACGCATATTCTATTTCTTTTTACTTGTAGTTTGTCTTATTCCCATCTCGCTCGCGCACGCTATATCACACTGCCAATTTTGTGTCATAGGTGCGCGCGCAATCGTAAAATTTCACTCTCATCAATTTTTCATAACGCGCCTAAAGAAGTACAACTTCAAAAAATTCTACTGTAGACTTGGCTGTATGGGCATAGTTCCCTTTGCCTACAGAATGGGTGAAGAAAAAAAATCTCTGCTTATATTCTTTTACAGTTGGCGCCATTTGCCAGTTTAGTCGTTTGATATATTATATATTAAATATACATGAACAATCATACGAAATTAATAATAGTTTGTCTCAAACAGTAAATAAATATGCAACCTAAAACTTCTCCAGTTAGTATAATAATCTGTATCGATTTCAATGTATACGTGAATTATAAGTTTTATAAGAAATAAATGATTAGTTAGTTGAGTTTATTGTGTTTTTATTAAATTGCTTAATTTGTTCGCTATTTCAGGCCCAGCAGCATCAACAGCAACTAAAAGATCAAAATCACAGCCCCAACAGACCCAAACTGCAGTCGCCTCGAATGCAAGGTAGCACTCGGCCCTACTTATAATTCCATCGTTACACTTTCCGAGTATCGCATAATAACCTAGGTCCGTGTTAAGCCCGCCTGACCCCGCGCCACGTGGGCCGATCGCCCGATCGCCTCAGCTCGAGCTACCACGCCGCCGTGTCGCGGACGTCGTCGCCTGCGCCCCACGCCCCGACACTCAATCTCATGTCCTTGTCCTGTTCTGAACTCCTCGCGAAGGACTCGGCCAGGGAGATGCGAGGTAATTCACGACCGCCGACTTAGCGCGTCTATTGAAGCTTTTCCATATCGACAGACGAACCTGAAATTCCAGATCGGCAACAGCAACCGCCTATTCAGCGACACACCCCACCCAAGCCGCCTTCGGTGGCAAATCAGCCTCTGGAGGCCGCGTCTAAGATGGTTCCGGTCCCGGAATCCCTGATGAGTCCGGACTACCAAGACCCCATCTACGACATCCGAAGGCCTCGGACAGAGTTGCCCGAGAGCTCGGCGTCGAACGCTTCGTCGCAGTCCAGCGACGGCAGCGCACGAGGGGACAAGAGCAGGAGCCGGAAGGGATCGCCGCGGCCGTGCAAGAGGTGAGAGCGGCCAGAAGAAGTTTTTTAATAGACCTACGAACGCTTTTACTACTGACGGAACGTTTCAGCGCGTCGTCCTCTCCAAAATTAAAGACAAAAATGGAGCAGCGAGTCGGAAGAGCCGACGCCGAGACGGAAATTGCGAACGGACCGACGCCGGCCGATAAATCGGAAGCGATCAAGTTGGCGTCGAACCAGCGACACCAGAAGAAGGCGAGCGTGGAGAACTCGGCGGCCACCACCATTCAACGCGTGTGGAGGGGCTACAGGAGCCGCAACCTCAACAGGGACACCGTGAGGATCCTGCACGCCATCCAGGCCGCCCGGGCCAGGCAGCACATCCAGTGAGTGTCCCATCTCGGCGACCTCCGTCGGACGCCCGTCGAATCGCTAACCGGGCTCGACCGATTCCAGGCGGCTGACCTGCGACATGGAGGCCACGAAGGCGGCTCTCGAGAGCGAGCGCAAGATCCAGCAGCTGCAGATGCAGGCCATCAACGCCCTCTGGAAGAAGGTCTCCTCTTTGCAGGCGCCGGGTGAGTCCCGACCTCCGATAGTCCGACGATAAGGAAAATGTTTCCCGACGGTGACAGTGCAATTTTTATGATTTTTAGAGGTCCACAAGCCGAAGGTCGATCTCGAGGACAACTCGGACGCGCTGAGGCAGCTGACCGAGACCTGCGGCAATCTGCAAGTTCAGGTGAGCCAATTTACGTTCGGAACGGTCTCACGACGAAGTGCGTGACGACGTTCAGCGGAACGAATGAGAATGTCGTGTTCAGGTGGAAGAGCTCCGGGGCAGCATCCGCGAAGTGCTTCGCTTCGTGTCTTCGCCCCGAGGGCTGCCGCGCGCTTCGCAGACCGACGTCACCGCTCTCGTGGCCTCGCAGGTTTGGTCCGTTTCGTAGTTGCGCTCGCTTCGCGCGTCTCTCTCTCTATCTGACCCGTCCGTGTTTTGCGACAGGAGGAGCTGACGAATCGGCTGCGGAGGCCTCGCTCCCTGGCGCTGAACGCCTCCTCGCCGCTCCCCGACTCGTCAGTACAGTTGGACCGTTTCAGACGTTCGTCTCTCGTTATATATTAAGCTAAAACGTTTTTTAAACTATTCCAGCGACAAACCCGAGGCCGACTCGATACGTGTCGAGAGAACGGAGTCGATCATAGAAGACCGGGAGCCGAGCGTGGACCCGCAGATCGAGAGGGAGATCGTCGCCGACTGATGAAAAGCGTTCGAGTCGATTTAACCATCGTCCCCGGGGCGAAGGGGACAAAGGGGCCGCCCCTCGACTCGCCCGAGGAGGTCACGCGGGACGCGCTTTTTCGCTTATTTCTTTTCTTCTCACATTCCCAGACCACTAAGCGAATTCGTAATTCGCTAAGAACAGGCAGAAAGGACATTTTATATATTGACTGATTAATTAATTTTAAGTTTATAATTTAAATAAGAGTATGCGCACGGCTTTCACTAATAAGTTTATGGGAACCGACTCTCCCTCGGTGTCCATTTTAGTGCCGATCGGTCCCTCTTCATCTCAGCGTATGCACCGATTTGGTTTACGTGAATCTCTACGCTTTAATTATTTTTTAATCGTTTAATTATTATTGAAAAGCGAGTTCTTCCGAGCGAACGACATCTCTGCGATCGATCCGGCTCGGAAAACTCGTGTCTAATTTTGTAAGAAATATTTGAAGGAGTCGAACGAGTATTTTTTAAGTGAGCGTATTTACTAGTCATTTTTATCTCTCGCCCGACGGGCTCATTATTTAAATCCCCGAATCGTTCATTCCGAAGACCCCGCCGTTCTCTCGTCTATTGCGTGTCCACCGTTTGTTATCGTTTTGTTGAAGCCTGTATTTATTGTGTTAAATAAAAATAATTTGAAAAATATTGTTTTATTCGTCATCCGTTCGCTCATTAGGGACCGTTCAAGTATTACGTAACGCAATTTTTGGAGATTATTGACCCCCCACCATGAACTCGCCGTAACGTTTTTCAGTACCCAAGTACAGTAGTGTATCCAAGTCTAGTAAAACGTTTCGTGACCACCTAGTGACTCTTTAGTTACTATTATGTGGTGTTAGTAGAAAATAATATTAACTATAACGCGTAATTCAATCCCCGCCCCGCAACGTAACGTTTTACAAAAAGAAAAAAAAATTCGTTACGTAATACTTGAACGCTCCCTTAGTTACAGTTTTCACAATAAAAGTCAAATTTTAGATAAAAAATTGTATATTACGTCACGTATAAAACTATTCTAATGCGTGAAACGAGAAGTCTCTTATGATTTAGCTAATTGTAACTCGAGTTCTTCGAGACGTCTCTTTCACGTTCAATAACCCATGGAACAAAGATTACGTATATCGATCGTCATCCCTTACACTTATTATTATTATTATTAATATATATATTACCGTCACAAATAAATTTCTCTGAAAGCTGTGTTCGAATGAAAGAGAGCGGCTCGACGATGTCCAGCGATATTGCCTCTGTAGTCTGTGCGGACAATACAGAGCCCCAGCAGAGAAGGAGAGGGGACAAAACTCTCCGCTAGAGAACAGAGTCTTAAAAGTATGAACTAAAAATTTTAAATAATACACGTGAGAGATCAAAAATCATAATTTACCTAACATTACGTTACTTAGCTAGACATTTACAATTTTTACATTATTATCGAATACGGATTTCGGAGCGGTCGTATCTTTGGCACTTCCCGTTCGCTTATTATGCAAATTATTGCCCGATCTCGATGAGAAACTTTTAATTGAATGCGAGGGAAACACGAGAAAACTCGGCATCGAAAGGAGTCGGAACTATTTAAGGCACTGCTGTCGATGCTTTGCTGAAGGTGAAACTGTGAACAGATCTCGTCCGAACCCAAAACTGCTTTAATATAAGGCAGTTCAGTTCTGGAATAAGTTATAAGCGACAGATGAGCACGTCGAGCCGCAGCTCAGTGGGGGCCGAGGGCCGCGGCGCCCCTCTGCTCTCGAAAAAACTTGGCCAGCCTCCGCCTCTGCACGTCGTCGTAGGTCTTGCTGGTCGCCTTCACCTCTTCCAGCAGCCGCAGGACGGCCCCGTTGCGGGGCGAAGCCCTGTCGGCCTCGCGGAGGTCGCGGAGGGCCGCCTCGTAGTTCTTGAGGGCGAAGTGCGCGCGGCCTCTCCGGTACAGCGCCTTCCCGTTTCCGGGCTCCAGGCGGAGCGCCTCCGAGCATGGGCCGACGCAGGCGGCGTGCAGCCCCAGGCGGGAGTAGCAGGCGGCCAGGTTCAGGCTGCACTGGGACCGGCACGAGCCCGCGGCCGCGTCTCCGACGAGCTCCAAGTAGCGCAGGCACTTGCGGTACTTCCGAGCCGCGCCCTTGAACCGGCCGGCTCCGAACAGCTCGTTGCCGCTGGACTTCACGTTCAGGATACCGGCCAGCAGATCTTCTATCTGGGAAGGATTCGAACCGATAGAGCCTAGGGCGCGACGTTATCTTCCGACATAACTCCAGAAATTAATTTAACTCAAAAGATTTGAAGAAAAAACGAGAAATATTGAATTTGTTTAACGTTCATTCTGTTAGGTCCCTGGCGTATTGGACCCAATATACAGAGCGACGTTTCTATCGCCGTGAATAGATTAAGTCTAGTATAGGTATGTTATTTAAAGCTGGCGGCTTCAACACATTTACACTTTGTGCTTGTGTAGTGTCTGTGAATAAGCGCGAGGCGTGATGTCAAACTGAAATACAATCGCAAATACATCATGAAAAGACTGTCCGTCTCTCTCGCGCTCGGTCAAGCTTATGAGTATAAAAGTGACAGTTATTGTTTTGCTTTTGCTACTGTTTATGTTGATCTTTTTTCAAACATTACCAGGGCAATCTCGTGAAATGGTGCACAATGTTTTTAATTATTTTAAGCATCTTAATAAAAACAGTTTAACGAAAAAAATGTTATATTTCATTTGACATCAGATGCAGAAAGCTGAAAGCTGATTTGTTTTTTTTTTGATTTGTTGAAAGCTGGGTTCACCACCATACTCCTGAATCAAAGCAACAGTCCAAACAATGGAAAATATCTGGATCACCTACTCCGAAAACGGCTAAGGTCGTTTTGTCGACCAACAAAGTCATGGCTAGATGGAGCGTATGTCGAAAAATGAAAAATTATTTACACGAACTACTCTTTCACGTAACTTTTATTCATTTAATAAAACACTATTTTGACCGGATTGAAGGTCACGGTGACCACGCACGCTGTAAAGCACGCGAAACGTCGGATAAATTTAAAATTATGTTAAATAGTTGTAAATTTATAATAATACATAACTTCAATCTACTCTTTCACGTTCTTGGTCTGGCTTAGAACTTTTGGATCCACCCTCGTATACACCTAATATTTATATTTGACACATTTTTATTTATTTACAACCCACTCAACCTTACTAAAACCTAAGTGGACTAAAATATATAGCTTGGCAAAAAAATCATATTTTGAAATATACTATATGTGAAATTGCATTAGTGTGAGTACTGTGAACGCGCCAGCTTTCGATAACCGACCTATAATTATTTGTCAACTGTCAATCACCGAACAAGTGTTATTTCTCCTTCGCGACGGTGCCTTTGCTCAACGCAGGCCCGTAATCTAGAACCTTAAACGGAGTTAAATCTAGTTTCAAGTTGGACCGTAGATATTGGACTCGAATATAATAATGTTTGCGTTATTCGCCACTCGAGAGAACTCACACTCGGCTCCTCCCTCAGGTCTTCCGGGTACTCGGGCAAACGGTCTGCCGTTCCATCCCGACAGCGGACATCCCACGTCTCATCTTTTAGCTCTCCGCAATCCTCGATGATACATTCCTGCAAGTGCGCCGACTATTAGAGATATTAACATTTTTATCAAACTGGTGTGGTGGATCTGTTAACTAAAGAGGGGCCAAGGCCACTCTTCTCCATTCGCTTCCATTGAACGCTCCGCCAAAATGTTCTCTCGGTCTTCTTGTCTAACTCTTTTCAGGAAACTAAATGTATTCCTTTCTTTTCTAGGTTTATGAAGTCTGTACTTTTATCGTTTACGTTTTTTAGAATCGTTACAGGTATATTTCTCGATTCCTTTTTTGATCAGAGCCTCCCGAATTTTGACAAGAACCAAGGAATCGCAATCTCTTTCTGGATAAGGAATATGTCAGAGTGAGACCATTGAGTTGACTTCTGTTTTAAAAATATGATTGAATAATGAGAAACTATAGGTAGGACAGTGTTTTTTTTACTGCTTTAAGAATTTCATCAGCTATTCCGTCCACCTTGGGATTGAATTGCTATTTCTACACCTCGCTGCAAGATATTGGGGATATTTTCAGAGTCACAGAGATTTAGTTTAAGGTATTCGCAGGTGTCATACTACATTTTAATATGGTTACGAAGACGGGTAGTCTGAAATGTTTCTCGGTTTTTAACAAGCTAGAGACGTTTTCAAAAGAAAAAGTACGGACGTTCTAGAATTGTGAAATCGCTACTCAGTAGCAATCCTGCCTAGAGAGTTCTCGAACATCGTTCAAGATTATTCCCAGGGATAAGAGAGCCAAAACGCGACCAATTGATTCAGTTTCGAGTGCGATACCAAGATCGAACATCGAAGTGATAAAGTGCGAATAGTGAAGACAAGTGATAAAGTACTGTGTGAATTGCGTGTAATTGACGTAACTAGTGAGAAAATAAGGTATTTCTGTGCGTAATTTGTGGATTCTTGTGTATTTAAATACCACTTTAATTTATTTAAAAACAAACCCTTGAAGATATCTACGGCGTTGTCTATCCGATCCCTAGCTCGCAACAATATGAAGTTGCGATTAATTGAACTTGCCATTCTGATTCCTCAACTTAAAGACGCATCTTTTGATTTTCTTAGTTCCTCGATAGCTCAGATATACTCGTATAAGAAACATCGATAAATAAAAAATAAATAACATATAAAAATTAAAAAAAAAGTACAAAATATAGTTCTACAATTTAGGAGATTTAATTAACCTTCAATAAATTTTTCTATTTAAAAAAAGGATCAAGTTAAAACACAGTTATGAGACATATATTCCGAGAATAAAAGTCTCTAGTAAATGTAAAATGAAGTATTTTAATATTTACTACTTACAACGGTGGGTCGAGAGTCATCCGCAGTTTTCTGAACTTCCTCCAAAATCCTAAGACCAGCTAACACCTGCCCAAAGACGACATTAGTTCCATCAAGGTGGGGACAGGGCACACTCGTCACACAGAACTGGGAGCCATTGGTGTTGGGCCCAGAATTTGCCATACTCAAGACACCAGCTTCATGCTGAAATTATTAAGTTTTATCGTTAATAACACATTGATGATCAGAGAGTTAATGCAAGTTGTTTCAGATAACAGCAATGGTAAACTTGAATGTACAATATAAGATTATTAATAGAGAAGATAGCAGGGTTTCTGATCAGAGATGAACAATAAAGGCAACTCTGTGGAAAAGCCAGTTAGAAAAGAAAGACAGGTAGAGGAAGACCACAGCCATGAAAATGGTCAGAGCACTTAAAACAAACCTTATAATGAGCGTCTGAAAGGACTTGATCTTACTGATTAAGGAAGTAGGCAATTAAGAAGAAATCTCATTGAAATCTATAACATCCTTTCCGGCCACTATAATGTTCCAGGAATTGAGCTCTTTATTTTTTAGTGAAAATACACATACTAGTTATTAATATAATACAAATTCCCTAAAGAACTCTCAAACTGAGTAGTGGCTGACTGGAATAGGCTTCCGGAAAGAGTAATGTGTGCAGCCTCTTTAGACTCTTTTAAAAATAATATAAGTTTATGAGTTGGAAGACTTAACTTTTGGTATGGGGAGGTATGTTGTGTATAGTGGGTACTCACTTCCTTCTATTGTTTTTTAAATTGGTATTTTATTATTTTTTTAAAGATACTGCTGAATTGTTAAAAAGGTAACACTAATTAAACATTCACAATAAAATTTATCGACCTTGCAAAGGCCATAATATATAGACATTATTTTGAATTTACACAATGTCAACAGTGAAGGCTTCAAATAACATGTTCACTGTACCTATGGAACAAAATATAACAAGCAAGTATGCCAAATTGAATAAGTTTAGAACTCAAAATTTGTTACTCCACCTTTAGAATAAAGTTCTCATCTTCAAAAGTTGTTCCATATATGCTTTCACCACCTGTACCATCCCCATTTATAATATCACCTCCTTGAACCATAAACTGTGTAATAGCTATAAAAAAAAATTAATTAGTCTTTATTACAAACACTTCAATTCGCTTCTTACGCTACACTTCAATTATTCTCAAAAGTAAGCTTTCTGAAATAATAATTGTCACCTTTATGAAAGCGAACACCTTTATAATGTAAAGGTCTTCCTAATTTACCAATCCCTTTCTCTCCTGTGCACAGAGCCCTAAAATTTTCGGCTGTTCTAGGAACAATATCATCTCTTAATTCTATAACAACTCGGCCAGCTAAAATATAAAACATTAATTTATATTTATATAAAGAAATACTACTTATATTTATATATATTCTATACTATATTAGACTCCATGTTATAATAATAAAGAGGCAAGTGCTGAAGTCGATATGTCGTGTGCGAAACGAAACTATTTTGATTATTCTTTAATATCTATTGACATTCAGATATGCAATTTTTCATGCAATTGCGACCTCGTCCCACTGATCTGAATAAACCCTAATTTCAACGGGTATTGTAACGGGTTTTGAATGATAATCATTTATTCAATACACGATGATGAACTATACAATTAAAACCATCATCAAGACACACAAACCTGTCTCGCCATCGATAGATATATCTAAAAACACCAATGGGTTTCTCTCTTTAGCAGAATTTTCTGATATCATCTTTATTTGGGTCACAACGACAATTATCTATAACGATATATAAATGAAAAAAAACAACCATGATTTAATTGACAATAACATCATACTTAATTCAGAAATGAATCGCTCAAAATAATTGAATTTAAGAAATAAACAAAGAAAAATACGACTCCCTTGTCCCGAGGCGCAACTTCGGAAACCGAGGTTCGAACTTCGAATTCGGAATTACAGATTAAACAGACTTAGTAGTTAGTAGTGTGCGTTTTCCAATTACAGAGCATTTTTCGACTCAGTGCCGCACAATGCCGCATAATGCTGAAGCTTAATTGGAACGTGAATTAGTTTTCAAATGCATCAGCAGAGTGCGCTAAGTCAGTGTTGACAAAAAAATGGTCTGAATAGAGTTAGCAACCTCATTAATGTATAAATAATGTGGTAAACAATAATAATTGGTTGAAAACTTTTTACGCTTAATTTAATAATCAAATTATTTCATTAAATTTTTTTTACTGAAATAAGAGAAAACCTTTAAAGAATATAAGGTTTTAACAAGCTAAATTAACAGTAAAATATTTAGTTTCATGTAAGAAGTTTACATCATTTACGTTTTGAGTAATATTTTTTAATGATTTCTAAAAAAATATATACTTTTTCAAAACCATTGCAATTTTTTCTAAAGTATAATCCTGTAAAGTAAATTTGTTTACAGATCCGAATTTTAAAATAAAATTGTATTCATATTTTAAATGTGGAATATAAAAAAAGTAACTATTTATACCTTCATCCATACTAATATTTATTTTTTTAGCAGTTTGAAATAACTTTAATTATTTTCAAAATCTACGACGAAACGAAAGCCTTACAAAGTTTTCAACAATAAATAATATTTACTAACGAAAATTTCGATAAATGCCAACTTAAAGAAAAATACTGGTCAATTTTCTGTCACTGTGTTGGTATTGTTTGCGAGAGCATTCGTTTTGAGAGTGCTCAATTGTGCGAAGCGTTGCTGTAGTTGGAACACTCAACGTTGAGCATTATGCCGCAAAATGCGCTCTAGTGCTGTAATTGGAAAACGCACAGTAGTAACGATTGTTAATATCACAGTAAAATAAAAAAAAGGGTGCGTGTACTTATGTACGCGCGTAAGATGTTATACTTCTTTGGCTTTCTTTATTTTTTTTTTAAATATTAAATAATTAATTATAAATATTTAACGTTAATAATTTAATAATATTTAATATTTATTATATTATTCAAGTATTAATTATTATTAATAATAATAATTATTATTATTAATTATTTTATTATATTATTCATTCAATTTAATAACTAGGTATGTTTCATAACCTTTTAACTAAGTAACAATAGGTCTTTGTGATAAAGCATTGCTAAATTTCTTTGAAAAAATAAATAAAACTCCTTTATTTGTTTAAAAGGTACCTACTACAAAGGTCATTATGGTCATTCAAAATTCTTGGCATAGCTGCTAACTTCATGCATATTCTATTTCTTTTAACTTGTAGATTGTCTTATTCCCATCTCGCTCGCGCACGCTCGGCGCCCGGCTGGTTTAAAAAGAATTCGTTAGTGGGCAACTTCATTCTGTTAATTTTGTGTCACGGCATCGTAAAATTTCACTCTCATCAATTTTTCATAACGCGCCTAACTTCAAAAATAAAAAGCCGTATACCGAATCTGACACTGACAACTATGGGCCACGGTTACACTAGTCACTGCTTTAACATCTAAAATGTCTGTGGAGGTACTTAAATATGCAATTTTAAAATTTATATATATGTTAACGTAGCCGAAAGAAAATAGAGAGAAGAGGAAGAGAGAAACTTCCGACTCACCAAAGGCACCATTAGAAAATAAAACTAACAAGAAAGCAATATTGAACAATCCATCATCCACACTACCCAAAACACATACCAGAGATATCTTAAGACCCAACATACTAAACTATGTAGAAAGAGCAAGCTCTGATCCACAAATAAATCTCTCAAAAAACTGAATATGCCCCAGGACCACCGGAACCATCATACACCAACAATTAATTATTTACACAAACAATCAAAAAAATATCTTCCACCACGGCTGGTCCCCGCGGAAGACTTAGACCATCACCCTCTAACAAGAACAAAAAACAAAAGAATGAGAGCAAATTATACATAGCAACTCTAAATACCAGAACTTTACGAACACCAGAATCTTTATCGGAACTTGAAGAAGCATTGAAGGACCTAAAATGGGACATTTTGGGAATCAGTGAAATGAGAAGAACAGGAGAATGTATTGAAGAGCACCAGGACTTCGTGCTATTTAACAAAGGAGACACCGAAGGACAAGGAGGGGTCGGATTCATAGTTAAAAAGCACCTAAAAGAATACATAATAGAATTCATTGGAATTAATGACCGAACTGCTATACTCAACATCAAATTACCTAGCTTCAAAAAAACATGGACAATTATCCAAGCCTATGCTCCCACGGAACAAGCAAAAGAACTTGAACATGAATCTTTTTACAATGAACTATCCCAAGCTATTATAAGTAATTACTCAAAAAACATAATTGTACTAATGGGAGATTTTAATGCTCAAGTGGGAATAAAACAATGTAAAGAAGAATATGTGTTAGGAAACTTTGGCTACGGCAAAAGAAGCAAAAATGGACAAAGGCTGGTTGAACTCTTATTAGAACACAATCTAACCCTCCTAAATAGCATTTTTAAGAAAAACAAAAACAACAAGTGGTCTTGGATCTCTCCAGGCGGGAGTCATAGAAACGAAATAGACTATATTATAAGCAGCCACCCAAATCTATTTACGGACACAGCAGTTATATCAAAATAAAACTTTAATACCGATCACCGCATGGTAAGGGCGTGACTCAAGACTATACCACCCAAACAATCCAGAAAGTTTGCTATACATGACACACTCCCGACATGCAGCACAGAACCCAACAAAATAATGGAGAATTCCTTGTCATCACTCAGCAGAGAACTATTAGAAACAGATGCAATAGATGTAAATACAAGTTACAACAAATTACAAAACAACATTACATGTCAAAAAGAACAAAAACGACAACAACATAAATATAATTTAAGTAACAACACTACAACTTATAAATGATAGAAAAAGTTTACTTGACTGTAAAGTAAGGAAACAGAACATCCAAAAAATAACTGACTTAAGCAAAAAATCAAAGAAGGTATAAAAAAAGACAGGAAAGTTAAAAGGTTGCAAACTCTAGAAAAACATATAGCAAGGATAGGAGGAACTAGGAAAGCTTTAAAGGAACTCCGAGAATCAAACCAATGGATTCCGAAATTGAAAAACAACCAAAAAAATGTAACAGACCGAAAGAACATAAATAGTATAGCTACAAAATTCTACCGCAATCTATATTCTAACCCCAATACACATGTAAGTCAAGAAATCCTAAATTATAATCTGCTCTTAGTGAACCCAGAACCTGACATATTACCCAGAGAAACTAGGAAAGCCTTACTAAGCCAAAAGTTAGACAAAGCACCAGGTCCTGATAAAATCACAAACGAACTACTGAAAGGAACCATAGAAGAACTGGTCCCCATTCTAACTAAAATCTTTAACGGCATCCTGAGGTCGGGACAGGTTCCAGAACAATGGGAGACATCCCACATCATTCTCATACATAAGAAAGGAGAAAGAGATAACATAGGGAACTACAGACCGATAAGTCTGATGTCTAACATATATAAAATCTTTTCCAAAATAATTTTGAACCGAATAAGCAACACACTTGATGAAAACCAACCGAAGGAACAAGCTGGCTTTAGAAAAAACTTCTCCACAATAGATCACATCCACACAGTCAAGCAAATTATGAAAAATATAATGAGCACAACAAACCGCTATATATGGCTTTTATCGATTATTCGATTTATAAACACCATTAAAAACATTTACTCTAACAGTAAGGCAAGAGTACAAATGGAAACCTTGGGTGAAACATTCCAAGTAAAAAGAGGCGTCAGACAGGGCGACCCGATGTCTCCAAAGCTGTTCTCCTCGGTGCTGGAAAACATATTTCGGAAGCTAATATGGGACCAACATGGATTAAATATAGACGGTAAAAAACAAAACCATCTTAGATTCGCTGACGATATTGTTTTATTTGAAGAACAACCAGGGAGCCTAGAAAAAATGATACAAGAACTAAATACAGAGAGCAAAAAAGTGGGCTTATGTATTAATATAAACAAAACGAAGCTATTAACGAATTCAAACAAATATGAAATAAAAATTAACAACCAACCCAGTAAATGAATATATCTATTTAGGACAAATCATCTCACATACAGACACAACTACAAAAGAAATAAAAAGACGAATAGCTAACGGATGGAAGAGATATTGGTCACTGAAAGAGATCATGAAATCCACAGATCTGAGTACTGGTATCAAAAGGAAGGTCTTCAATACCTGCATTCTCCCATGTATTACATATGAGTGTGAAACTTGGGCTCTCACAAAACATCACAGAAACATGCTGGAACACTGCCAAAGAGCTATGGAACGAAGTATGATAGGTATTAAGAAACAAGATAAAATACGAAACACTGTCATAAGAAGTAAGACAAAAGTCACAGACATACGCACTAGAATAGATAGTTTGAAGTGGAGATGGACTGGGCGCATGATACGTGATAAACAAGAAAAGTGGAGCAACATCATAACTGACTGGTACCCTAGAGATGGGAAAAGGAACAGAGGAAGACAAAGCAAGAGATGGGAAGACGCATTAAAATTAACAGCTGGCTCAAAATGGAGAAGAGTTGCAAGAGACAGAGTACAATGGAAATTGTTAGAGGAGGCCTTTGCCCAGAGGCACACTGAACTTAGAGATATTTTATAACTTAAAGATAAGAGTCAACCACAAAGTCAAAGAAACAGTTCAGAATAAGAGGCTTATTATTATTATTATTATTATATGTTAACGTAAAATTGTAAATACCGTTAGATTGTAATCTATCTCGCGAGATTATAAACTGTCGAAAGATTGTGAACCTCAGCGTACTGCTTACAATTTAACGTATTATTATTCGGTAGATTGTAATCTATCGAAGTAAAACCGTCAAATTGTGAAAAACGGATCGCACCTCGCGCGCTGATTGGTTGAACAGAATTTGCCCCGCGCCACCATATTTGTTTGTTAATTCGATTGTTGTCGAATGTAAATTGATTACTTTAATGAATGTGAATAATTGATGTCGTGTTGAAAGTAACTCAAGCATTAGAATTAGCTATGAATTAGAGAAAAAGTCAAATTTCCTAAACGAAGACGAGAAATTTTTAAGTGGCAATATTTGTGAAAAATTAGAATGCTTTCAAATACTTAGTCCAACATTTTTCACGTCGTCCATGAACAAATAATTATTATATACAATACAATAATAATAATAATTATTCCAACTTCCGAATGACCTGTCTATCATTATAATATACGTACTAGATGTTATGGATATGATATTTCGGATCTGGATACGGATATGGATATAGGAATAAAATTATATCGGTTTCGGATACGGTTACGGATATGTAATTATTTCGGATTATCCGTTAGTTTCGGATAGTTTCGGTTACGGTTATTAGTTTGAAGTAAAATATAAACACAAATAGTATATAATTTACTTTTATAAATAGGTTTTATCTAGTCTAGGTTATCAGTTGGTATTATAATCGGTCATATAGGTAAGTAATTATTATAAACCTCCTCAGTTTTATCTATTAAAATAAAAGTGCAATAAATTTAATAGCTTTATAAAAACATTTAGCTTTATACATTGCACATATTAACTTATAACCTATGTATAACATATTAAATGTTTTCTTTTTAATTATTTTTGTGAGAAATGAAACCATTAACAAGAGCCTGTCGAAACATGTAGTTTAATCTAGATTTTGGACTCTACCCTTATCCGAAACTATCCGAAAGTTGTGAAACGGATACGGTTAAGGTTACGGATATATATTTTTTTCGGATATTCGATTATTTCGGTTACGGTTACGGAGCTCCATAACATCCCTATTACGTACCACGCACGTCTACCTAATATTCTGCCGCTTTTATGCAGCTTATGTATAAAAAGTAAAGACACGATTCTGCTATAAATCACAACCCATTTTTGACGTTAAACTTCTTTAGGCGCGTTATGAAACATTAATGAGAGTGAAATTTTACGATGCGCGCGCACCGTGACACAAAATTAACAGAATGAAGTTGCCCACTAAATCGCTCATCAAGTTGTGGAAAAAATGCTACCAACAAAACAGAAATGGAAGCTCTGTTAGTGGCGCATGTTGCCACGCACGCCGCCTCTGTTCACTGTGCGTTTTCCAATTACAGCACTAGAGCGCATTATGCGGCATAATGCTCAACGTTGAGTGTTCCAACTACAGCAACGCTTCGCACAATTGAGCACTCTCAAAACGAATGCTCTCGCGTGCTTCTCGCAAACAATACCAACACAGTGACAGAAAATTGACCAGTATTTTTTTTTAAGTTGGCATTTATCGAAATTTTCGTTAGTAAATATTATATATTGTTGAAAAATTTGTAAGGCTTTCGTTTCGTCGTAGATTTTGAAAATAATTAAAGTTATTTCAAACTGCTAAAAAAAATAAATATTAGTATGGATGAAGGTATAAATAGTTACTTTTATTATATTCCACATTTAAAATATGAATACAATTTTATTTTAAAATTCGGATCTGTAAGCAAATTTATTTTACAGGATTATACTTTAGAAAAAATTGCAATGGTTTTGAAAAAGTATATAATTTTTTTAGAAATCATTAAAAAATATTACTCAAAACGTAAATGATGTAAACTTCTTCCATGAAACTAAATATTTTACTGTTAATTTAGCTTGTTAAAACCTTATATTCTTTAAAGGTTTTCTATTATTTCAATAAAAAAAATGTATTTGTGAAAAAACTGTGCTCATCAACCTTTCTAAGTGCTTCACTACAATTGAGGTTAACTATCCGTATGAATTATTAATAATGCCAAAGATATATAACTTCTTACGCGCGTACATAAGTACACGCACCCTTTTTTTTATCTTTGTTGATTGGTTTATTCTTCACAAACAACAGTAATTAATTTATATTCTTATAGAAACGCTCAAGAACATATATTCACTCCTCTTAAAAGTCTGTTCTGAGTCTGTGTGTTTTCTTCTTTTCTTAGGACCCCCACACAAAACTGCGATGCGATGCGATGCGGATTCGCATCGCAGGAATTTGCGATGCGAATTTCTGCGATACGATTTAGTGCGGCAAACCGTTTGGTAGGGCGACCATTCCTTCGTAGTCAGCCGTACTGGACGTGTTTTTAGGAAGCGTAAGATGGATCGCAAAAAGATTGTTGCACTGCTGTTATTGTTAAATAGATATAAAAAAAAAGAAGATTCTGGGTTCCTCCATTTATTACGATTATGAACTCTGATGCAAATTTTCACAGACGCTCTTCCACGCATCTTGCTTAATAAATTTATTTTTATAATTTTCATTACTTGTGTCCCAAAGGACGGAACGCTCCTCAATTAAAAATATAAAAAAATCCATATCATATTCCGCAATTTTTTAAAAACAAAGAAGGCGGCGGAGGCGCCGCGCGTCTTTCTCTAAAGCTGTTTCAGAGCGGACCAAAATGGCGTCACCAAGGATGACATAATATCGCAAGAATTTGCGATGCGAAGTAGATCGGAACTTCTTGCGGTGCGTTCGTGCGAATTCGCAGATATTTGCGATGCGATGCGAATTCGCAGTTTTGTGTGGTAGCCCTTAGTGTCATATATTTATGTTACCACATACATCAAAATCTTATAGAAAATACTACACAATATAGTATGTACATTTTTATATTGGCAGTGTAGCGTATCTACGATTCGCTACACTGCCAATATTAACTGAAATAAATTAATAGGAGTTTCTTCCGTCAAAATGACGTCATATAAATTTTGGGTGGACTGTGGTCTGTGGACATCCGACATAATATAAAATATTAATGAAGTCATATCACATGTGTCATATGGATAAAAACTAAGTGCTTAAACTACTTTATTAATAAATCCTACTATTATTGCTAATCAAAGAAATGTAAATTTAACTCTTACTAAAATAAGACCTCGTCATACATCAACCAAAGTAAGTAGTTGAACTCGGTATTTTTAAGTGCATTTAATTTTGTAGTTGCTGTACTGTCTTTTCAATGTCCAAGATTAAAATTGACCGACTCAACAAACGCTTTCATCCACTTTTTTTAGATGTCGTCGTCGGCAGTTTACATATTGGATGTAAAAGGAAAAGTTCTTATTTCGAGAAATTACCGTGGCGATGTCGATTTGGGTGTGATCGATAAATTTATGCCACTACTAATGGAAAAGGAAGAAGAAGGCATGCTGACACCACTGTTACAGACAAGTGAATGTACCTTTGCTTACATAAAAACTAATAACTTATACATTGTTTCAACAACTAAGAAGAATGCAAATATTGCATTAGTTTTTGTGTTTCTGTACAAAATTGTTGAAGTTATGACTGAATACTTTAAAGAACTGGAAGAAGAGAGTATCAGAGATAATTTTGTTGTCATATATGAACTCTTAGATGAATTATTAGACTTTGGATATCCTCAAACAACTGATAGTAAAATACTACAAGAGTATATAACACAGGAAGGTCATAAACTGGAAATGCAACCTCGCATTCCAATGGCGGTTACAAATGCTGTTTCATGGAGGTCAGAGGGTATCAAGTATCGAAAAAATGAAGTGTTTCTTGATGTGATAGAATCTGTTAATCTACTGGCAAATGCGAATGGAAACGTTCTTAGAAGTGAGATTGTTGGAGCCATTAAAATGAGAGTATACTTGTCTGGAATGCCAGAATTGCGTCTTGGCCTTAATGATAAAGTCCTTTTTGAGAGCACTGGTAGAGGAAAATCAAAATCTGTTGAATTAGAGGATGTAAAGTTTCACCAATGCGTGAGATTATCTCGTTTTGAAAATGACAGAACCATTTCATTTATCCCTCCAGATGGTGAATTTGAATTAATGTCTTATAGGCTCAACACTCATGTGAAGCCTTTAATTTGGATTGAGTCTGTAATTGAACGACATGCTCATTCAAGAGTTGAATATATGATCAAAGCTAAATCCCAGTTTAAAAGACGTTCAACTGCAAACAATGTTGAAATAATCATTCCTGTACCAGCTGATGCTGATTCCCCTAAATTCAAAACAACAATTGGTAGTGTAAAGTATACACCTGAACAGAATGCAATTACTTGGTCCATAAAATCCTTCCCAGGTGGCAAAGAGTATTTAATGAGAGCTCATTTTGGTCTACCTTCTGTTGAATGTGAAGAAACTGATGGTAAACCTCCAATTCAAGTTAAATTTGAAATTCCTTATTTTACAACATCTGGTATTCAGGTGAGATACTTAAAAATTATTGAGAAGAGTGGGTATCAGGCTCTACCCTGGGTGAGGTACATCACCCAAAATGGAGATTATCAGCTTAGAACTAATTAACAAGTTACATTCCTTCTATGTTTTATAATTATGCACTAAAAATATTTAATATTATTATGCAGTTATAATTTAATTTCAAGTATTATATTGTAAAAGGTTTTTGACACAATAAATTGTTTAATCTTTATTTTATTTGTTTTATTTTCATTTATAGTTTAATTTATAGAATAATTTGTAAAAAAATATATTTTAAAATGAATAGCTGTTTGCTTGTCTGGTTAAAACTCGAGAATAGCTGGACCATTTTGGCTAATTTCTGTCTTCTATCTTAAAACAGATAGATATTAATAAAAAGTCATTTGGTTATCTTTTATTTATCTACCGATAAATTAAATCCATCATTTCTATAAAATATGCGATCAATTGAATATTATTACTTGGTACTTTAACTGTAGCTAGGTATCTTTCAGGATTATTAGCTATATATACTATATGTACTGTGTGGGCATAACATCCTTAGTTTATTTTATTACAGCTAGACAACATTAAAAGATAAGATACAAATTATCGATATTCATTATTAATGATTATATTAAAATCAATCACCGATGTTTAAAAATCTGACATAAATTCGATTTAAAACTTAACTAATAAATAATTAAGACCGTGATTACATAGTGAAGATCACATAAAACATTAAGAAATAATAGGTGGTTTTTTCCACAGTCTAGACTCTGGACTCCATAGAAAAAATACTGTGCTGTACTATATATTTTAGAGGGGTTTACTGCTGCATTTACTGATTCTTTAATATATTTGTACAACTCTTAAATCACGGCAGAATTATTTTCTTATGTCTTCCCAGTTCCCTAGGGCTTGAGACACTTTTCGAGACGCGTGACACACTAACGCTAAACGAAATTGAGTAAAAATGGTCACGTGACAAAGCGTGAGTTATGTCAATTCTATATACAAATTGGTAGCGCCAACACTGGAAATATATATTCTAAATACTTAAATATTGTATATTATAAAGAATGATAGGGGCCTCATAGCCTAGCGGTCTTATTAAGTGGCAGCTAGGTGAGGGGTACCGGGTTCGATTCCCGGTTCGAGGGCAAGTTTTAATTTAAATTTGTTCTCGGCCTTTGGGAGAGTTGTGCGGTACTGCTTAAACTGTACATGGAGGACACGGTCGAATTTTTAAAGACAAGCACGAATTATAAAAAATCCTATACTTGACGCTGGTCACACAAATCGTGTCAGAGCCATAAAAAAAAAAGGGTGCGTGTACTTATGTACGCGCGTAAGAAGTTATACTTCTTTGGCATTATTAAAAATAGTTTGGCTTTGTTCCACCTCCAGTTTTTGATGTTTCACAGCGATAAGATGACAACTCTTTTTTTGTATTCAATTTAGTGCACTTACACTGATTCATCAATAGTTTTTTGTCTCTTGTCCTTATATTTGCTAGATTAAATCAGAAAAATTACATGTTTTGATTAAACAATGTGGTCATTTTTTTAATCAAAACATTACTCGATAATAATAATACAAACTGATAGTTAACCTCAATTGTATTGAAGCACTTAGGAAGGAGCACAGTTTTTTTCACAAATATTATTTAGTATTGGTTTAAATATTCAATTTAAATCACTTCTGATTATAATTCAAAAAGCATTGCTAAATTTCTTTGAAAAAATAATTAAAACTCCTTTATTTGTTTAAAAGGTAAATGACAAATGTCATTATGGTCATTCAAAATTCTTGGCATACGAACTTCACGCATATTCTATTTCTTTTTACTTGTAGATTGTCTTATTCCTATCTCGCTCGCGCACGCTATAATCACACTCCTAATTTTGTGTCACAGGTGCGCGCGCATTATAAAATTTCACTCTCATAAATTTTTCATAACGCGCCTAAAGAAGTATAACTTCAAAAATGATAAGTGACAGTGCGTGTCGAAAAGTTTTCATACAAATTTAGTTTTTGACTTTCTACATACACTACGTTATGGAATCTTGACTAAGGCCCCTGATATCTAAAATTATTGACGGGAAAGGTTAAGGTGTCAATGTCATTCTATATCAATGTGTAATATAGGTCAGTTTTTTTTTTTCTTCTTTAGTATCTCTCTCTGTTCCCCTTCCTACCAATATTTCTTTACTTCTTCGAGATTTAAATCCCCTTGTATATAGTATTATAAGTATATTTATTGTAAATAATAACATTAAACTATAATTTTGATTTATTTTTCCCCTTATGTAACTATTCTGATTTTGTTGTAAATTTAATGCGTTTTCAATCATCTATGTTATGTCGCGATTAGTTTCCTTCGTTTTTTATTATTCATAAACTGTAAATAATTAAAACAGCGACTTATAAAAATCCTATACCTACTTGACGCTGGCTAATGCACAAACCGTGCCAGAGCCATAAAGGAAAAAAAAAAAGGTCGGGTTTTTTTTTTTTTTTGTAATGGCTCTCGCACGGTTTGTGCATTATATAGGTTGGTTATCGAAAGCTGGCGCGTTCACAGTACTCACACAAATGCAATTTCACTATACAGTATGTTTAAAAATATGACTTTTTTGACAAGCTATATATTTTAGTCTACTCTGGTTTTAGTAAGGTTGGGTGGGTTGTAAATCATACAAATATTATGTGCATACGAGGGTGGATCCAAAAGTTCTAAGCCCAACCAAGAAAGAGTAGTTTGTGTAAATAATTTTCATTTTTCGACATAAGCTCCATCTAGCTCAACACACTTCACTTTTACTTCACAAACAATTCTTTCAATACTCCTCTTAGAAACCCCAGTCGCATCTGATGTCAAATTAAAAATAACATTTTTTCATTAAAATGTTTTTATTAAGATGCTTAAAATAATTAAAAACATTGTGCACCATTTCACGAGATAGTCCTGGTAATGTTTGAAAAAAGGCCAACATGTACAGTAAAGATCAACATAAACAGTAGCAAAAGCAAAACAATAACTGTCACTTTTATACTCATAAGCTTGACCGAGCGCGAGAGAGACGGACAGTCTTTTCATGATGTATTTGCGATTATATTTCAGTTTGACATCACGCCTCGCGCTTATTCACAGACACTACACAAGCACAAAGTGTAAATGTGTTGAAGCCGCCAGCTTTAAATAACATAACCAATAACTTGGATTAAAATTCAAATCATAGATATACACTAATAAATTGAGAATCAAAATTAAGCTGTGGTCAGTCGTAACATTTATATCATTCTGTGCCCTGTGGTAGTGCTTACTGCAGACTGCTTAATACTGCTTATTTGAAATTTGAATTTTTTTGAAGGAAGTTGTTTAGTTTTAGTTTATTTCTGTATATTTTTTATATAATATTTAAATGAATGAACCTACCGAATAGTTATAAACGAATCCAAGTGGTGTTATTATAATGAATCCCTTAAATATTAATTAATAGTTATCTACCTCAGAGCAGGCTTGTACCTTCATAATAAATACAGTTGAATATAACTGGAATTTTAGAAATCATGCCTTTAAAAAGTTCCGGAAAGTTCAATCATAAAATATCCCAAGCTTGTATTCAATTCAGAAAATATTATAGCCGAGATGTCCTCCCTATGAGTGAAGTAAAATTAATAAAAAATAAGAATAATGCAGACTCAAAATCCGACAAAAGTTCAGAAAAAACTATCTTACGGGATTCAGAAGAATTGAGAGTAAATGATGTGAATATTCAAATGATATCTAAAAATATTTATGACCAATTATTTAGTCAATCTCACGCTAGCATAGATAGTAATGTAATTAAAAGGTTTGTTTCTTGAACATGCTTTAACCTAATTGTTCACATTTTATACAATGATACTGTAAAAACTTCTCACAAAATAAAATGTTGTAAATAAGTGGTTTGTCTTGTTCTTAATGAGGAAGACATAATTTGGACTCTAGCCTTGTGTGTCGCCCAACAAAAATTATTTTGTTTAGCTGGAAATTGATTCTATAGAGCTAATTATGTCAACATGGTATTTCAGTTGCCAAAATCATCTTTTACATCATGGAATAGACTACAATAATTTTACTAGGCTTCCTGATGTACAATTAAAACTGCCTAAATTAGAAGGGTCAGATATTGTTGAACATTTTTATTATATAGGAGAAAAACAATGTGCTCCATATAGGAAATTGTTGCAGTATTTGGCTTTGAGTAGGATTCCACAACCACCCCAGGTAAACTATAAATTACATTGTAACAAACATAATTTTTCTCTGTCATTACTCTCAATTAGTTTTATACTATACTATACCTGCCACTGTATACTTCCGTATACATCAATTATTTAGACAATAGAGACAATGTTACACTATGATTACAATGTTGTTGTTATTATGAAATTTAATAAATAATCTTTATAAGAATTCATATATCTAACATACAAATCTGATGTGGTTCTCCTGTCTTTAATGTGCACTTTAGGTATGGTCCAAAAATGCAGGCTGGACCAAGTACACGGCTCAGGGATCACAATCAGTGCCATGCCCACAGGATGATAGTTTAATTTTTGATGTAGAAGTTCTGATGTCAGCTGGTAAAAGGCCAACCCTTGCTAGTGCTGTTTCACCTGAAGCTTGGTAAACACTATTACATTATTTAATTCTGAAATACTTATATATTTTCTTATTTTTTATTATTACAGTAACCCTAAACGAATGCAATAGAAAACTTATTAATACATAAATTAAACTAAGATCATAATATTACATACTCGTAAATATATTCTCTCTTTAAAATAAGATCTCTTGTATAAGAATGTAACTAGTGTTACATTCTTATGCGAGAGATATAATATTAGGTCCTTACATATGAAATTGGCGTATTTCGTACTGGCCACTTTAATCACGATGTTCTCCTCTTTGGTAAGGAATTCCAACTTCAAATTTGTACAGCTATTTACTCATGTATTTGTGCTTCGATGACCGTCATTCATTTGTTTTTTTCTGTTTGCGTCACTCATTTTACAAAATGGAAAACTTAAAGTATCGCATTATTTACGAGTACGAGTTCCGCCGTGGCACTAGTGCTGCGGAAACGACTCGAAGGGTGAATGATGTGTATGGCGGACATGTTGCAAAAGAAAACACAGTTCGTTTTTGGTTCCAACGTTTTCGTTCTGGAAATTTCGACCTGCAGATCAAGCCCCGTGGACGGCTTGAGACCCAAGTTGATAATGAAGTATTGAAGGCTATTGTGGAAGCGGATCCAACGCAAACCACGTCCGAGTTAGCTGCAGGCTGCGGTGTTAGTGATAAAACTGTTTTAATTCATATAAGGCAAATTGGGAAGATTAAAAAGCTTGAAAGATGGGTACCTCACGAATTGACTGAAACAAACCGGCAAATGCGCGTCGACTGCTGCGTTACATTACTGAACCGGCACAATAATGAAGGTATTTTAAACCGAATCATTACCTGTGATGAAAAATGGATTCTTTACGATGATCGGAAGCGCTCAGCGCAATGGTTGGATCTTGGCCAGCCAGCCAAATCCTGCCCCAAGCGAAAATTAACCCCAAAAAAGTTACTTGTAAGCGTTTGGTGGACTAGTGCCGGTATTGTTCATTGCAGTTTTCTCAAATCTGGCCAGACTATTGCGGCTGATGTCTATTGTCAGCAATTGCAAACCATGATGGAAAAGCTGGCGGCTAAACGACCTAGGCTGGTCAATCGCTCCACGCCACTGCTACTTCACGACAACGCTAGACCACACACTGCACAACAGACGGCTACCAAATTAGAAGAGCTTCAATTGGAATGTCTAAGACATCCTCCGTACTCCCCGGACCTTGCTCCAACAGATTACCATTTTTTTCGAAATTTGGACAACTTCTTGCAAGGGAAAAAATTTAACTCTGATGGGGCAGTCCAAATCGCCTTCACAGATTTTATTGATTCCCGTCCGACTGTTTTTTTTAGTAAAGGGATCAATAAACTACCTATGAGATGGCAAAAGTGCATAGAAAACAATGGTTCATACTTTGATTAATTAAATATACCTATTATATTTAAAAATATTCGACTTTTTGTTCCTCCCATACAAAACGCCAATTTCATATGTAAGGACCTAATATAAAAAGCGTCCACGGTGAATTTCGTGAAAGTTCCTGAATATCGTCCACGATTATTTCCAGCTTTGAATGCGATTCCGAGAGGTAAAAATGCGATAAGTGAAATCAACTGATATAAGATCTCCTAGTTCCTACCAATATCATTGATATCGGAGTCATTGAGGTCGGAGGTAGGACACAGCGTTCACGGGTTCAAGGTATATGCCCTTAGGAGTATGCCCCGTCAATGATGACACTGATTCTCCGATCACCCAGAAAGCTGCAAATTCGGTTGCATAATTTCTCAAGGTTTGGAAGCTTTGCGCTAGAAGGAGCGCTTTGTGTCAAACCCGGCTTAAGGCAGGTTCATACTCACCGCCAGCGGCTCCCCTTTCGACTCAATTTCCTTTGACCATGACGAAAGATGTATTGATCATTGATAATCAGCTGGTGGCCGTCTTGGTACCCTAAGAGACGGCTATTGTTAACGATTGAGGCAGTTACACATACATGAATGTAGTAAGAAATGATAACATTCTTGAATATGCAATTGTTTTTCATAATGTATATATATATGTTACATTGACTTCAGGTATAGCTGGGTGAGTGAGCCTCTCGCAAGTGATACATCCCACGAACATTACTCTGAAGTGAATTACACCGATTTAATACCAATGGAGACTGATGGTTTAACGCCATGTGGAGATTTAACGAGACCAAGAATAATAGTAGGTCATAACGTATCGTATGACAGAGCAAAGATCAAAGAGCAGTATTGGATGGACCGGACAGGTAGGTTCTCTTTTAATTTTATTATTTTCCTCTTCCTGATGTCAGAGGTTTGAAATAGTATGTCCTAAACTCTTCATCCTTGGGCGGTTCGAGATAGTTTTGATCCGTTTCTTTTTGAAGTTATACTTATTTAGGCGCGTTATGAAAAATTGATGAGAGTGAAATTTTACGATTCGCGCGCACCGTGACACAAAATTAACAGAATTAAGTTGCCCACGGAAGATGCTACGGCATTGGATATAATTTACAAACAACATTCGAATAATAATAGAATTTATGTTACACTTAATGTAAAAGAATAATAATAAATATTTATTTATTTAATTTTTCAAATGTAAACTGAAGTTTATTGACTATAATGACTCCTTTTCCAGTCTTTGATTATTTAATTGTAATTAATTATTTGCATGCAATCAAAAACTATTTTTAATAATGCCAAAGAAGTATAACTTCTTACGCGCGTACATAAGTCACACACACTCTTTTTTTGATTATCGTTTGACAAAAATTGTACACAAAATTCAAAATTGTCTACTTCTTAACAATTATTCTTATTTTTAACTTTGAATTTTATTTTATTTACACAAGACTATATTACTTACACTGCTAACTCTTACGAATATTATTATTATTACATTCCTTTTCTTTCTTTTTTTGCGACTGAGGCGCAAACTAGCTGCTGTGGTCTCTGGCATAGTGACCAGCGCTGTGGAACAGTCTGCTCCTCAGCATAATGCTGACCCAGGGCAAATTACAACCACAGCACACGCATTACACACTTGAAACGAACCGAAAAGGAAAAGGGATTTTTTTTTTGATATCTCATTATATTTTTTCCTTTATTTTCTTTGATTATTGTTATTATGTGTGTGTGTTTTTGTTAGTAATAAATGTTATGTCTATGTGATATATTATATATTATGTCGGGGAAATTTCGTAACTTCATCGATATTGATATCGTGATTAGCTTAGGGTTAGTGAGCGTCATGTGTGTCAGTGCGAGAACAAAAGAGACGAAACATTCTCGTGCAATGTTAAATTTAGATTTTTAACACTAGAAATAACACTTTAGCTTAAATTACAAGCCGAGCAGCGGGTTCGAAGCACCGATCTCACTTTCGATCACAATCTACCCAACTCGAGCTTTTATTCGTTAAGTAATGATTTCAAACTATTCATAGTTACATAACAAAACGAAATAAATCAAAATACGATTCTTAAAGTGAAAGAAATCTCAATGAGTCATCAAAGTATCATTTACATTCTCTGGTATACAGTACGTATATACTATATTTTGAAAATTGGTCGATACGAATTCGGAAACGTCGCTTACTTTGGATTGATTCACGAATTTCCAGGCGTACGTTTCATGGACACAATGTCTATGCACACGTGTGTCAGCGGAGTGACCAGCTATCAGAGGACAGTGCTGAAGGCCAAAAATAAGGAACCCGACCCCACCGACGAAGACTGGATCGGCATCAGCTCATTGAACAGTTTGACCGAGGTGAGTAGCGCTTCGAAGGTTCTCCGTTCGCAAAAAGGGAAGCTCAAAGGATGCGACGTGAACCAGGTCCACAAGCTGTACTGCGGAGTCGCAGTGGACAAACAGAGACGCGACGTGTTCGTGGAGGGCAGGCTGGAGGATGTGCGGGGCCACTTCCAAGCGCTGATGAGCTACTGCGCCGCCGACGTCATCGCCACGCACAACGTTCTCAAGGAGCTGCTGCCCTTGTTCCTCGAGCGCTTTCCGCACCCCGTCACCTTGGCCGGCATGCTGGAGCTAGGTCAGTCTTTATTAAGCTTTCGTTTCGTGTCAATCTTCCTTGTCCCCGCCCCCTGGCTGAAGTCCATCAAAATATCGAAGACTTTTTTGAACATGAAAACGCGAATAACGCTGTCGCTGTATTGGATAGTTTTCGTGTGCAATTTCGACGGAGCGCCGATGTCGCAACTGTGGGTTCGCACGGAACAAAAGCTCGTTATCTAGAAGAGAAGAGAAGGTTAAGGGCCTAGTTATTGGCTACTGCTTCCAGTCAGGGGTGGGACGTCTAAAGTACGATCCTGCAATTGGATATTCAGAATCGATTTCGAACGGATAGTCTGTACCGCGTTCAGAAGTTATAAATATTAACAAGTGTAATAAAGCACAAACCCTTACATCAAAGCTCGTTCAATCGGTACAAGAATAAGTAATATCGATTATTATTTACCTGACATTTTGCTAAAATACAGATTCAGTCTACCCAACCATATAAATTAATTTTCGAATTAGATATACATCCGCTGGCGCGACTCCGTTGTGAAGCTATTATAACAGAGTGATATAATATATATTTCACTACCCCAACAAGTATAGTTCACACACACAATCAAATACACACGCATATTCGAACGTGAAAAAAGTCCCAATAAATTGTTATGTTCGATAGAAAGAGAGACCTATTAGAAGCGAGAGTTTGGGTATTTCACTAATTATTTAGGAAATCGTTTTTTCTGAAAGCATGGTACGTTATTTAATTGAAAATTCATTCTCTTGCGCAGTTTTGGTACCGTGTAAGTGCGAGAAACCAACCAACATTAATATTTCTCCATTGTTGGACATTTAGGTTCGGCTTATCTACCGGTGAACTCTAACTGGACACAGTACGTCGATTCAGCGGAAGCGGTGTTCGACGACTATAAGCTCGAGTCGCAGCAATTGTTAACTCTGAAAGCCGACGAAGCTTGTCGCCTCATGGAAAACGAAGCCTACAAAAAAGACTTGTGGATGTGGGACCAAGACTGGTCGACGCAGATGTTAAAATTGAAGAAATCAAAAGGCAAATATAGTAATCGTTTTGAGCCAAATAATAGAACACCAAAAGAGAAACAGACGCACGAGGCATCGGATACGTTATCGTTAGATTATATTGAAACTTTGGTAAAGGCCGAAGAAATGAATGAATCTAAAGAAAAATTTGACGATTTCACAAACAAGTTTGAATACTTGTTCGACTTAAAAGCTATGTTGCCGGTAAAAAGGCCTCACTTGGCCGGATACCCAACTTGGTACAGGAAGCTGTGCACGAAGCCTGGTAGAGATCCCGATTGGGTACCGGGAGCCAACAACATCACGACTAGTATGCAGGTAAACCGCTATCCTATCCTACCCTCTTTTCATATTAATCACGGTGTCGAGGCATCACCATTGCAGTCTACGAGGAATTTATTATTGGCAGATTACACCGAAGCTTCTTCGCCTATCCTGGGAAGGATATCCTCTTCACCACATCCCGGGAGAGGGATGGGGATTCCTCGTCCCTTTTAGCAAGAGCGGGGGCGACGTCCCGGAAGGACACCCCCGGATCCCTTTAGAAGGCTTGCTGGAAACCTGTCCTTTGGCTAATCCCAAGGAGGCCGAGGTCAATACTGAACTTTACGTTCTTCCCAAGACGGTGGAGGTGAGGGCTTCGGAATCTAAGCGCAGGCCTCGATCTTTAAGTTAAATCCGATTACGGTACCTTTGACTCTTTCTAAAGGAGGACCTGTCGAGGCGGGCGTATTTCGCGAGAAAGGCCAAAGAAGAGCGAGCAGCCGCCAATCAGTATCACGGCTTGGGCGTATGGACTGGACTCGAAATACAAGGTTTTTGTTACTTCCGATTCTAGCCTCGCGCAGAGCGAAGGGTAACCTAACTTGCTGGCATTTATCTGTTGCCAGGGTGTTGCCATTTCCTGCGTCTGCCTCACAAAGACGGCCCCAAGTACAAAGTGGGCAATCCCTTGGCTCGGGACTTCCTCGACATGTTCAGTCAAAACGTTCTGTCGGCCCAGGGAAACGACGCAGAGAAGGTATTTTTCATTTCGCAGAACGACTTCAATGGAACATTTTAATAAAAACGGGAATTAATTAGCGAGCGCAGCTCAGAAACCGAAAACATACTTACGAAATATACCAATAGAAGGTTTATTTAGGGTAGCTGACCTCATTCGCAGGTTCTGACGTTCGGGCGGATGATGTCCTACTGGCGAAATAATCGAGAGCGAGTGATGGGTCAGCAGGTGGTGTGGCTACCTCGGGAGTGTCTTCCGGAGCACCTGCGGAGCTCGCTCCGCAGATTCGGCGCCATCGTGCCTCAGGTCGTGGCCTGCGGCACCCTCACCAGGCGGTGAGACCGTAGTCGATATATTCAAAAGTTTCGCTAGGGGCGGGAGTTGAATTGGGCTCTGTCCCTCAGGGCCAGCGAACCGACGTGGATGACCGCTAGCAACGCGCGACCGGAGCGTATCGGGTCGGAGTTGCGAGCCATGGTGCAGGCCCCGCCCGGCTACCGCTTCGTCGGCGCCGACGTGGACTCCCAGGTGACCGGCGACGACGAGTCGGGGGTCCCGCGGGCTTCCGGCCTCGGCGACGCCTTCGACTCACTCCTCCGCCCCTTCGCAGGAGCTGTGGATAGCCGCTCTGCTGGGCGACAGCGGCCTCGGCGTCTGCGGCGGCACGGCCTTCGGTTGGGCGGTTCTGGCCGGCGACAAGAGGTCGCAGACGGACCTGCACTCCCTGACCGCCAGCGCCGCGAACATCAACCGAGATCACGCCAAGGTCATCAATTACGCGAGGATATACGGTGAATGCTAAGATTCCAATTGTATTTTCCGATTCCGAAAGAGAGCGAGATTCGCGGTAAATAAGTAAAATTATTCCGATTCCGTCCGGTCCCTTAAGAATATCCCGTTCGCAGGTGCCGGTCAAAACTTCGCGGAACGACTTTTAAAACAGTTCAATCCGACGATGACAATTTCGGAAGCGAAGAGCAAAGCCGCCAAAATGTTCACCACCACCAAAGGCCGACGGGTCTACACTCTTCACGAGAAATATTCTGCCGGGCTGTTGGACCCGGACGACTGCCAGGTCTCTTCTCGACGATTTTTTTACGAAAGAGCTTACTTTTCTTTTTTTTTATGTGATAGGAGGCAAACGGGCAGGAGGCTCACCTGATGTTAAGTGATACCGCCGTCCATGGACACTCACAATGCCAGAAGGCTCGCAAGTGCGTTGCCGGCCTTTCAAGAATTGGTACGCTCTTTTCTTGAAGGACCCTAAGTCGAATTGGTTCGGAAATACTTCTGTGGGCAGCTGGTTCCACATAGTGGTGGTGCGCGGCAAAAACTGCCTTAGAAAACGCTCTGTTGTGGAACGACGGACGTCGAGGTGATACGGATGGTATTTTGTATTTTGCCTTGACGTCCGATGATGAAACTCAGCTGCAGGTATTAGACCGAACAACTCCTCTGAACACTATCCATGGTAAATGCGGTAGAAGATGCAGAGAGATCCCACATCTCTACGCAGCGCCAAGGGATCAAGCCGCACGGAAAGTGAGTGGTCGTCGACGATTCGAACCGCTCTTCGTTGAATACGGTCAACTGGAAGGAGCTGGTACTGGGTAGCTCCCGCCCAGAGGTGAGAGCAGTACTCCATATGGGGCCGAATTTGCGCTTTATATAGTTGCAAGCGGTGGCCCGGAGTGAAGTACCGTCTCGCCTTGCTGAGCACACCAAGCTTTTTGGAGGCTAATTTAGCCTTTCCTTCCAGATGACCGCGAAACTGAACGTTATTCGATATGTCAACGCCCAGTATTCCGATGCTAGCTGAGGCTTTAAGGAGAGTGTCTTCAAAGAGGGGAGTAGCGACAAAGGGAGTTTTTTAGCGGAAAACGCGCATACTTGTGTCTTCTTGGGGTTAAATTGGACTAGATTTAGTCTAACCCAGTCCGAGACTCCACGTAGAAGAGTTTCGACTTCAGACACAAGTTTGTTCCGGTACTCATCGACAGCAGCCCGAGAAATACCTGCCCGGCCAGTGTAAAAAGTATCCCCAGTGCTGTCGTCCGCATAGCAATGAATGTTGGTAGTCGATGACGACTTTGATGCTCCGATCAGCGAGAAAGCTGGAAATCCAGTTGCATAATTTCTCAGGGAGCCCATAGGCTGGAAGCTTCGAGAGCAGTGCTCTGTGCCACACCCGATCGAAGGCTTTCGCTATGTCCAAACTTACCGCCAGCGCCTCCCCCTTGGACTCAATTGCCTCTGCCCACCTATGTGCAAGGTATACAAGGAGGTCACCAGCTGAGCGACCACGACGAAAGCCGTACTGAGAATCGCTAATCAGCTGGTGGCCCTCTAGATACCTCAGGAGCTGGCTGTTAATAATGGTTTCCATTATTTTGGAGAACAAGGAGGCGATTATAGCTATTGGGCGATAGTTGGACGGATCAGAGCGATCGCCTTTTTTAGGGATCGGATGTATCGAAGCGATCTTCCAGCACTTCGGAACAGTGCCGAGCGTGTAAAGGTACCGGAAAAGGCGCGTTAGGACCGGAGCCAACTCAGGAGCACAAGTACGCAGCACAATTGGAGGGATGCCATCGGGCCCGCTCGACTTATGGATGTCCAAGGAAGACAAAGCTTTACGGATAGCACGTTGCCGGAATATAACTTCGGGCATCGTAGTATCACACCGCAATAATGTCGGTGGTTCCTTCCCTTGATCATCCAAAGTGGAGTTCGACGCAAAGAGACAGCCTAGAAGATCGGCCTTCTCTTTCGCGGTATGGGCCAGTGAGTCATCCTCCCTATGCAGTGGTGGAATTGAGGGCAGACATAAATTCCCTTGGACAGCTTTGGCAAGAGACCAGAAGGCTCGAGTTCCCGAAGGGAGGTGGGCCAATTTCTCACCAAATCTGGCAATGTGCTCTGACTTTGCTTTAGCGATTTCTCGCTTGAAGGACCTGGAGGCTGAATTGTATGCTTTTTTACGTTCGCCGATAGTCATCACAGGATGTCACCGCTTCTGCCCAGGCTTTAAAGCATTCACGCTTACGGCGCAAAGCCGCTTTTATAAATAATATCACTAAGAAGGACTTCGCCCGACGTTACCCAATCGGAAAATCCCTTACCCTGACACGCACCCACGTATATAATCCGGAATAAACGAGTCGAACCCGCAGCAGGACGTGAAAATGTCCGGCCGAGATGCGGGGCGCCTCGCGAAGATGAGCGGCAAGCGGCTCGACGAGATGTTCGGTAGGGCGCGGTGGGCGGGCGGCACCGAGTCCGATATGTTCAACAAACTGGAAGAGATCGCGGGTGAGTTCGCTCCGCCGGTTCCGGTCGGACTCCGTTCCGATTTCGTCGGGACGCGCGGTGGCGCTGTAATTTGTCGTAGCGTCGTTCGACAGATTCCGAAGCTCCCCAGACTGCGTTCCTGGGCGGGCGGCTGTCCCGCGCCCTGGAGATGGCGGGCGGCAAGTGGGGTGGCACCCGCCTCAACTGGGCCGTGCAGAGCGCCGCCGCGGACTTCCTGCACCTGATGCTCGTCAGCATGACTCACTTGGCGCCCGAGGCCAGGTATCGGTCGGATTCTACTCGTCTTTCGGCGTCGTCCGTCCGCGGTCCCTGAGAGCGCGTCTCTCTGTTTCAGGTTCTGCCTGAGTTTCCACGACGAAGTCCGATACCTGGTGCCCGAAAAATATAAATATGAGACCGCTCTGGCGCTGCAGATCACCAATTTGTTCACGAGAGCGTTTTGTTCGCAGAGGTTTGTGGATTTGTACTTTTTTTTTAATTAAAATCAGCCTGTTTCTTAGTGCCATTGGTAACAATCATATCTTTTATCCATGTATTTGAAATGCGGCTGCCATTTCGTACTAGAACTAAACTTAAACTAAAGAACATTTCGTATTAGAATAGTACTACATGCGGAGCCGACTTAGCGCTTTGCAGAGATGCAAGCGAGGAGTAAAGAGTCTCGCCCTGCTGAGCGCTCCGATCTTGGAGACTAATTTTGCCACCATTATTCCATTGCTGGCTGAGGCATTGAGGAGAGGAGCCGCGACAAAGGGTTTATTAAGCGAAATAAAAGCGCAAACACGTGTATTCTCGGGGTGACATTGCACTACATCAGGTCGGCCCCGACAAGACTCTTAAAAACAGGAGAACGAGATACATCTAAAAAACAAATTTTTAATTGAAGTATTTTTTTTTTTGAAAGTCTAAATATCTCGAATTATTTAGACTTTGTAAGTCAAACAAAATTTTATTTCCCTACGAAGTATTGATTATACATATTTATACTCTATAACTAATACTTCAAAAAGGAGACTCCGTAAGTCGTAGTTAGTAAAATATAATGACGTCTTACTTGGAATTCCCCGAAATAAAAGCAATAAAATCCAAAATGAATGTCCCGAACATTTTCTGGGCTTCTAATCTATTGTTTTTGTCTTTGTTCGCCACTTTGAGAGGAAGCGAGATATGAATAAGCAATATTCAAATCTGATTTATTGTTATAAAACAATATCTTAAATACTTCATTCACAAATCAAATCAAATCAAAATACGTTTATTCAATTTAGATGCTTCTTAGAGCATGCTTATGAATGTCAACAACGTTTCCAAAATTCACGAAAGAGCAAGACTACGCCATCCGTTCGCAAAACTACCAGGAGGCCTTGTTCTGAGAAGAACGGGCAAGAAACTCAGCAAGTTTTGCCCTCCCTTTACATTACAATTATTCAAAGGAAAATGTCATAAACCACAACGTCATTAAAGTTACATAAGTAAAAAAAATAAAAATCTGTTCTGTGATTTACCACATTCACCATTACACACATATTCATAACACTTCAAAGATAACCAATCAAATTATAAGAATATAATTAGAACTATTGCCAAGCGTTTTTATCTTCCAGGTAGTCATTGACTGTGTAGTAACCTTTACACATTAAGGTTTGTTTGATATGTGTTTTGAATCTGTTTTAAGGCAGTTCCAATATTTCACTAGGAATCATGTTATAGCAGCGAATACTTAGGCCCATAAATGAAGTATTTATTTTCTGCAACCTGTAAGACGGCTGGAAAAGTTTTCCCTTATTTCTTGTATTCCTATTGTGAATGTCGCTGTTATTTAAAAGAGAACTAATATTACTACGCACAAAAACGATACAGTTGTAAATATATTGGGAAGGTACCGTCAAAATATCGATTTTCTTGAACAAAATTCTAAGTGAAGTGCCTGGTTTCAAACAATAAATTGACCTAATAGCACGTTTTTGCAAGATAAAAATAGATTGTACATCTGCTGCTTTGCCCCATAAAAGAATTCCATACGACATAACGCTGTGAAAGTAACTAAAATATACTATTCTGGCAGTTTCCTCGTCTGTGAGTTGCCTAATTTTCCTAATAGCGTATGCCGCAGAACTAAGCTTGTCAGAAAGTTTAGTGATATATTGACTCCATTGAAGTTTTTGGTCTATTGTAATGCCCAGAAATACCGTAGAATCAACTAAATTTAGTTTTTCATTGTTCAATTTAAGCTCTATAGTTGTAGTTTTAACATTAGGTAAAGTAAATCTTATGCATTTTGTTTTTGTGGCATTTAATTGTAAATTATTTGCAGAAAACCAGCACACTATTTCAGAAAGTGCATTGTTCACATCGTCAAAATTTGTCTTATATCTATTTACTTTAAAAATCAAGGACGTGTCATCAGCAAACAATACAATATCACATAATGGCTTTGCATAAGAAGGCAAATCGTTAATATATATAAGAAATAAAAATGGTCCCAATATTGATCCTTGCTCCCATTTTAATGTGTGATCCCGAAGATTTAGTTCCATTTATATCAACTTTATGAGTTCGACAACTTAGGTAAGAGGTTATTAAGTTAAGAGCTACATTTTTTTATACCATAGTGGTCAAGTTTGCAAAGCAGAGTCTCATGATCAACACAATCAAACGCCTTGGACAAATCGCAGAAAACTCCCAGGACATTTTGAGTTTTCTCCCATGCATCAAATATATGTCGTAACAGAGCTATTCCAGCATCGGTAGTGGAGCGACTTTTAGTAAAACCGTATTGTGCGTTGTGTAGAAGACTGTTTGTATTAAAGAATGTACATAACATTATTCTTGTGAGCTCTTAGTGTATCTGCGCACCTTCAGTTGTTAAAATGTAGAACAACCACGAGACTCGGGCCAGCAGTTGATCAATGTTCAAATGAAATCTGAACAATCATAATTGTATATTTATTAAGGATGTAACCGATTTACTTCGGTACTGACGGGTATTTAACGACGACTAAAAGTCCTATTAAACCAAAACTATGGCCTTAATCGTCACTTATACGATATTATTCATGTTTATTTTTCAGAGTAGGCATAAGAGACCTACCGATGTCGGTGGCCTTTTTTTCGTCCGTGGAAGTAGATAGAGTGCTGCGAAAAGATTCAAATCAAAGCTGTGTAACTCCATCGAACCCCCACGGCTTAGAAAATGGATATGGGATACCCGATGGCGAATCTCTTACCATTTTTGATATACTTAAGAATGTAAAATAGATAAATTATTTTCGTATCGCTTCGTTTTAATTCTTATAACCTGTTGTTAGTTAGCCACAAATAATTTAGAGCGGGACGGCCAAACGCGTAGCAAACGGCTTGCAGTTGAGGCGCTGGGACACGCCTATAGCCGGCCTAATAAGAAGTAGACATGGGGAGAAGTAGAATTGACTGTGCCAAAAATCAGTCTGGAACTGTTTAGAAAAAATACCTTTTGTATGGCAATTAAGGTTTACAATAAACTACCAAAAGAATTAAAAGATCTTCTGACTAAGAGTCATTAAAAAGCGACTTGGTGTATAACTTGGAAAATATTTACTATTCAATAAATGATTATTTGCGTGAGACACTGTAGTTGATATAAATTTAATAAAGTATGATATGATAATATTATGTACGATACAAATAATATAAGAATTGACTTTCACTAATAACGTAAAATTCCTTAAGACAAATTTGCACGCCATTGTGTGTACCTATATGCGAATTTACGATTGTACATCCTTACACATTTTTCTACCATATTCTTGCAATAAATAAATTATTATTAGAGTCTATACGCACCTCGTCGAGACGTCTCACGTCGTGCTGTGCTGCCTATAACCACCGTCCTGAATTTGTTTCATCATTAAGGATGAATATACAGGAAGTCGCAAGACTATGGGACATTAAGGGAAAGTACATTAAATACCGTAGATAGGATATTATGCTGAAAGAAGACATTATATTATTTTGAAAAGTAAGTATTTCTGCATTCAATTTCATTTTTAATTATTTTAAAGGAGTTCGGAGAGTTTTTTTACGCCGCCTGTTTCTTTCAGCCTACACCCTCTGTCTTCTTTGTCTCCGATGAGTAGTTATTAATAATTTAATGACGTGGAATAAGTGGTACCTTTATCTTATGTTCTATAATTAACATACTATAGTATTTTATTTTAATCATTTTCTAAAAAATACTTGTCTCGTCTGGGAATCTAACCGACTCATTTAATTAACCCCTTATTTTTTCGATGCCAATCAAGAGAATGGGAAAATATAATAATTCTTCTTAAGAAACATAGTATTTTTAAAGAAAAGAACAACTTTTATGTGGAGGCACACACAAAAGCAGCTAAAATGAATAAGGTATTAAAAATTATTTAAGATTAGACTATATAACCTATACATATTTTTATTTCTGCTAAGTGACATATACGAGCTCGCATAGCTTTATAGCTGGGGAGCCCAAGAGGGGATTTCGGGATTTACTCCAGCGTGGCAGATACCTTGTACCCGGTTAAGTATCTCTACCAAATATGAGCTCCATATATTATATGGCCGCCCGTCAAGGATAAAGGATCAGGATTAGTAAAAAAAAAGTTAATGATCAGACTTTCTCGAGCTCGTCAGATTAAGGTAGGTTAAGTTAGTTACATGCTAAGGGTATATTTCACTAATCCGACAATTTGCAAGTACCGTAAAGAAAGGGGAGGGCTGCAAAGTTTTAATAAAAAACGTCATCTCGACATTCTCGAGCGTGGCTGAATATTTTTTTTATTTTGAAGAAAGAATTTTTGAGCATTTTATTAAAATAATAACATAATAAATACAAGTTCTACCTGAACAACATACACTTTTTGCTATTTTCAGAGCTTATCAATCAATTAATTTCAATGATTAAAAAAATGTTTTTTTAATTATCAGATTAGGCGAATCCCTCCAGGTAATCGTCAGATTATGAGACATCACGTCTAGGACATAAAGATGTACCATATATATCTTAATCTGACGCGCTTGAGTATGTCAAAATGGCGATTTTTTTTTATGTTACAGGAGGCAGACGGGCAGGAGGCTCACCTGATGTTAAGTGATACCGCCGCCCATGGACACACACATTGCCAGAAGGCTCGCAAGCGCGCTGCCGGCCTTTTAAGAATTCGTACGCTCTTTTCTTGAAGGACCCTATGTTTTTGCACATTCTAATAACGACCGCGAGTTTGCGTCACATCCAAATCGTCAGATTATTAGATGAGAGCTTTTTTTAGGTTCACTTAACACCCCCCAGAAAATCTGACGCGCTCGAAAAAAAATTTTCTTTCATTTTCAACCCTTACGTACGACCACCCCACCCCACGCAAACAATCAGATTAACATACGTTCATTATTAAAAATACGTAGGACATGGATGTTATCAATATCTAACGCGCTCGAGTATGTCCATGGCACAGTGTTTTTTTACATTTTTGAAAGTCTATAACCGTGGAGAGCGGCGGACCAATGAAAAGGTATACATTATATAACATTTTTTTCTTATATTTATCTAAGCTTCGCAACCCAATAGGTCTCTATGACGCTCGAGTAAATCCCCATTTAGCATCGTGGGCTCCCCTACTATATATATGTAATGAAATGATATTTCAAACATTTGAATTTGGCGCGCTTCGTGTTTTTACAAGTTATCTGTGAAATTTGGTAGGAGGGGACGCATCGGCGATCGGACTTCGGAGTGACGCGCGATGGAATGGCGGATGATGTGCAGATTATTTAGTGCATTGTATTGTTATAAAAAGATAGGTAAAAGGATATAATTGAGGAGGCGATAATATTAGTAAACTTTAAATGTCTCGTTTCTTTGTATTTTCAGAGAAACAATTTGTGGTTTATTTTACAAATCCTCAATAATATCTTATATATATATAATAGTATCAATCGTTTATACAAGTACTGGAAATAAATAAGGCGCAACTGCGTTTCTCTGTGAATACAAAAGAAACAACATTTAAAGCCTATATTCTAGGGTTTATAAAATAAAATAATACAATGAAAAAATTAAAACATATTACATCTATTATGTCAAGTGACAAATTAAACATCGTCGATCAGACGGCAAAGAAGAAAAATAAAATATAAAAAGAGTTTGTATAGGAAAATATAATATTATGTTTTCCTTACATATATATTCAGACATTCGTAATTTTAAGAACCCGATAAACTCTGGTGTATGGTGCGAAGTTCTTAAGTACACAAATATAATATTTAGATAAAAAACCGTGTACGACTTAATTTTACTCCAAGGCAATATTAGGGTGCGTCCGCATCTAGCGAATATGCAGCTTGTAAACGGCGGCACAGTCGCCAGATGTGGACGCACCCTTAGGATTACTATTATGACCGTTTTATTCTAGTTACTGACAAATAAAAATAAATATTTAAAATAATGGATTCTTTGATAAAAAAAATTTATTATATGTTAAAGCTTTAAAAAGCCATATTTAAAATGTATTCATTCAATTACACTAGCTATAGCCCATTGCAAGCGGGAGTTAATAACACTCATAATCGTGGCTTGGCAACACTATCCGTGATACAGTTCCATACAGACCTATTACTACAATCTACTAAATAGGAATTTCGATATCTGTGATTAGTGATCACCAATCACAAGTTAGCTGCATTGTTAATTGTAATCTTGGTACAACTCAGAACTCTAATAATTTATATATGTCTAAGTTGAGAAAAGGTTCTGAACATTGGTTGATAGAGATTATTAATGATATTTTAAATGATAAAAATAATTCATAAAATATGTCGAAGGTAACAAAAAGGAAACATGTCATGAACGAAGCCCTGTGGGATGATTATGAATTACCTAAAGAAAATCAAAGTGTTGTTCGAGTTTTAAGAAGCCGGGGAAATAATTTGCACGAGGTAGTTTAAATAACTAATTGTGTTATGCCTATTTATACAATTTGTAATGAGATACAAAGTATTTTATCTTGAGATGCCTCGTTAATTCTGTGAATATTCACCATGGAATATAAAAACACCTTATCGAGTCATCTGTACGATATCTAGTCTTGACCATAACACAAATTAATTTTGAAAAATTGTTTTGTAGTTGATAAGATGTTAAAAAGGAAATAATTTCTTGGATTAAACTTTAGTTTTATAACATTTTTACAGGTAACTACACCTAATGGTGAAGAATATCTGGTTTCAATGCCAACTAAATTTCGGAAAAATATATGGGTCAAAAGAGGGGATTATGTTCTAGTTGAACCAATTGTTGAAGGTGATAAAGTGAAAGCTGAAATAATCAAGATTATGAACAAAGACTCAATGAAGTATTATAGAGAGAATAACATATGGCCTAAAGAGTTTGATTGTGATAAGAAACAGACAGTAAGCAATGATACTGACTTGTTTGTAAATACCAATAGACATCCAATCCAAAATTATAGTGAAAGTGATTCAAGTGAATTAAGCGAATAGTGACATTAATGTCTAAAGATTGTGCAGTATCTGACAACTTATTGCATCAAGCAATTTTTTTCTACACAATGTTTTAGAGGTTGAGATAAATGGATTAATTAAAGAGTTGAGAGATATTTGTATAGAATTATAATAATGTAATAAATTTTTAATATAAACGAAAACAAAATCTGTTCAAGACTTTATTTTAGTAAGTTTTTTACTAATTAGAGATCATTAAATACTTATTTACTAGAAATACTACAAAAGCATGAAAATTATTAAAAATTTGAACATAATTTTATTAGACATTGATACACTGTGGACTATGCTTGCCCGCATCACTGGAGTGGATGAATTTCCATCAAGATAAATTAAAACTTAACTTTTTAAACCAGGCTAGTTTTAACACCAGGCTTCATATTATATTTTTCATGACTTGAAACATGCAGAATACAAAAATGTTTTGACATACTAAGAGAAAAAATTATTTAATATCTGCATCCATATCATCAGTAATAACATGTTCATATATAGTTTTTATTAAATCAACAGACTTAACTTCAGCCCATCCTTTGGTTTTTGTTATGAGTTTAGCTTGACCATCTTTGATAAATTCAAGTGCTAATTCCTTTAAAGCTTTAGCTGAATGTAAATCTGCTAATTGCAATGTGTCAATAGCATTGTCAACTGTAAGTTTTTTATGTAATGCCTCCTCACAAAGGCTTTTAAGTCTGTTGAGCTGGTAATAATCTGCTGCAGCTAATAATTTTTCAGGTATCTCATCAACTCTTGGGGCTTTGTCAGTATATATAAAAGTTAAAACTTCTTTTAAAACATCAGACTCTAATAAAGACTGAACTATATTTGTGTGGCATTCTGTTGTGTTGTGTTCAAAGTGAGCTTTTAAAACCATGCTGCGACTAGCTAAAACTGCTTTATGAACTTTAAATTCACAACCATCAGCAGATGTAATTACCACATCAGAGAATAAACCATCATTAAGAAGATTCTCAAAATCATTGCTAAGTTGTGCCTCTGGTATATTAGCTCTGTCAATTTTTACATCATTTGTTACCATAAATTGAAACTTCAAACGAAGGCTTCCATCACTTAACAGAAATATATCATGGCCATCATAGCTGGCAATATCACGTTTGTAGAGAGTAGCTAAGAACTGCCATTTATTTGCCTGAATTGTATGATATTCTTTTATAATTATAGAGCGCTCTTCAAATCTTTTTAAGCATATGGTTAATATGGACTTAAGAAATACAGGAACTGGTGATAAGTAGTATATTTCAATAATATCATTACAGCGTCCGAGAAATTGCATCTTCAGTTGGAATCTTGTGTCAATGGTTTGGTCTTTTGGACTTTCACTTACCCGCAATTCGCGCGATGTTTTACCATCTAATAGGAGTATAAACTTTGGAATAGACCATATTATTGTATTTACTACTGTTTGGCCTTCTGTTCGAGTTGTATAATTAGCTGTGGACATTTTCACTATGCTTTAATTATATTTAATTCTTTTTCAACATAACTCTGATATAATATTTCCAATTTTTCAAGAATAAACTTATTTTTTAAAGATTTTATGGCCTGAGCCCTGAACGAATAATCTATTTAGTGTGAAGCACAAAGTACAAACAACAGAGTCAGACATTTTTGATTTTAGGTCTATCTATCTATGAAGCAATGTTGCCAGTAGCCTGTGCCCGGTAGTCAAAAGTAACATTATCATACATTTTGTAGAAAATACTCTTCGAGAACTCTATAACACAAACAAATATGGTTCCCTACGCCGTAGGGTTCAAGTGCACATGCGCTAATTAAAGATTTAAGTTGGCGCCTGGTATATACTGGGTGGCGCAAAAGTACTGGCACTAAAGAAAATTTGTTTATTTTTTTATATGACATTTCCTGTCATTTGCCACGCAATTGGGTATTTCCAGACCCTGCAGCGTATTTTGGTGAAAGACTTAAAGATGTTCCCGTAAGAACATTGACACGATTATTCCACGTTCTTGGGGAGTAAAACGGTCCATGTTTATTTCCAGTTTATTGTACATTTGTTCACTACACAATTTTCAACAACAGAATGACAGGAAATGTCATATAAAAAAATAAACAAATTTTCTTTAGTGCCAGTACTTTTGCGCCACCCAGTAGTACCAACTACCAGTGACCACAAAGCTGGTGCTTTCCTCGCTCAACGAATATGTAGTAGCAGCGAGGAATAATGCCAGCGTTAAAGGTAAACTGCCACAGGGACCAAATTTTTAAATTTGTTTTAATTTTTAATACTTTTGTACTATTGTTATTTAGGTTAAGCAAATTGTAAATACCGTATAAATTGTTAATTCCTATGTTAAGTAATAAAATTTTATATAGAATATTCTTTGTAATAAATTCAATAGGTTCACGTTTGATTAAATTGGGATAACTCATGTAATTAAACCTAATGTAAATACACAAAACATATGTGTATTCCTACGTGTAAAGTGTAAAGCACAAAGGGGTGCGCGTGAGTTAGTCAAAGTCAAATCATTTATTTCAATTAGACCATCTAAAATGGCACTTTTGAACGTCAAAAAAAATACAAAGAAGATTCTAGTTGCCCCTTCCAAAAGGTAGTTTCGTGTGGAGAAGAATAGGCAAGAAACTCCACACTTACTCTTTTTAAAATAGGTTTACAATATTTTGTTACATTTGTTAAATAATTATATGTGAAGACAATGTACTTTTAGAATAAACTACTATACTAAAAAAGTTAGTATACATGTTCCTCACATATTTACAAATATCGAAACCGTAGAATATTAACATTAAAGAGTAATAAAAAATATTAAAAAAACACAACAAAACAGTGTGTGAGATACAATAAAATAATTAAATTTGTAGCATTATAAATAAAAAAAAAAAGAAATAACAAAAATATATTAAAGCAAAAAATCAGCAACCAATTTGATTTTGTCCAGGCTCTATGATTGTCCTATGGAGCAGGACCAGCATGTTTCCAAGCATTCTTATCTTGAATATAATCATCTAATTTGTAATATGCTTGTTTACAAAGTGTTCTTTTAATAAAACATTTAAATTTTCGTTCATTTAGTTTTAAAATGTCACCAGGTATTTTATTGTAACATTTCACACAGTACCCCATAAATGAATTTTGAACTTTGGCTAATCGGAAAGATGGTTGAGCTATTTTATCTTTATTTCTAGTACTAAAATTATGTCTTTCATTTATTTTACTAAAAAGATGTAGATTCTTTCTTACATACATAATATTTTCATAAATGAATTGGCAAGGTACTGTCATAATATTAATCTTTTTAAATAGTTCCCTGAGAGATTCGCAACGACGTAGATCATAAATGGCTCTGACCGCTCTCTTTTGCAAAATAAAAATGGATTCTATGTCAGCAGCCCGACCCCACAGTAAAATGCCGTAAGACATTATGCTGTGAAAGTAGCTAAAATAGACCAAACGCGCAGTTTCTACATTTGTTAAATATCTTATCTTTCTAACCGCATAAACGGCTGAGCTCAGTCGCCCCGCAAGAGATGTGATATGAGGTCCCCATTGTAACTTCTCGTCCAGCGTGATGCCCAGGAAAACCGTTTGATTAATAAATTCCAGTTTTCCTTCATTCAACATGATGTCACATTCCCTACTTTTAACATTTGGCAACGTAAATCTAATACATTTAGTTTTTTTATCATTCAGTGCCAAATTGTTTACCGTAAACCAATTTTGGACCCGAAGAATAGAGTTATTCACGTCGTCACGATTTTGTGACCATCGATCTACTTTAAAAATCAATGATGCCATCTGCAAATAACACCATCTTCAGTTTGTTCTGAACTAATTGGGGTAAATCATTTATGTATACTAAAAAGAGGAACGGACCCAATATTGAACCTTGAGGAACGCCCATTGTAATTTCAGACCCTAATGAGTTCATGCCGTTAACCTGAACTTTAACCTGTCTGTCTTTCAAGTAAGATCTTAGTAAGTCCAGAGCTTTGTTCTTAATCCCGTAGTGATTAAGTTTCAGCAGAAGAGTCTCATGGTTTACGCAATCGAACGCCTTCGAAAGGTCGCAAAAGATTCCAATGGCATCTTGTGCTTCCTCCCAGGCGTTAAAAATGTTCTTGATTAGGGAGACACCGGCGTCAGTTGTACAACACCCTTTGGTGAAACCGTACTGTTGTTCATGAAAGATGGAGTTTTTATTAAAGTGACGTAACATTTGATTGAGCATTAACTTTTCAAACACCTTACTGAGAGCTGGCAGAATTGACACAGGTCTATAATTATTGAGTTCTTTACTATCACCGGATTTGAACAACGGAACTACTTTACTGTGTAAGTGTTTCATGAGATCCGGAAAGACTCCTTGGTCTATGCTGGTGTTAAATATGAAAGCTAAATAAGGCGCAATAGTTTCGATGATAGAACTACAGACTTTTACAGACAATCCCCAAAGATCTTCTGTAGATTTAATTTTAAGATCTTTAAAAGCTTTTATAACAGCCTGGGGGTTTGTATATTGAAATCGAAACTCCGTAGGGCATGCCCTTACATTCTTCGTAAGTAACGCAAAAGAAAGTGCAGATGATGAATTTAAAGCTTCGGTAGTTTTAAAGGGAATATTGATAAAAAAGTTTTCAAATTCCTGAGCTATTTCTGCATTTGAGTTTATTGGGCCATGTGCAGTCTCTAAGTTAAATTCAGTATTACGCTGTTTTTTTCTACCAGTTTCATTATTTATTATTTGCCAGGTAGTTTTTATTTTGTCATCCGCTGATTTTATTTTATTACTAATATAAAGTGCTTTAGCAATTTTGCACACACTTTTAAAAGTTTTTGAATATTTCGCAATATGCTGATGAAAGTTTGTATTTTTTACATGTTGCCTTATGCCATACAGTTCAAAAAGTTTATCCCTGCTCTTACGAATACCTGGAGTCGCCCAATCACTAAATAAAAACTTGGTGTAAATACTTTTTGTCTTTTGTGGAACAATGTCATTAAATTGCCATTTTAACAAGGTAAAAAACTCCGCATAGAACTCATTAGGGTCCCAAATATTATTAAAGTTTTGAACACACAATTTACTGGTCAAGGTATTATTTAATTTCTCTAAATTTTTACTTGTAATTGGCCTATACCTTATTTGAATTTTATGTACAGGTATGTAGGCACAAAACGTTATTGTTTGTCCACTGTGATCAGAAGGCAATTTATTAACAATTTCTTTATGTAAGTAATCACAATTACAAAAAATATTATCTATACAAGTGGCAGCAGAAGCTGTCACTCTAGTTGGTTCCATAAAAACATTAGACAGATTAAATGATTTAAAAAGACTTATTAATCTGATACTATTTGAGTTTGTTTCTAATAAGTTAATATTAAAATCACCACTTATGATGATTGATTTACTACTAGTACTAAGTTTTTTTAACACATCTTCCATTACAGAATCAAATACAGATATATTCTGATAGCCTGGGGCCTTAGTCAAGATGCCTTAACAGTAGTGTATGTAGAAAGTCGAAAACTTAATTTGTATGGAAATGACAGTTCGTGTCGAAAAGTTTTCATACAAATTTAGTTTTTGACGTTCTACATACACTACTGTTAAGGCATCTTGACTAAGGCCCCTGGTCTGTAAACACATACTACAACATGCTTATCGAGCTCGACACAGGACAATTCAATGGAATGTTCAACTGACAATCTGATAATGTCTTTCCTTTCTTTAGATTTAACAGAATCTTTGATTAATATTAATGATCCACCGTGTATCATACACTTCCGGCTGAAATAGCTAACTACACAATAATTTTCATAATTAATAGACATTATCTGATGATCATTTAACCAGTAATTTGGAAGAGCAACCTTGAATATTCTGATGAAATAATCTTAAAGTATGTTGCTTTCCTTTTGGTTTATTAAAACATGTTAAACTGCCAGAAGATACCTTTTTATTATCCACGAATAATAATTGATTATTTAAACGGTTAACTTCTGTTGTCTTAGTTTCTTAGTTTCTGTGCCTAGTTTAAAGTACTATCCGGAGTGACCTCTACAGTTGTAGAATAACCTAAGGTATGTGTTCCAGCAGGAAGAGTATACTCTATCTGACTGGTATTGGCCTCCAAGTATGTTGGTATTATAGGTGGACCCTCCTTCGTACAACATAAAGATATATTATCAATCACTATGTTGTTAGTGTAACTAGGCAACACAGTCTCGTCACTAATCCTAGAATTTGTTATATTAGCTATAACATTGTTAATATTGTATGCTATTAACATAGCAATCAACCGTCTACATTCAAAATTTAAGAGTACCAACCCTATTGATATATGCTTTGCTAGCACGAAGCCGAATGTAGGTCGTACGTCAGCAACGACCAATACTTAGTAAGTAATCTGAATGTATAAATACATGAAGAAATAGATATTAAGTTGATTATTGTTTAGTTCTTAATTAAGTGCTGTCACTCTGTTGATTTAAATAAATTATTTTTAAACCAAAAGTCCGTTACGGTTCCTTTAGTCGTGCGCGCGCCTAGCTCTAGTGTTGCCTCCGTAGCCCCTTTTCGGGCTAGATATAGAACTTTTTACTGTAGGTGATCTTTGAAAACTTCGCACCACGATTACCAAGTTATGAAACAATTTTCGTCAGTCACACTTTATAATCACTCATTCCGTATGTTTTTACTTTTTCTTTAGGCAACATTGGTAACCCTACCTAATCTTTCTGCTTCTTTACTGGGGAAGCCCCCAAGTTTCTTTCTAAGTATAACCTGAGTAATTTAGGACGTACCTAGTCACAGCCAAGGGATCAAGCCGCTCGGAAAGTGCTGGTCGTCGACGATTCCAATCGCTCTTCTTTGAATACGGTCAAGCGGAAGGAGCTTGTACTGGGGAGCTCCCACCCAAAGGTGAGAACAGTACTCCATGTGGGGCCGAATTCGTGCTTTATAGAGATGCACGTGTTGGCCCGGGGTGAAGTACCGTCTCGCCTTGCTGAACACACCAAGCTTCTTAGAGGTTAACTTAGCCTTTCCTTCCAAATGACCGTGAAAATGAACGTGTGTTCTCCGCATAACAATGAATGTGGCTAAGTTGCAACATATCATTGATTTGTAGAATAAACAGGGTCGGGGATAGGATACAGCCTTGTGAGACCCCAGCAGTCACGGGTTTAAGGAGCATGCTCCGTCGATGACGACCTTGATGCTCCGATCAGCGAGAAAGCTGGAAATCCAGTCGCCTCCAAAGCGGCTTATGAATTTTCCTGGAAATAACTAAAGCGTTATTTCCATGTGTGGGCTATGGCCCCAACTTACAAAAACCTAAAACCTGACTTGTCAATATCCTCTTCTTGCAGCTGCGGAACAAAAAAATATGAATCATGTCAATATACCGCTCGCTCGTCACTGTAACCGTTGCACTTCGGCCATACTCGAAGAATAATGATTTGCCTGGTGATTTTCTTTCCTGATATTGCACATCATACAGTAACTTTGGGGCTGTGTAATGCTTTCTGAAGTTTTTTTTGGATTGCTCGATGACCAGTAACGGCAATTTTGACGATTGACGTACCCATCGAGGTGAAAGTGTGATTCATCACTAAAATAAACATTATCCATCCCATTTTACTCTGAAAAAATCTCTAACATCTTGTGACAGTAAATGTTTCGATGGTTGTAGACTGTAGTCTTCTGGTATGATTTCTTGGACTATTTGTTTCTTATAAGGATGTAATCTTAAGTCTAAGGACAAAATTCGTTGAAGACTTGAACGGAGGAGGCTCAAAGAGGCAGCATGTTTTCTAACTGATCGTCGTAAATACTCCGCGACCGCAGAGGCGACGCGGTCGATAGTTTCAATCGATCGCACAGGTCTATTTTGCGGGTGAATTGAATGATTCAGTTATCATCCTGTTGCTCTGAACTATTCTACCCACGACTTAATTAACTGAATGCTAGGGGCATTACTTAAATTTCAAAGCGATTTCTAAACCTGCGCGTTAACTCAATGAAAACTCATTGCAAAAGTACGCCTTTACGGTGCGCGCCAGAAAAACAGACTTGACCCACCTGCAACTACACAGACTAATAAAATATTAATGATGGTATATAATATACATGCTTACTAAGTCTGTGGATATAGTTTGAAGTATTTTTGCTATGTTAATTGTTATGTAAATTATTGAAAACATCAGCTAAAGAAAGAGAACCTTATATTAAATTAGTTATTAGGTGCTTTTATCTTGCTAATTAGTAAATTTTGATTTAGTAGTTAATCTTATCTTGAATTGAAAATTTGAACGAATCATAATGTCGGCGGTAGTGTGTATCATCTCGTACGTATTGTGAACTCACTAAAGCGGAACAGTGAACGGCGAAAATAATCTTTATATATTATTCGTTAGCATTAAGCTCTTTCCTCGATTTCTTTCATTAAAATCTAAAGCAAATGTGATTTAGTACAGTACTATGGAGGACTATAAATTCTTGTTTAAAGTCGTGCTAGTCGGTAACGCAGGTGTTGGAAAAACTTGTTTAGTAAGGAGATTTACGCAAGGATTATTTCCACCGGGTCAAGGTGCTACTATTGGAGTAGATTTCATGATCAAGACGGTGGAGGTTGATGGCGAAAAAGTGAAGGTATCTTTTGTATTATTCGGAATGGTTTATATTATCAATGCTAAATATATATTTTATATAAATTATAGAAAAAAAATTAAAATGAATTATGATTTGTCTAGTAACAATGCTTGTCTCCATATCTGGCGTATTTGACAGCTAAAGTTAAGTACACAGAGGATACAGAAGTTGTATAAATTTTGAACAAGCCTATCGCCTTAATTTATAAGGCTGCCATATAATGCCAGCCTTTACAAGAGCTATTTTTTTACATGATCAGCTTGTGCTGAAATAAAACAAGAATTTATATTTCTTTGTAATTTTCACATAGTGTTGTAATGTCCCTGCATAGAGAGAGAATTAAACTGATCACTGATAGATTCTAATGCCTCCCCTGAATTTGGTCAAAAGGTAGAAACTGGTATTTGGGCCACCAGCCCAGACATTAAAAAGTATTCCGTATGAGGTATCCATCCATATTATTGGTTCATATGAGCCTTGAAAAGTTGCATATGTCGATGTTAGTGAAATACTGCTTAGTTCTACCCAAAGACCCAGCTTTTTGGATGCCTGTTTGGCTATTTCTTTTAGACAACTGCGGAATTGGACTTCTTTAGATATTCCAACTACAGCCTGTGGCATTACTGAGGCTGTGTGAAGTACTAAGAAGAATGGCTTCAAATAAGAAGACACAACAAATGGATTTTACATGGCTAAGAACAAATAAACATCAGTCTTTGTAGGATTAAATTAAGGAAGGTTGCTTATAAATATATATATATATATATTATATATATAAGCTAGAAACTTTAACTACCCTTATCTTTTATATGAGGAATGTCTACTTCATCTATGTAATAAATTACATTTATTCTTTAGTAAAAAAATATTTATTAAATTTTTTTTATAGCTACAAATATGGGACACAGCTGGCCAAGAAAGATTTCGGTCAATAACACAGAGTTACTACAGGTCGGCACATGCTTTGATTTTAGTATATGACATATCTTGCCAGCCTACATTTGACTGTTTACCAGATTGGCTCAGAGAAATTGAAGAGTATGCTAACAACAAAGTTTTGAGAATATTAGTGGGTAAGAAAAGTTAAGAATAGAATATAAGTAGTATGATGTGGTGAGGGAGCCACAAGACAGGCATAGAGACAACTCACTTAATATTATATATATATATAATTATAAGAATTATTATAAATCTATAACATACATGGTCAAAATGTTTGATGATTATAGTACTCAATATTTAATCATTTTTCTTAGGTAACAAAACTGACAGAGAAGATAGAGAAATTCCAAGACATATTGGTGATGACTTTGCACAACGTAATGGGATGTATTTTCTTGAAACCTCTGCTAAGGAAGCCGAAAATGTTGAGCGTTTATTTATGGAAATTGCTGTGGAATTGATGGAAGTAAGTTTTCCTTAGCTATTGTGTATTTATTAGACCAAATAAATGGCAATTTATTTTTGGGTATGGATTAAGGCAATGTTTTATAAACTATAAACTTACCAATAAGTATAAGCATTAAACCCTGGCATATTGGTTCACTGCAGTTACAAATATCCATAGATTGACTAATTGAACAAAGAATGAATATTTATAATATTCTGAAATCTCGGGTGTTAAAACTTATCTCAGATATTTTAGTTTATTTTTAAATATATAAATAAATTATGATTCAGATTAGGATTTGATTTCTCATTTTATAGGGTTTTTATAGGGTGGGTACCTAGACAATAATATCTAAAATAATTATATCTGTCTCTGTGAGGTTAACAAAAGAGTGCAGCAGTAGTGTAAGTAATTCGTAACCAGTTTCATCTTGTATTGCAACATTTCGACAGCACATTGCAGTGCGCGGAATTTTTAAGTGTTAACCTAGATGCTCATTGATGTTATCTATTTTCAGCAAGCAAAATGCAAGGAATTGCCAAAGTACGATGGAAGTCTGGGACCTATCAACGGTAAGACATCATCGGTAGGTGACAGTTCATGCTGTTCCAGATCGTAAATAATACTCCCGAGAGTCAGCCAAGTTTTCAGAAGGTCCTGTTCTAAGATGAATTAGGAATGCGTATATCACAACAATTTCTATGGGTTAAATAATGTTGCAATATTTCTAAAGAACAGTCACGGCAATATTAAAGTAAAATTTTAAAGTAAAAAAATTTTTTGATACATTCCATTTTGTTATTTATTATAGTTAAATTTTGTGAAATACTGAAACGTTTTGTGATGTTTAGGTAATTTTAACCATAAGTATGCATTTTTCATACAATTAGTATAATTATAAAACTCCATTAATCACAAACTCACAAAAGCAATGCATATCGAGGACGACGGGACTCAGTCGTTCTCACCAGTGCTAGGTAAGGTGTAATATGTCTAATTGTCTAAGTAGTTACTTATATTCTGTAAGGAGACTCCTGGAGTTTTGTTAATATTGTTTTCACTTTAATGACTGTGTTAGTTGAATTTACCTAAATTGTTGATTGATGCCAATATTTCATATTCTCGGCGTCTGCTGGCGTGTAGGGCTGCGTGAATAAAGATATTGCGTGAAGCCTAAACAGACGGCTAAGGACGTTTTTAAGTTATTGATTTTTAAATCACGAGGCTGATCTCAATTTCACAAATAACTTTAAGTGTACACAGTTGTGCCCCTGACGCGAGCGTAGTCAACCGATAGCGGTTGTCGTCGGACGTTTGATGTTTGAGATGTACATTAGAATTAGTTTGTTATAAATATTCTTAGACGGGTTAGTGTCGTCGTTCATATGGAGATTCGGAACCCCGTAGTGCATCCGCATTTGTACTGTCTTCGTCGAGTGCTGTAACCGCGTTGACTAATTGCTACTCGATAACTTTAATTACTAATTTTGTAGTTGATATCCACCTAATTTTAAGGCCTTTGCGGATGTTATTGAATTTCTCCTGGTGCAGGGGCCATAACATGTTGTGCTTCTTGTGAATTTATTGACAGTAAATGTTTACCGATCGAGGAGCAGTAGATGCGAGCAGTGAATTGAAGTACTGGGGCGACGGGACATGCTGACTGTAGATTGTAGAAACTGATTTGGTTATTTTAATATGGCAAGATTTTTATGGTGGTATGTTATTAAAAAAGTTTAATTCATTTTAAATTATGTTTACTTTTTCAAATATCTTTAATAATACCAAAATCTTGATTGTGTTTCTCGTACCCTAACGTGGTACTTTTAAATCAATATTTTTGCAAGATTTTTCTAGAATTATAGTTCGCGCTATATCTCTATTCTGAATCTCACCCTAAGACATTCAGCTCGGTTTTGAAGATATTGTTACAAACCCAGAGTGATAATAGTGCTGTCCTAGACATATTTTTTTTTATCTTAAGGTAGCATTCGGTTCTTAACGACTGCCACCACTCGACTAAGCGACCGCGAGAAGAGTAAAGTTATTTGGAGGATTTAGAAAATGATATTCTCATTATTACATTATTATCTAGACCTCCGGAAAAACTGATAAACATCGACTCAATTTTCACATCGCGAGCAAAAAAGGGTCGCTTTCAAATACTTTGAGTACTCGAGTGATTCATACTAAGCAGTGTGTTGACGTAAGTCGCAGTCGTAGGAACCAAAAGCTACCTCTATCATTAAAATATCTTATGTAAGTTCTAGTACAATTTCTTTATAGCAAAAAAATATAAATACTCTTTGCTTTAAAAATCTTGCCTTTTTAATAATTAATTAAGTGTGTCTTTGATATTGTTACTGTTTTGCTTAAAAGATTTTAATAATTATTGATAATGTATTATTTACATTTTATGTAACTTTTTTAATATTATTTTAGATTTTTTTACATTAACGTTATTCTTCCTGAAGTTTGGGCTGTCTTCATTTATTAATAATATTTTTGCATCATAATTTGAACTAAAAGAGGATTTTATATTTGTGTCATTTCAATAGAAAGGAAACGTCACCAAAGAAATTGAATTACTTGTTAAACTCGCAATAAAGGAAATTACACTGTATGTTTGTTTCTGTCTTTTAAATCACGTCCTTTGATGTATGAGATTACTCATACGAAACTAAAGTCATAGGAAAAATGCATTGGTACTCCATTACAATAATTCGTATTTATTTAAAACCCTTTTAAAATTAGACATCACATTGAATTCGTGTTTTTTTTATCTATTAAAAGCATGTAAAAAGAAGATATTCTTTTTAGAATCGAATAATCAAGATCTGCTAAAGCATGTTTAACTGTATCGCTACTATAGTGGCGTCCTTGTTTATTTTTATAAATATATATGTTTATTATGGAATATAAGATACAGGTATCACTTATTCCACGTCATTAAATTTGAATCGTTAGACATCCCTACTCATCGGCTAACGGCCAAAATTAATAATGTATCCTCAATCTATGATTATAACCAATCTTGGACTGATTCATATCTAAAGACCGATCTCCAATGTGCATGCCAATAAATATTTCTGCTATCCGATTGTTTATTTGACAAAAGATTGACAGCAATCTTTTGCGTGATCCTTCCCTCTCGACCGCGTTTCGTTCAATGCAATATATTGTGTTCAAGCATACCAAAAGTTTGCTGTTTTTGGAACGAAATAAAATAAGTAAGACTTAGGGTCTGTTTCACAATGTATGGATAAAGTAGCAAATAGCTATGCAACGTTTTTGTTTGTTTTTTTGTTACGAACAAATAAAGTTACAAAATTCTATAGAAAAACATAGAACCTTAACCTTTTTGTTGGTCATTTAATATTACTTGTAACGAAACGGGCTGTCATTTTCATATGGTATTTTTGTTTGTTAGGTTATTGAGTATTTTAGTATATATTTTAATTTTTAGTTCGGCGCCTTCGGCTTGACCTTTCAAATATAAATTTTCTCTGAGTAGTTTGTGTATGTTGTTTTTGTGATTCGAGGTTGGTTCTTTAACTTAAAAAAATGTCTACGCAAAAACGTGAAAGAAGCGTCAATTTCAGCCGGGAAGAAGTTGACCTTCTAACTTCGCTTGTTGCTGACCATAAAAATATATTAGAAAATAAAAAGAGTGACTCAGTCACCTGGCAGGAGAAAGAGCAGTGCTGGAAGACGCTGGAGGCGCTGTTTAATAGCACAAGTGGGGTAAACTTTCGCAGTGCTAAAGCTTAAAGAGGGCTACAAGAAAAAAGTCTGCCTTGATACATGCTGAAACATATCGTACAGGAGGTGCCCCTAGTGCTGCTACTCCTCTTACCCCTATCGAGGAAAAAGTCAAAGACATGATATTGTTGTCTGTCGAAGGAATTGAAAGTCAATTGAAAGGAAGAGCTTCTAAATAAGAGAAAGCAATGGGCATTTGAAGAGGAAGCAAGAGAGCATAAAAGAGAATTATGGGCCATAGAAAAAAATATATTGTTAAATAAATTAGAAAAATAATAGATTTTGTGCCTGGAGCAAGGATGTATTGTATTAAAAATTTGTATTTTTATTTGAATAAAAGCATTGAATTTTTATTTATTTTATCTCAAAAATGTTGTAATTTATAAAATATTATAGTAATAAAGCAAAATAATCACTTATAAGATTACTTCGCACACTTGCATTTCCCACGTTGTCAATTGCGCTTTGATCAATATCATTAGCTGGTTCATCATCATTAATTCTTGTCTTCTATGTCTTCGCACAGAAGTACGTTGTCTTCTTCCAGCTTCAGAATTACTATCCCAATCGGATAATTGCATTTAAACTTCCAAATCACTATCACTAGAACTGGAAGATGACGAAGATGAATAAATTTTCCCAATGAATATTAAGTTAGGTCGCAATCCCAAACCCAAATCATACGAGTTTCACCGATAGCAATCCGAGATTGATTTGGCCAATCGAAGCAACTGTCAAAATGGACAGATAGGTTGTTGGCATGAGTAAACATTCATTTTCATACAGAGGGCAATCTTCAATCTCTTATCCGCCCTCTGAACGATTGGTTGAATAATTAGATTGGTATCTCAGTCCATGGATTTAATATTGGCATGCTTTTCTTTAGAAATGGATTGAATTGTCAGTCTATGACAGCTAAAATTGGATTGAGATTGGATATTTGTTTTGGCCGTAAGGAGACAGGGGGTGTACGCCGAGAGAAAAAGCCGGCGTAAAAATCTCTCGGTACTCTTTTAAAATACCAAATAATATATATACTCTGTCACAAAAAAATACATATTTATTCATATTAATATCATCTGAAACTGCAAACAACATAAATTTGAGAGTGTAGAACTATAAGGACACATTAATGCCAAGGTCAAAAGTAGAGTTTTTAACCAATAAAATAGAAGTGCTTAATCATCACGTTAATAAAAATGTTAATAAATTTTGCGAGCGTGGCTCGGCTTTATCGCCCTGAACAGCTTGCCAGCCAGTGGACTGTGAAATGTGTGGTTAAATTTATTTGTATTAACTATCAGGAATATAGTATATGTAGTGTGTGTATTAGCAAGCGGCACTAGATAACTAAATATATGAGAGGGTGAGACGTAAGAACCTTACAACGCTACGGATACCTAAGTCCTACAGATGTACTAGTGAATATATAAATAAGTATGGCACCAAAAGACCTAAGGTACCAGACGTAGCTCTACTGGTAGGATAATGTTTTTTTTAAAGGAACCTCGCTGTTGGCCTTAAGGGCCTTTATAGCTCAGCTTGGCCTGAATGGGCGTTTTACCCGCGGCTAGCGCAAGGGTGTCTCCTGTGAGACTCGGACCTCGGCTTGGGCCGTCGCGGGGTGGTCAATCGCCGAAAGGGCAGGACGGAAGCTCACTGGAGTGAGCGAAACGTGTCAGCAGTTGTTCAAATAATACATATTTTATAATAATAGTAGTATTCATGTAACCGGTTTTGAAATCTAATGTATTGTTTTAGAAACTTGTGGGTGTTTAGCTGACAAAACTGTAATTTTACTTTTGAGATTTTTTAAGACAAAAATGTACCCTATTATTCTGTCTGAAGGGCTTGTATTTATGGTCGTGTAATAAATTATTTAAAAAAATCTATAATAACTATGGAGTTGGGACAACAACTTTTCGCCAGGCGTTGCCCACGAACGCTAAACGAATTTGTATGGGAATGACATTAGTTTACGCTTTTCACACAATAAATAAAATAAAAATAAAAAATAAAAATAGCCTTTATTCGAGTACACTATAACTACAGTAAGTCCATGTCTTTTAAGTTTTACACTTGTACTCGACCTCCGATGGAGTGAAGGCCTCCTCCAGATTCTTCCACTTATCCCTATTTGATGCGACAATTTTCCAGTTTTTTCCCGCTATCCCTTTTATATCGTCTTCCCAAGTTTTCGGTGGGCATCCTCTCTTTCTTCTTCCCACTGGGCCCTTCCAAGTAAGGTTCTTTTTGACCCATCTGCCATCACAAATGCGGCCAATGTGACCGGCCCATTTCCATTTTAGCCTTTTTGTATAAGTTACATCTTTTATTTTTGAACGACTTCGTATAATCTTGTTTTTTATTTTGTCTTTAAGGTTCAATTGAAGAATGGAGCGCTCCATAGCCCTTTGGCATACTCCAATCTTTTTTTATTAACGCCTTGTTAAAAATCCAGGTTTGGCATCCGTATGACAAACATGGAAGTATGCATGTGTCCATGACTGTTCTTTTTATAGTTAAGTTATGGTTGGATTTCAGTACTTCTTTTAAAGCCCAATATTTGTTCCATGCTAGGTTTACACGTCTATTTGTTTCTTCCACATGTCTGTTTTGACTAAACGATATTTGTTTTCCTAGGTATATGTAGTTTTGGACATATTCAAGAGACGTGGCGTTGACAAAAATTGGTCGTTCTTTGCTGTTAGTCATAACTTTAGTTTTGGAGGTATTCATTTCTAGGCCAATGCTTTTACTTGCGCAGACTAATTCGTTAAGCATGTCTTGTAGCTGCGTCGCACTGTTTGAGAAGATAACTATATCGTCGGCGAATCTCAAGTTGCTTAGATACTGACCATTTATTTCTATCCCTTTTTTCTCCCATTGAAGGGTTTTCATTACGCTTTGTAGAACCGTTATAAATATTCTAGGTGACAAAGGATCGCCTTGTCTTACGCCTCTGCATATTTTTATTTCTGGGTCAATTCTGTCTAACTTCACGCGGCTTACGCTTTGCTGGTATATATTTTGTATGAGTTCTATTATTTCATAAGGAACATTACATTCACCAAGAGCTTGCCACATGCTTTTGTGAGATATGGTGTCAAAAGCTTTGGCGTAATCAACGAAACCTAGGTATAGGGGGCAGTTTTGGTCGATATATTTTTCTATAATCATGTCTAAGGTATGAATATGATCTATAGTAGAGAAGCCTCTTCTAAAACCAGCTTGTTCTACTGGTTGATATTCTTCGGTATATTTTGACAAGCGTCGTTCTAGACAGGAAGCGAACAATTTGTACATACTAGGTTGCAAGCTGATCGGGCGGTAGTTGCCCACATCAGTCGGGTCCCCTTTTTTATATAGTAAAATTATGTCAGACCATGCCCATTCTCTGGGTATTTTTCGTGAATCCATAACCATATTAAAAAGCCTTGTTATGGGGGTTGCTAACAAAAATCTTCCAACTTTTATAGCTTCATTTGTTATGCCATCTGGTCCACAGCTTTTGTCTACCTTTAATTGTTCCATAGCTTTGATAACTTCATAAGTTGAAAATCTTTCAGTCGATAAGTTGTTGTGATGGATTTCGAAATTTTCTGTATTATTAATTATATTATTATTAGGGCCATATAACTCCTTGTAGAATTTAGTAGCTATCTCAATTATTTTGGATCTAGAGTATGTTGTCGATGATGAACTGGTTTTTATTCGAGGTATCCATTGTTTGGTTCTGTTAAGTGCTCTAAAACCTTTTTTTATACTCCTTGATTCTGTTAGAAATTTCTCTAGTACCTGTAATCTATGTTTTTTATTGTCTTGTTTAATCATTTTATGTATATTTTTATACAGATATGTTCGTTCCTTCTTTTCTACGCTGCTTAAATGTGTTTTACGTGTCAACTCGTTTCTTCTGGATATCAGATCCTTTATGTGATTTGAGATAATATAACCTTTTCGATTATATCTATTTTTAGTTTTTAATGTAACGGCTCTTATGCTTCCCGTAAGTGACGTCTTAATTTGGTCATAATATTTGTTTACGTTGCCTTCATCAATATCTTTTATGTCTTTTATTTTGGTTTCTAAAGTTTTTAAATATGACTCTTCCTCTTCTGGCGACTTAAGATAAGAGTATGCACTATTTTTATATTTTACCCGACTCTTTTTTAGGTCTTTTACTATATATGTGCATCTTACAAGACTGTGATCGCTGGCAAAAGATAGATTGTGCACCACTTCAATGTTTTGTATATGTCGCATGTCATTTGTTAATATATAATCAATTTGACTTCTTCGCTTTTTGGGGGAAAGCCAGGTCCATAGGTTTTTTAGCTTCTTTGTAAATTGGGTATTTATTATCTTTAAGTCGTTTTCACGGCAAAATTGCAGGAGCAGATCTCCTCTTTGATCCCGTTTACCAAAGCAATTTGCACCCATTACTCTTTCTTCACCAGGCAACCTTTTTCCTATTCTAGCATTAAAGTCACCTGCTAATATAAACTGCTTGTTGCAGTGCTTCATAGCATTACGTACTTGTTCATAGAATTTCTCTATCTCATTGTCGCTTGCTTCGGAAGTGGGTGCATGGACTTGGATAATAGACATATCTAAATTTATTATTCTTAAATTTAAAATGCAGATTCGTTCTGATACACCAATAAAACTCTCAATGTATTGCTTGAGTCTTTTCTTTAAGAGAAACCCTACGCCTAAGTGTCCCTTTCTTTCACCGAAGTAACAAAATATATGTTCACTATCCTCTTCAATGTTATATCCTTCTCTTCTTATTTCTGATAAGCCAATAATGTCATACCTTATTGAAGCAATACTTTCTTTAAATTCTAGGAGTTTTTCGTCTGATGATAGTGATCTCGCGTTAAAAGTACAAATAAATATATGGGAATTTTCTGTTGCGGGAGAGATGTGATGTGGTGGGTGAGATCTGTTGGAATTGATTGTATTTGTTAAGAATTGTGAATTAGGAGGGTAGTAGTCGCTGAGCCCCACGGTGACCAGCCGGCTTGGGTTGGTAAGTGCATGTTTTCTTACGTCGTCCTTTGTTGGTGTTGATCCATCACACAATACCATTCATAAAAAAATATTTGGCGGTAGTGGGGGTTGGGTGCGATAACGATGCACCCGAATCTGATGATACTGATTATGCAGGAGTCTTGGGGGACCTTCATTGGAACACCTCCAAGTGATTTTAGCTGCCGGAAATGCGTCAAAGTATTTTAAAATTTTTTTTAAAGTTTTGTGAAATGTATTGAAATTTGTAAACAATCCACCATTATCTACTTTTCTATTGGTTATAAAAATTAAGAGATGTGACATTCTCGTTTTCTATTGGTTATAAGTGATGTGACATTTTCGGTAAATTAATCGGATCGATTATTTTCTCATTTGTTATTTTTAAAGTTGAACTTAATCGAATCGATTATTTCCTCATTTGTTAATTTTAAAGTTGAACCTAATTTAACCATTACTTGTCAAATGTACATACATTACATGAACTTCATGTTTCAATTAGTGTATTGTTCCGAAAATTTTTAAATTATTCAAAAAGTACCCAATGTAAAATACTCAGAAACACCACCGATAGGTACACTTTATAAGCGGTACGATCCCAGAACTCAAGTAACGTCCGCACGCCACGGCGGTAGGCAGTCGACTGACCCCCACTAGTGTGCTTCGGTATACTACATCCCTTCCTTATTAAAATTAATAAAAAGTTATCAAATGATTCGAAGATTAACTTTAATTTTGTTTCTTTTACATTTTAGGATGATAAGTCATTAATCTTCATTTTTTTACCATTTACCCCGTCGTCTGCGTGGTGGTTAATGACCCACTTGCCACTCACCATTTTCAACCCTCTTAAGGTGGACAACATTTATGCGGTATTCTATCCCCGTTGAATCATTTCTTACCCTAATGTCTCCACCGTTACATCTGTTACCGTGTGAGACTCTGGACCACAATTAGGAGCCAATTTATTTTCTCTCATCATATTATTTTGACGTCTAGATTTTCCCCAATTCCCAAATAACTATCCGCCGCTTTTCTCTTCCTATCAGCATATTCCTTTCCTTTTTCTTTATTCTCCCTATCTCTGACTATAAAATCTGAATATATGACTTTATGTTCCATGTCTGAATTTTATCTCGAAACTGTCTACGAAAGAAGAGTTCAGCCGGGGTTTTTCCTGTTACTGTATGAGGGGTGCTGTTGTACATTACAAGGTTTTCTAGAAAGTCCTCTTTCCAATCCTTTTCACCTAACTTTTTTAATTAACCTGTGGCCAATAGGGTATTGTATTGTAAATTACAATCGCGCACTCCTTACAAAACGCTTTAAAATTGTCACTTGTAAATTGATTGCCACTATCGGAAGTTAGGGTTGCAGGATATCCCAATCGAGAAAATAATTCCTTGAGATTTATAATGGTTTCTGTGGCAGTTAATGTTCTTAATAATTTTAATCTCCTTATACCTACTGTAGTAGTCTATTAGTATAAGTAGGTAATCGTTTGATGGTAATGGTCCCAAAAAGTATACCGCAACATCAAGACAAGGCTCACTTGGAAGGTCTCGTCTTTTAGTTGGATGAGGTTTAGGTGATGAAACCAGCGTCCGACCTTTACAGGTTTTAACACGACTTTCAGCATCCCTATCAATTTTAGGCCAACAAACCTTTGTTCTTAGACGACCTTTCATGGCAACAAAGCCAGGATGTCCTTGGTGAGCAGCCTCAAGAACTCGATCACGACGTTGTTTAGGAATAATAAGTTTACTCCCTCTGAGGGCTTTATTACCTTGTAGCACTCATTCCACTTATCTTCAAAACACCAGTTCTTAATGCTATTATTTCCCTGTCTGTTGCACTGGCTGTTTAAATTTCAACAAGTGGAACTGCTATCGGTCTGCTGTATTCTACAATTGCATTTATGTAGTTTTCATTGTCGAATGAAATAGGGTATGCGATGTTCTCTTTCGCTGACCGGTAGACTACTTTATACTTGTAAGTCTGCAGCCGCAGAACCCATCGTTTAATGCGTGCACAAGGCTTGGATCTGTTACCGTAGATAGTTTCCAAAGGCTTGTGGTCACTTATGAGCTCAACTTCTTTGCCCAGTAGATAAATCTTAAAATGTTCTACTGCCCATACCAGAGCCAGGGCTTCTTTCTCCGTTTGACAGTATCTCTTCTCGCAATCAGTAATACTTTTATTGCCGAACCCAATTATCCGAGGTCCGTGACGATCAATTTGTACGAGCACCGCACCAAGACCAACTGGAAACGCATCTGCTATTATTTGCGTTCTACCCACCGGGTTGTAGTAGCCAAGTGTTTTTAAGTTTGACAGTCGTATCTTGAGGGTCTCAAATGAAGAGTATTCGAATGAACGTCTGTCCGGTATTTTTAATGTTATTAGATCTGCTCAATCTAAGTCTTATTATTTGCCGAAGGGGTAATGTAAGTGTTTCTGAATTGGGTATCCATTTCCCGACGTAGTTAACGAGACCAAGAAAACTCTGTATCTCTTCAATGTTGGAGGGCTTTTTTGAAGCCTGGATTACTTGGATGTATTTGTCCAATGGCTTTATTCCTTATTCAGTTAGTAGATGTCCCAGAAATTCAATTTTGTGTGTCGTATTGCAATTTTGTTTGTCGCATCTTGCATTTGTCGTAGTTAAGAAGAACATTCATTATCTTTCAGTATTTGTAACACATTTTCAAGCCGTTTATCGTATTGCAACTCATCAGATCCATGTACTATAATGTCGTCAGTATGATTGGCTGTCCCTTCGCAACCGGACAACAATTTCTCCACCCATTTTACAATTGATAGTTGTGTCATTATCTATATGGGATACATAAATCCACTTCATCGGTAACTTAGTGTGTTCCTGTATTTGTTTTCAGTGTCTTTGTTCCATTGTATTCGTCATTTCGTGTATGTATTTTCCGTTTTTGTACCTTGGTCTTACAATAATCCCTAAAATGACCAACGACTCCACATTTTAAATATTATATTATTAGGAAACACAAAAGATTAGAACGTGTAGGTACTTTAGACTTTTAAAATCTACCGAGGTTAGGTTAGTAACAAGCCCGTTCGCACGAAGTCTAGAAATAAAAGTGAGTCAACGCCGGTGTTGCCATGCTTTATATAGGTTTCTGCTACAAGATGGCGTTAGTCCGCTAACACGGCCTCTCCTGACACCCTGACGTCCTCGTCAGGATTTGATGTCCCAGCGTCTATACTGTCATGTCTGTGAGTAGAATAGAACGTTAGAAAATTACAGTTCTGGGAAGGTATTGCGTCGTCTATTTGGTCAGCAGCTGAACATATTTACTTGGTTTAATACAAACAATCAAAGTAATGAAAGATAGAAAGGAACTTTAAAGTATCAGACTCCAAGGAATGAGTGAAAGATTATTTATAACCCTTACAAGATTTGAAACAAACTATCACTTTCATGTGTAAAGGACTTGTGTAAACAATTACAAGTTTAGTGTCACCATAAGGTATAAAGGTGTACTTATTTCTCAAGAAGATCGTGAGTTTGGGGCTGGTTACCCTGTCCATTGATCTTTTTACCATTCATAAAGGAAGATCTTGAGTTTGAGGCTGGTTACCCTGTCCATTGATCTTTTTACCATTCATACAGGAAGATCATGAGTTTGGGGCTAGTTACCCTGTCCATTGATCTTTTTACCATTAATACAAAAATATCGTGAGTTTGGGGCTGGTTACCCTGTCCATTGATCTTGTTACCATTTATACAGGAAGATCATGAGTTTGGGGCTGGTTACCCTGTCCATTGATCTTTTTACCATTTATACAGGAAGATTGTGAGTTTGGGGCTGGTTACCCTGTCCATTGATCTTGTTACCATTTATACAGGAAGATCGTGAGTTTGGGGCTGGTTACCCTGTCCATTGATCTTTTTACAATTTATACAGGAAGATCGTGAGTTCGGGACTGGTTACCCTGTCCATTGATCTTTTTACCATTTATACAGGAAGATCGTGAGTTTGGGGCTGGTTACCCTGTCCATTGATCTTTCAAAAAGCAAATATTACAGAATTAGATAGCTTCAGACTTAACACAAATAAAGATAAAACTCAGTATATTTGCAATACACCGTCGTATCGACAGGCTCCTAGTGCTCTCATAAGCGACAATTTTTGAAAACAGAGACTCATACATTTTGCATGTTCTCTAAGTGGTCTAAACACATTAGCACCAGAAAAACTTAAAACAGAGACCCATACACTTGTATGTTCTCAAAGTGGTCTAAACACATTAGCACCACAAAAATTTAAAACAGAAACCCATACCTTTGCATGTTCTTAATAACAAAGACCAGATCATCCTTCTGGAATTTACAAGGGGGGTCTACGACCCACATAAACGACAGTGTCCTGATTGATTTCACTGTTCTTCAACCGTTCGGCCGTCCTCTGTCAAAGCATCTCTCGTCTACCTTGCTGACTAGACGATCTCGAATTTAATGCAACACTGTTGCACTCACAAACACAAACAACATTTTAACACAAAGAGCACTTTTAAAATGTTAATCACTTGTGACTTCGTACAATCCGGACACAAAGAGAAGGAAAATTTAAACCACAAAGATTACTCAAAACAAAACAAAAGAGAAGTGAGCGAAAAGTTCAAATCCCACTTCTGATATTAGGAAACACAAAAGATTAGAACGTGTAGGTACTTTAGACTTTTAAAATCTACCGAGTTGTTTTGTTTTGAGTAATCTTTGTGGTTTAAATTTTCCTTCTCTTTGTGTCCGTAATGTACGAAGTCACGAGTGATTAACATTTTAAAAGTGCTCTTTGTGTAAAAGTGTTGGTTGTGTTTGTCATGAGAGTGCAACAGTGTCGCATTAAATTCGGGATCATCTAGTCGGCAAGGTAGACGAGAGATGCTTTGACAGAGGACGGCCGAACGGTTGAAGAACAGTCAAATCAATCAGGACACTGTCGTTAATGTGGGTCGTAGACCCCCCCTTGTAAATTCCAGAAGGATGATCTGGTCTCAGGGCCTGATTAACCCTTAGGCTTATTAGGCTGTAGCCTAGGGCGCGAAGATCTAGGGGGCGCTGAACGCGTGTCTTCGGTAGCATCATCCCCTGCATATTTCAATTAGACCGAGACAAAACACTAAATGAACTGTGAACTGGATCTACAAGCAGTTTTAGTATCCTAATTTGTTGCTTGTGTGTTACAAGCAACGATCAGCTAAAAAATGGTTTCAAGTCGTGCAAATTAAAGGACAGCGTTATATTCGCTTGCAGATCGATCTGAAAACTTTTATACCTAGAACCTTTTATAGCTGATAGGAATAGATAGGTATGAACCACGTTAAAATTTTCAAACTAGTAAACAAAGTCAAAACTAATATAACAAAACTTTTGAGACCGACCGTAACACACCGGTCATCTAGCGAGGGCGCATCCTGATAATTAGCCTAGAGCGGTCAGAACTCTTGATCAGTCTCTGTCTGGTCTTTGTTATTAAGAACATGCAAAGGTATGGGTTTCTGTTTTAAATTTTTGTGGTGCTAATGTGTTTAGACCACTTTGAGAACATACAAGTGTATGGGTCTCTGTTTTAAGTTTTTCTGGTGCTAATGTGTTTAGACCACTTAGAGAACATGCAAAATGTATGAGTCTCTGTTTTCAAAAATTGTCGCTTATGAGAGCACTAGGAGCCACTGTCGATACGACGGTGTATTGCAAATATACTGAGTTTTATCTTTATTTGTGTTAAGTCTGAAGCTATCTAATTCTGTAATATTTGCTTTTTGAAAGATCAATGGACAGGGTAACCAGCCCCAAACTCACGATCTTCCTGTATAAATGGTAAAAAGATCAATGGACAGGGTAACCAGTCCCAAACTCACGATCTTCCTGTATAAATTGTAAAAAGATCAATGGACAGGGTAACCAGCCCCAAACTCACGATCTTCCTGTATAAATGGTAACAAGATCAATGGACAGGGTAACCAGCCCCAAACTCACGATCTTCCTGTATTAATGGTAAAAAGATCAATGGACAGGGTAACTAGCCCCAAACTCATGTTCTTCCTGTATGAATGGTAAAAAGATCAATGGACAGGGTAACCAGCCCCAAAGTCACGATCTTCCTTTATGAATGGTAAAAAGATCAATGGACAGGGTAACCAGCCCCAAACTCACGATCTTCTTGAGAAATAAGTACACCTTTATACCTTATGGTGACACTAAACTTGTAATTGTTTACACAAGTCCTTTACACATGAAAGTGATAGTTTGTTTCAAATCTTGTAAGGGTTATAAATAATCTTTCACTCATTCCTTGGAGTCTGATACTTTAAAGTTCCTTTCTATCTTTCATTACTTTGATTGTTTGTATTAAACCAAGTAAATATGTTCAGCTGCTGACCAAATAGACGACGCAATACCTTCCCAGAACTGTAATTTTCTAACGTTCTATTCTACTCACAGACATGACAGTATAGACGCTGGGATATCAAATCCTGACGAGGACGTCAGGGTGTCAGGAGAGGCCGTGTTAGCGGACTAACGCCATCTTGTAGCAGAAACCTATATAAAGCATGGCAACACCGGCGTTGACTCACTTTTATTTCTAGACTTCGTGCGAACGGGCTTGGGGTCTAGCCAAGATGGCTTAACAGTAGTGTATGTAGACAGTCGAAAACTAAATTTGTATGAAAATGACAGCTCGTGTCGACAGTCGGTAGCCTAGGCCCTAAAGGCGTGAGTCGGGATACAATAAGCGACGCCATGACAGTGCTACGAAAAGACACACATTAACGCTGCCGCTATTCGGTAGCCAACGGCCAATTAATGTTTCGGCAGTGTAGAAAAAACGGCGTTTCTCCGCCATGTTTTAGCGTTATCTCAAAAGCTGCTGTTTGCAATAATTCAGTACAACTATTGCCATCTTTAATGGCTACCGTTTTAAAAACATGTCATATTTTGGACGTTTTTACGAAATGGTTTTAATAATTAATTTGTTATCTGTCTTTTTTAACGTTCTCGTGTAATTATAATAATTTAATAAATTTAAACTAGAGTTAATATTTTTAAGTTAAGAGTTTTAGTTTTTCTATGAATCAATGCGAGGATAACATAATAGACACAGTTAAATATGAAAATATCAAGAAAATCAGCAAATTAGTAGAGGTAAATCCTAGTTATATTGGATATCTTTTATTGATATTTATATTGCATGTAAGTTCATGAAATTGTTCTTTAATTTGACAAATACGTATACCATTTAATATTGCATATATTATGTAATCACAAAGTAAAATGATTGTACATTTTATTTGTATATTTCAGATGAGAAAGCAGTCACTAATGAACATAATTAGAAGTTCTAAATATATTTTATTGTAATTATAATAGAAGTTGATAATGATATAATATTGATTTAAATTAATCAAATAAAGTGGATTTATACTTTATGAACTTTGGAAATATAAAATCTAGTGAGCAATACTAAATAATGGTAAGCAGATATTTTCTTTAATTATTTACTAAGTCAATATACTAGAGAAGTTATTATAATATTGTTAATGAATGAGAAGTTTGAATTCAAGTCCCTTGGGAGTTACTGACATTGTTTGGTTATTAAAAACTTTAATTGACAATAAGCAGCAAAGTGACAAATTAAGTATATTTTTAAGTTTAGAATTAAGTAAAGAGTAAATTAAAGTTACCTATTGAACAAACCTTGGACCGATCTTAGTTTAGTTTGTCAGTTTTCTATTTGATCAAAGTACTAACTAAAATATTTTCTTTTCAGAAAAAGAGAAGCTAATAAGACAAC